CGTAGCTCAAAAAGTAATTGACCTAGAGTCATGAAACCTTACAAGAATGATGCTCAGCATGTGCAGTTGTGCACCCGGGTATTTTCGTGTGGATATATTTAGTATTTTTAGAGTTATTTCCCTTGACTTAGTAAAAATTTGCAATTTTCAACTTGTGTTGCACGTAGCTAAAACGTATTTGACCTAGAGTTATAAAACCTTACAAGAATGTTGCTCAGCATGTGAAATTGTGCACCTGGGTATTTTTGTGTGGATATTTTAAGAATTTTTAAAGTTATTGCCCTTGAGTTAGTAAATACTTCCAATTTTTAATTTGTGTCGCACGTAACTAAAAAAATATTTGACCTAGAGTCATGAAACCTTACAATAATGTTGCTCAGCATGTGAAGTTGTGCACCTGGGTATTTTCGTGTGGATATTTTTAGTATTTTTAGAGTTATTGCCCTTGACTTAGTAAAAAATTCCAATTTTCAACTTGTGTCGCACGTTACTAAAAAGTATTTGACCTGAGTATATTTCATGACGAAACCTTACAAGAATGATGCTCAGCATATGCAGTTGTGCACCTGGGTATTTTTGTGTGGACATTTTAAGTATTTTTAAAGTTATTGCCCTTGAATTAGTAAAATTTCCAATTTTCCATTTGTGTTGCACGTAACTAAAAAATTATTTGACCTAGAGTCATGAAACCTTACAAGAATGTTGCTCAGCATGTGAAGTTGTGCACCTGGGTATTTTCGGGGAAATATTTTTAGTATTTTTAGAGTTATTGCCCTTGACTTAGTAAAAAAATTCGAATTTTCAACTTGTGTCGCACGTTACTAAAAAGTAATTGACCTAGAGTCATGAAACCTTACAAGAATGATGCTCAGCATGTGCAGTTGTGCACCCGGGTATTTTCATGTGGATATTTTAGTTTTTTTGATGTTATTGCCCTTGACTTAGTAAAAATTTGCAATGTTCAACTTAGGTCGCACGTAAATCAAAATATTTGTGACCTAGAGTCATGAAACCTTATAGGAATGTTGATTAGCATGTGAAGTTGTGCACCTGGGTATTTTTGTCTGGATATATGTTTAGTATTTTTAGAGTTATTGCCCCTTGAATTAGTAGAAATTTCCAATTTTTAACTTGTGTCGCACGTAGAGTCATGAAACCTTATAGGAATGCTGCTCAGCATGTGAAGTTGTGCACCTGTGTATTTTCGTGTGGATATTTTTAGTATTTGTAGAGTTATTGCCCTTGACTTAGTAAAAATTTACAATATTCAACTTGTGTTGCTCGTAACTCAAAAAGTGTTTGACCTGTAGGCCTGAAAGATTACAAGAATGTTGGTCAGCATGTGTACTTATGCACCTTGGGGTTTTCTTGTGGATTCATTCAGTAATTGTAGTATTTTCCTTTAATTTAATAAAAGATTTTTAGTTTTCAACTTGGGCAAATGTAGCCCAAAAAATTGACCTAAATACATAAGATTGACCAATCGGTAGAGTGTGGGGGCAGCCGTGTCCAATGGACACATTTCTAGTTTATAACACACTCGTGCCGCTGTTGTGACTCCATAAAGTGGTATTGTACGGCCCTCATATTTCACATGACATCAAAAACATATCGTGAAAACGTGCTAAATGTAAGCGTCCTAGATAGATGCTTCAATAAAAAGTTCGTTTGTACCGTAAACAGTTCATATTTTTGTATTGAACCTACACTATATATATAGTTAACTTTCATGTTAATTATAGTTTTTTATCATACACTCGTGACGCTAATGTGACTCCGTAAATGGTATTGTACGGCCGTGCATATATTTTGAGATGTCGCCAAAAACATATCGTAAAGACGTGCTAAATTTTACCAAACAAGTTATATATGTACTTACCATACTATTCAACAGTATGTTTTGATTATTGTTACATTTAAGAATTGTTGTACTATATTATATTCCAGGAATTATTGTTTTATAATGCACTGCCATAATGAGAAAATAATGAAAACACATATAAAAAAGGTCCTTTAACAGTTTGCATCGAGGTTTGAAATAAAATAATAATGAAAACAATAACAGAAAAACTTAAATGTAAAAAAATGATAATAGTGAATGATTATATTTTTGCATCAATCGCTTGAGTAACAGCAAGAGCTGCAAAGTGAAAACAGACTTTTAAATTTAGTATGACAATATTTTAACATTTATTTCTTACATGATACATGGAATGATATGACATGATACATGGGATATTTGATTTCCTGAAGAAGAAAAATGTATAAGTAAAATTAATTGCCCTTTCTTATTGCATTAAAAGAAAGTGAACGTTTTTTGTTTTTGTTTTTTTTTTTTCAAATTGCATCGTCCAGGCTTTCACAAATAGTCATTTAGTCATTTGAATTTTACTTTAATGTCTAAAATGTGTCTAAACAATTTTTGTGACATCAAGCTTGTGAAGCTGGTTTCGACAGGAATAGCTGTGAAGGCACGTGTAGTCAAGATTGTTAAGGTGGATACACAAAGTGTTATCATACTAATGAACATTGTAAAGATGGGTGAACCATTGATAATTAAAAAACGTGCTTCAAAAATAATTTAAGCAATTTGTTTAATTTTTATCGGATACTTATCCTGCATTCATATTCTGAATCAGCAGAAAGAGGCAAATGACCACCACTAGGACGTCACGAAGAAATTACGCCTTGTCTGTCGATTTGATGAGAAATCCCTACATTACTAATGGACATTGAAAAGATAGTTGTAAATCACGTGTGAACCACGTTGTATCTTTTGAGAATTCCATTGATAATTAAAATCAACGTGCTTTAAAAATTATTTAACTTTCTTTGCATTTTTATTATTTTATCGGATACTTATCCTGCATTATTTCTGAGTCAGCAGTAAGAGGCAAATGGCAACTAGACTTAATAACGCCTTGTCTGACGATTTAATATTACTGACCCGATGCTTTCCCTATTGAGCTAAAGAGAAAGACATGTAAGCATATGAATATTTCATTTTGTCACAATCATTTTTCAGATATTAAATATAATTAAAATTACCAAATATCAAATTTTTTATTTTACTTGGTTACTTATTTGTGAATTATAATTTCACAGTAAAACGTCAAAGGATATTGTTTCACTTTCCAATAAAGATAATTTTTCTTAACTGTTGAAATACCCCTTTATCTTTCCATATATTTATTTTCGCTTACAAATAATCTGTTACTAATTTAAACATATACTTGATTGTAGCAAAACGAAGTTGAAATTAATTTATCACTATTGTGTGACCAAGGTAATATTTCGTTTCAATATTTATGAGATTTATCTTCCAGTTCATATTGTATAAGTTGGGTTTGGTTTATATAATGTACTGGTATAAACTTCACTCCTGCGCGGCCTTAAATTTACTGATATACTAATATATACACGGAAATTAATATCGCAAATTCTAATCAATTAAAGCATTCTAAACGTTATTTAAATATTTTAAGATATATTTATCAACTTAATTAAATATATTTGACTCTTATAGCGCAATGTGTGTGTGCACTGCAAGGTTATTTCTTCATCACTTACAAAACGTACATAACTTTATTGTCTGAAACCCGGTTGTAGCATATTGAAGTGAATATTCAGTTAAATTAAAAATCGTTCTGTTCCTTTGCTTATTGTAAAGTATGGGAATTGTAAAGAAAAGAACTATTTAAAAAAATAATCATACCGACAGGATTTCGCCAAGAAAACCTTAGTTATTCTCTAAGAGTCTTTGAACACTTTTATTGCTAGGTGATAAGATATTTTTCAATCCAAATTCAAATACAATAAATTTTACAAATTATACACACAAAAAATTAACAGCATAATGCATCGATTTGCACTTTTTTATTAAAAAAGTCCATAACCTAATTTACAAAGTCTTATTCCAATTCAGTCTAAATTGCTTCTTTTTAAAAATTACATAAGCCGAGTTAAATACATCTAAACTTTATACAATTTTTCTTCTAATCACTTAAATCTATACAACAGCAATGTTGTATTTGTTCGTAAAGTCTGCATTAAAGTGTATGAAGCTATTCTCTTTTGCAATAACTATTGTTTGAATAAAAGTAAAATTCCAAAATGCTTATATGAAGGGAGGATGGATGAAGTAAGCTTAAATCGCTTGGCGCATACATGCAGTCATTGCTATACGGATAAACCCGCACTTGAAATAGCTGAAAATATTTGGTTTCAGTTGACGTACCGTATGTATGTGTGTTAAATGATTGAGACATTCAATGTTAAAACTCTTTTCGGAATCGACCATAATTCTTTTGATCCAAAGCTGTAAAAGTTTAAAAAAAATATTCATAAGATCGTAATGTTTCGAGCCAGGCATAAGGAAAAAATTAACAAAATTTATTTCATAAAATTTCCAATATTTTGAATAAGTCCAATTCTGGTTTATGTTCTTTTTAATTCTTTTTAATTTGAGCATTTATGATTTTGATAATCAACACAGTCAACTCCAGAAATAATTGAAATGTAAATCTGTAATTTCAGTATTTATGAGTGTCACCAAAGATCACCAAAGGTCACCAAATATAGCCTTATAAGTGTGCTACACCATTTTTTCAGAATATTTTATCAGGCAACAACACTCAAGACTTTTCAGTGCTATTTTTATAACTTTCTTTAAGTGTCCATAATGCTCAAATGTACATATAACTAGCAAACAATGAAACAGCACATTAAATACAAAGCAAGAACATAATGCATAATTATGCTGCGCACATAAAATTATTCATAACATTATGAGTGAATCTATCAAAACAATTTGCAAACCCGTATTTGAAAGTTATAAGTGTGAAGGATAATGACAAGCAAAATATCTTTTTCGGTGAAACATATTGCTATAACCTCTTGATAAGAATTTATTCTGCACTGTTAATTGTAATATATATTAGAGTTTACAATGTAAATGCTTTTGCAAACATTTGACAAATACAGTCTTATTTATTATACAGCTTGCAATTTTGGCCATTATGGTAAGAACTGTATTAAGAAGTGCAGTGACCATTGTAAACACGGGAATACATACTGCAACACGGTTGACGGAAACTGCACACATGGATGCATGGATGGGTGGAAGGCACCATTGTGTGACCAAGGTAATATTTCGTTTCAATATTTATGAGATTTATATTCCAGTTCAGATGGGTTTGAATTATTTATATTTACTGGTTTAAAACTGCACGCTAGCAGGGGCTTAAATTCACTGATATACTTATATACACACGGAAATAATTATCACAAATTCTGATCAATTAAAACATTTTAATCGTTATTCAAATATTTTAGATATATTGATAATCATAATTTATTTGACTCTAACAAGCGCATTGTGTGCGCAGTGCCATGCTATTTCTTCATCACTTACAAAAGCAACATCACATGCATGTTAGAAACCCAGTTATAACATACTGTAGTGAATATTCAGTTTTCTAAAAAAAATCGTTCTGTTCCTTTGCTAATTGTAAAAAAATGGTAATTGCCAATTCAATGACAAAGCCTGATTGACATGCATAATACGGATATATTGATATATCTGTGAGGGGCCAATGTAAAGAATATTGGTCAAAAACCATCAGCATTCTGCTGTTCATTTAAAAACACAGGTGACAGATAATATAAGGAAGACTATCGAACCTGTCCTCATCTTCATTGTTCTTGGAGACCACAAACAACAAAATGTAAAGAAGATACAGCGGAGCTAAAGATTAAAATATATTTCACAGAGTAAACACTAGCTGCACTATGGTGACGGTCCGTCGTAATGTTGTATTGTCACCATCGTACTGTCGTAGTGTCATCATTGTATTGTCATCATCGTACTGTCATAGTGTCACCATTGTATTGTCACCATCGTACTGTCGTAGTGTCACCATTGTATTGTCACCATCGTATTGTCGTAGTGACACCATTGTACTGTCGTATTGTCACCATCGTGCTGTCGCACTGTCGGAATCGTATTAATGTACTGTCACCATCGAACTGTGGTAGCGTCACGATCGTACTGTCGTACTGTCACCCTCGAACTGTCGTATTGACACCGTCGTACTATTGCCTTCATGTCTGGCAAACATTTCCTTCAAATGGCTTGCAAAGCTACGAACTTAAACCAACTTATACCGGCGTTTCATAAAAATATCTTTATTCTTCAAACAATTAAGATCAGCTATCAAGAAAATCGAAAGTTAACAGAATCAAAATCTATATACATAAATAAAGAGCTTAAAGATAAAAATGTACACCTGTGTCGTCATAATTTGTATTTCAACAAATAGGCCTAATCTAGAAATTTTGTATTTGACTGACTTGTGAAATATAGTATTTTCTCAAAAGACCTGGATAATTTTTATCAACTACAAATTTAAACTACTCTCAATAACACAAGAATTTACGTGTATGTCAAGCTATTGTCAAAATGTGAATTTATGGCACAGTAAACGTTTTCTTCTATGTTTTTATTTAATTATGCTTTACAAGAAGGCGGCAGTACGATAGGGTCAGTACAATAGTACGATGCTGATAATACAACAATACGTTCGATTGTGACAGTTCAACAGTACGATGGTAACAGTACGACAGTAGGATGGTGACAGTACAGTACGATGGACTGTTACCATTGTACTGTCGTGTATCTTAATCGTACTGTCGTATTGTCACTATCGTACTACCGTACTGTCAGCATCGTACTGTCGTACTGTCACAACGTACTGACGTACAGTCACCATCGTACTCACCTGTTCGCGTTTTTCGTTCTTAGACAAAACGCGCTGTACCTAACGGAACACCGAAGCCTCACATTAACTCAGGGTTCGTTTTACACGGCCCAAGCACAAATTATAAAATGAACACATACATGTAAGACATTCTGTAGCTTAAACTCTTTTAATTAAAATATAATATAGATCTAATTGTTTAAATATACATAAAATAGAGAAAATAAGAATCCCTAAAGAAAGTCCAACACAACATAATTGAAAAAGTTACAGGTCCCGTTCATGGACGGTACTGTAAAGTGCAAACTACCGTCCACGTCCCCTAGCACCGGCTTAAGCAGAATTCAACATTTAAACATGAAATGGTAAAAATTTATTTTAGAAACATCCGCCGATGTGTTCTTACGGCGGTTATCATGGATGCCTAAAGTCTATAATAAAGCTGGCCAGATTCAGTAAACAAGTACCAGGTTTGGTACAATATAATCAATGAGATACCAGATCTGGTAGTTACCAGATTGGGTACTATACCAGATTGGGTATTATACCAGATTTGGTATGAACCATTCTGGAACAACAGTTCTCTACACTGGCAATGTAAATATAACATGTTAACAATACCAACAAGTGAAATTCACCTGCATCAGATCCATTTTAGGTCACTTATTCATCTACATTTGTCAACTCAAAAGTCAGACGACCTGATATAAGATGGATGGCAACGATATGCTAACGCGCATTATTTATAGTACCCTGTGACGTCATCACATCAATATTCAAAATGGCCGACCAGTGGCAATTTCAGAAATATTAAGCAAGATTACATGAAAATAAATTAATGTCAGCATTTCAGAATAGATAATAAACATTTATATATACAAATGGCATCTAAAAATCATAATAATATAAGAAAAAAGCAGTTAAATTGATAGTAATCATCAAAACAATGCAACGTTACGTACTCACAAATATTCGTAACCAAAGTCGGAAAATGAATAAATGTTTCAGCGCATTGATCATACAGCCTGAGCATCACAATACCATATATATGCTCAATTCTAGGATTATCTTTTTCCAGAAAATTTTATCAGGCAACAAACACTCAAGACGTTTCAGTGTTATTTTAAAACTTTCATTAAGTGTCCACAATGCTCCAGAATCTTCTAAAGGTACATATAACTAGCAAACAATGAAACAGCACCTTAAATACAAAACAAGAAAATTATGCATTAATATGCTGCGCACATAATAGTATTCATAACATTATGAGTGAATCTATCAAAACAATTTGCAAACCAGTATTTGAAAGTTATAAATGTGAAGGATAATGAAAAGCAAAATATCTTTTTGAAGGAAACATATTATCATATTTTGTTATAATACACATATCATGAACAATGTGTGGTTTTTGTATTGAAAGTACATTAACCCTTTAACAGCCCTATAGAACAATATGATGTAATGTTTGTATGTTTTAAGTGAAAGACACGACTTTGACAAAAGAGTTTCACTAATGGTTATTAATCTATTTATTAATCACACTTGTTCACATCAATGCATTTTTAATCAGCAGTATAGGGATTATTAGTTGAATCCATATTTCAAAGGGAAAATGTAGCAATTCTCTTTGTTATTGATGAATATCTATAAATCGGATATCTCAGTCATGTTGTGCTGCTGGATATACAAGACCAAAGTGTGTTAACATTTAAATCAATAGTAAATTTTGCTATAACCTCTAGATGAGAATTTATTCTGTTAATTATAATATATATTAGAGTTTTACACTGTATTTGCTTTTGCAAACATTTGACAAATACAATCTTATTTATTATACAGCTTGCAATTTTGGCCATTATGGTAAGAACTGTATTAAGAAGTGCAGTGACCATTGTAAACACGGGAATACATACTGCAACACGGTTAACGGAAACTGCACATATGGATGCATGGATGGGTGGAAGGCACCATTGTGTGACCAAGGTAATATTTCGTTTCAATATTTATGAGATTTATATTCCAGTTCATATTGTCTAGGTGCAGATGGGTTTGGTTGGTTTATTTATATATACTGGTTTAAAACTGCACGCCAGCAGGGGCTTAAATTCACTGATATACATGTACTAATATACACTAGGAAATAAATATCGCAAATTATGATCAATTAAAACATTTTAATCTACATTTAAATAGTGTTAGATATATTTATAACTTAATTTATTTGACTTTAATAGCACAATGTGTGTGCAGTGCACGGTTATTTCTTCATCACTTACAAAACCTACACCACTTGCATGTTAGAAACTCAGTTATAACATACTGTAGTAAATATCCAGTTTATTTAAAGATCCTGTAGCTTAATTTTTTCATGTTTTTTTTCCATAAATATGATGCTCAAATTAAGATTTGTCAATATTGTAAGTTCAAATAAGTATTATTTATAAAGATATTACCTAATTTAACATTTCATGTAAAAAAGGGACGTTATTAGAAATTTATTTTCTACAAATTATAAGTCAAATTTTCCAATCAGAAATAAATGCATGTAATTTATTAATTAAATATAATGTGCACAAATATTTGCAGTACACATTTTACATATTCTTTGATGTTTTATTTGCATAATTAAATACATATATAATTTTTTGCAAGTGCTGTATACACACAGTAACAATATCAATCACAGAACATACAGGATCTTTAAAAATCGTTCTGTTCCTATGTGGTAATTGCCAATCCAATAACAATGCCTGATTGACATGCATAATAAGGATATATCGATATGTCTGTGTGGGGCCATTGTAAAAAATATTGGTCAAAAACCATGGGCACTCAGCTCTTCATTTAAAAATACCAGGTAACAGAAAATATTACGAAGACTTTCGAGCCTGTCCTCATCGTCATTGTTCTTGAAGACCACAAACAGCAAAATGCAATGAAGATACAGCTCAGCTAAAGATTCAAATATATTTCACAGAGTAAACACTAGCTGCACAGTGTTAAGGGTCCTTTGTACTGTCGTATTGTCACCATTGACTGTCGTACTGTCATAACGTACTGACGTACAGTCATCATCGTACTGTCATATTCGCGTCTTCCTTTCTCAGAGAAAACGCACTGGCCCTAACGGAACACCGTAGTGGAAACAGAAACTTTGATCCTTCTTGAGATTGTGAAATGGTCTGTAAACCAGGTTGAATAACACCACGTTGTACCGGGGGATGTAATAGTTTGATAAAAAGAATTAATGTATTTTAAAGCGAAATTATTTCATGGCGGGCATTTTGTTAAATATTTAACTCTAGTTTTTTACATGCACATGCAATGTTACCTCAGACTTACAGATTCTGATTAGGTGCTGATTAGTTTTACACAAACACGATAAATGATTGTCAATACAGAGGATCGATTTGCACCTTTTCATTAAAGATTAGGTTCACAAGCTACAAATTCTAAGTCCAATCAAGTCCATACTATTTCTTTTTCATATGATATAAACTGAGTTGCATAAAACCTTTACAGTACATAAAAAGTGTGGCTTTGACACCTTTAGTATTCATAATCTTAAGAGACAATCAGTCAAAACAATAAAATTACCCAAATTTAAAAAAAAAAAATTGAAGTATAATGGGAAGCCCATATATATTTTTTTGAAACTTTGATTTATATTTTGTTACCATACACATGGCATGAACAATGAGTAGTATTTAAATTGAAGGTACATTTACCCTACATTTTAACTAAAACAATTGTGCTGTTTAATAATAAAATCAAACTTTTTAGCAAGGGGATTGATTGCACAAATCATCCTTGTTCAAATCAATGCATTATATATGGTGTAAGCAGCTGTAGGAGATAATTAGTAACAATTTTTTTTTTGATGGAATACTATAAAAAGGATATTTCTGTCCGGTTGTGCTGCTATAACATCAGGACCAACGTGTGAATTTAAAAACATTAATATCGATTGTGAATTGTTTTAATAGCCTTTAAATCATACTGTATAGTTAACTAGTTAACTATCATGTTAATTATAGGTTTTGTAGCTCACCTGAGCAAGCTCAGGGTGAGCTTTTAGGATCGTTGAATGTCCGTCGTACGTCGTTCGTTGTCCGTCCACAATTGTACGTTAACATTGGTCACATTTCTGCCTCAATCATCATCAAACTTTGACAGGATGTTTGTCTAGGTAATTACTCGGGTGAGTTTTAACATTGGTCATCTCGGATGAAAAAGAAGGAGCTAAAAAAAGAAAATCTCTTTAAGACTCAAGCGGCTACTGTTTTGGTCCATATATCTTGGAAATTTGTCTGAAAGTTTCTTTTGATGATTTCTATGTCAAATTCGAATATGGCTCACCTGGGGTCAAAAACAATATGGGAAAATCTTGTAAACATTCTAGTGATAACATTTTTGAAACAGTTGTCATTAAACTTGATCAGGATGCTTGTCTAACTAATTGCTCGGATGAGTTCGATGGGTCAGGTGAGCGATCTAGGGCCATCTTGGCCCTCTTGTATAACACACTCGTGCCTCATTTGTGATTCCGTAAAATGTTATTGTACGGCCATGCATATATTTTGACATGACGTCAAAAACATATCGTACAGACGTGCTTAATGTTAACGACCAATAAAAAGTACTTTTTACCGTAAACGATTAATATTTCTTAACTTTTGATAATACAATATTTTTTGGTGTAGCTTTTTTCTAAATTAAATGAACTCATTGAATAAGATGGTACTATGCTCGCCTACTAATTTTTTTCAATCCGTACAATAAATTCAGTATTAAACCTACACTAATTCAATATACTCTATATACCAAATATGTTCTAGCGAACAGAATACTATCATATTTATTATTCAGTTTGTGATAATGGTTATTATGGTCAAAACTGTACTCAAAGATGCAGCTACCATTGTAATCATGGGAATACATACTGCAACGCAGTATATGGAACTTGCACAAATGGATGCGCACGTGGATGGAAGGAACCATACTGTAAAAGTAATAATTTGTAGATTTCTTTTCAAGTCATGTTTTAAAGTCAAATTGTTTTAGTTTAACTTAATCATTATTGTCATAGGATGCAAAAATACGTGAACCCTTTCTGGTATGATTGAGATTTTGTTTATTATTTTAGCTGTTGAAAAACAAGTTAAATTTGTTATTTCATTTATGTGTTTCATTTAAGAATTGTTATACTATATTTTATACCAAACGATATTGTTTTATAGCACTATTATTATGAGAAAATAATGAAAAATAAAAAGGTCCCGAAACAGTTTGCATCGATGTTTGAATTAAAATAATAATGAAAACAGTAACAGAAAAACTTATTTTGGGATTTTTTTTTATCTTGACATAAATGTAAAATAAATTATAATAGTGAATGTTTTTATTTTTTGCATGAGTAACAGCAATAGCTGTGAAGTGAAGGCAGGCTTTAAAATTTAGTATGACAATATTTAAACATCAATTTCTTACATGATACATGGAATTAATATTTGATTTCCGAAGTAAAAAATATATTAGTAAAACTAATTGCCCTTTCTCATTCAATTAAAAGTAAGAAAACCTTAAGTTTTGTCAATTTGGATTGTCCAGTCTTTCACAAATAGTCATTTGAATTTTACTTAAATACCTGAAATGTGTTAAAACAATATTTTGTTAACTCAAGACTGCGAAGCTGGTTTCGACAGGAACAGCTGTGAAGGCACGTGTAGTCAACATTGTGAAGGTGAAAACACAAAGTGTAATCATACTAATGGACATTTTAAATATGGTTGTAAACCAGGTTGGATTCAGCCACGTTGTATCAAATGCAAATTCCAATGATGATTAAGATTAACGTACTTTAAAGATAATTTCCTTTCTAAGCATGTTTTTTAAATTTTGTCGAATACTTATCCTGCATTATTTCTGAATCAGCAATTACAGGCAAATGACCACTAGACTCAATGTCAATAAGAAATACACCTTGTCTGACGATTTAACGAAAAATCCTTACATTTGTTACCCGATGCTTTCCCTATTGAGCTAAACGAGCAGACATGTCAGAATTTAATTTTGTCACGATCATTTTTTCGGATATAAAATATAAGTAAAATTACCAAATGTCAAATTTATGATTTAACTAGGTTACTTATTTATGAATCATACTTTATAATTTCACAGTAAAAAGTAAAGGATATTGTTTCACCTTCCAGTGAAGAGAATTTTTCTTGACTGTTGAAATTCCCTTTTATCTTTCTATATTTTTATATTTATTTTCGATTACAAAAAATCTGTTATAAATTTAAACAAAATAAAGACCTATTTGTAGCAAAACGAAGTTGAAATTAATTTATTATTTAAATTAAAATCATTAATATAGTGAATTAGACATAGCATGAGTTCATTGAATTCACAGGATCACCAAATTTTGGTAGATTGATAACAGTCCTATAATGTCACTTCATATATCCACATGCAAAACTGCTCTTGAAGACATTTTGGGCATATTAATATATTCAACGAGCAGCAACTATTATGATCTGTGTAGGACCACTGACAATCATCTGCAAGAAATTTTAATAACCCGGCGTTCGTAGGACAGTCTTTTAAAAACAATCTATGTTTTTCAATTTTTGGTCGTTTCAAGAAACATTAGTTATTCTCTTAGAGTGTCTGAACAATTTAATGACTAAGTATAGGCTTTTGAGACTTGTCCATGCTATTTTACAACTTCCTTAAAGTGTGTTCAATGCTCCAGAATCTAATTCATGTAAATATAATTATCAATTGATAAAACAGGATTCCAAAGACCATTCTACACAAATAAGCTGCATACATAACAGTATTAATTACATTATGAGTAAATATATCAGAACAATTTGCAAACCTGTATTTAAAAATTCGTTATGTGAAAGAAGATGACAAGCAAAATATCTTATTAGCGGAACCTTTGATTTATACATTGTTATTATACATATAGCATGAACAATAAGTGTGGTGTTTGTATTAAAATAACAATTACCCTAAAACGTCCTTAAAAACAAAAGTAATAACTGTTTATGTTTTAAGATAAAACATAACATTTAACAAAATAGTTGCGCTAATGGTTATTAATCACATTTGTTCACATCATGCATTTTAATCAGCAGTATAGGAACTATAAGTGGGATCCATGTTTTAAATGGAAAATTAGCAATTAAATTTGTTATTGATGATATATATATATATATATATATATATATATATATATATATATATATATATAGATAGGAAATCCGAGGCAGGTTGTGCTGCTGAACAGACAAGACCTGTAACTTCAAGCGTGTGAATGTTTAAGTCGATTGTAAATTATTGTTATAACTCTTGTTGAGATTTTGTTGTGTGGTTAATTATAATGATTATTATAGATTATGCTGCATTTGCTCTTTTATCAATCATTTGACAAATACAATCTCATTTGATTATACAGCTTGTGATCGTGGTTATTTTGGTCAGAACTGTAAGAAGTGCAGTGACCATTGTAAAAACGGGAATGAATACTGTAACAAGGTTAATGGAAAATGCACACATGGATGCATGGATGGATGGAAGGCACCATTGTGTGAAAAAGGTAATATTTCGTTTCAATATTTATGAGAGTTATCTTCCAGTTCATATTGTCTAAGTTCAGATGGGTTTGGTTTATTAATATATAAACTGGTTTAAATCTGCACTAAAATTCAATGATATACTAATATACACACGTAAATTAATATCGCATATTCTGATCAATTAAAACATTTTAATCGTTATTTAAATATTTTTAGATATATTCAGAAACTTAATTCATTTGACTTTTTTAGCACAATGTGTGTACAGTGCACGGTTATTTCTTCATCACATACATGGACTACATCACATGCATGTTAGAAACCCAGTTATAACATAATGAAATAAATATTCAGTTTTCTAAAAAAAATCGTTCTGTTCCTTTGCTAATTGTAAAAAAGTATGGTAATTGCCAATTCAATTACAAAGCCTGATTGACATGCATAATACGGACATAGTGATATGTCTGGTCTGTGAGGGGCCAATGTAAAAAATATTGGTCAAAAACAATCGACATCCATCTGTTCATTTAAAAAAAAGGGAACAGATAATATAAGGAAGACTATCGAACTCGTCCTCATCGTCTTTGTTCTTGAAGACCAGAAAAATGCAACAAAGATACGACTCAGCAAATATAATGAAATATATTTCACAGAGTGAACACTAGCTGCAATATTTTCACGAGCGGCGTTCTTAATTTTACATGCAAAACAAACACAATTTCAAATTTTTACATGGTATTTAGTAGTTTTGTGTCATTATGTTAATGTATGGAAGGCACCTGAGGTCTTCCTCCAATAAAGCCGGATAGTCGCCACATGCCCTTAACTGTGTTTTTGCGACGTAAACCCCAACAAAATATATTATTTGACCGAATATTTTTACGTAACGTCATGCGATTTTCTTCATGACGTCATCAAAGATGACATCACAATTTTCAAATTGAAAACATTTGTAATGTTTCTTGAATTTGGTTTCACATTTTAACATGTGGATACATCTATTTGTTTCTCGTAATCATTCATATGTTCCTTAAGACGATATGCGTTTCTTCACAATTGTCCTTCTATTTATGACACGTGCTTGTCATCCGCATTAACAAATAGTCCGGCAACTGTGAAAATTAAACTAAATAACTTAACTTTAAAATAGTTAAAATATGTTTTCATTGTCTAATGAAAAAGCATGTAATAAATTTAAATGTGTAAAATATGCCATTGTAATATCTTGATGAATTTAGCCTGTGATGCTGGTTTTTATGGTCGAAACTGTGGAGAAACGTGTAGTGAACATTGTGCGGGTGGAAGCGGAAACTGTAATACTACTACTGGATATTGCGAAATGGGTTGTCAGTCAGGTTGGACTGGACTACGTTGTGTCAATGGTAAATTTGATTGATTGATTAATAGAATGAGCGTACTTTAATTAGCGTACTTAAAATGATTTATCTTTTCTTTTTTTATGAGCATTTTGTTTAATATTTTACTATACTTTTTTACGTGACCATACAATGTAAGGTCAGCTTTATACAATTAATATAACAGCATTCAAAGGTTTATATAAAGTATCAAATATGTTATCTTGTTACGGCCATTTTATTCATTGTGCTTGATAAAACATAAAGATGGATGGAAAACACCTGTAATGCTACATAGCAAAACTATATCGTGAATGTAAAAAATGATTTTAAGGAAAGTAAATATATATACAATTCAAGAAGTAGTTTACATGTTATATGCAGTAAATGGCTGATTTTGCGGTATTTATCACGATACTCTTACTGCTTGCGTAGTTTAATGGCTGTTAAAAGCATATTCCGACATATTTTTGTAAATCTTCGTAGAATGAATGTGCAGTTTGCAATGTGTAACTTTCTGTCATTGTTTTTTAGAAATGTTTACTCTTTTAATACATTTTATTTTTTATGAAATTAGCAAGTATCTGGAGACATGCTGATTAAAAGTATGATTAAATGCCGAAAAAAGGAAAACAACAAAACAACTATTCGCTTTCTTTCCGCTTATTAAAAATTAGTTTGCATGAAAAAGACACCAGACTTTGTCGAAGAAAAAAATGAAGAAAATTCATTTTTCTTTTAAAGATTGCTACTTTTAACAATTTGTACTGCATTTAAGTACAAAGGTAATAATGGAAAAAAAAACTAGTGCTATGAAGTTTTCTTAATTTGTGCATGATAAAAAATTAAAACGTTAACAAAATTAAATGGGATAAAATGGAAGTCACCATCCAATTTTCTGAATAACCTACCGCTGTTAATGAGTTTCTTCTTTTTTGTTCTTGTAGTTCTTGTTGTTTTGTCTGTCTGTCATATGTCATTGTTAGACCAATAAGAGGATAATACCGTTTTCTTATCTGAAGACAGAATTACCGTTTAATGGTTTTGTATTGTTTTATACCTAATAGAATGTCCTCCTAGAAAGTTCGGTGCAGGATGTAAAGAGGATTGTGCTTCCACTTGCAAATATGGTTTTTGTGATCATGTCAGCGGCGATTGTCATGATGGATGCAAGCCGGGTTATCAAGGAAATAAGTGTGAAAGAAGTGAGTTTTTATATATACGATTTCAATTTAGTAGTTTCTTTATAGACGACAATCTTTGATATATTGATTAGAGAAGTATGTTTAAATTTCTATTTAGACGAATCAAGAAAAGGATTGTTAAAATTGTCAAGACATGGCGGAGTGTTTAATAAGTCGGACTGATAATTTAATGACCATTAGCCTCATGGTTAACAACCCGTCAGAGGCAAGCCCTTGTTTCCTTGAGCAAGACACTTTACATGGCTCAGTACTGGTTGGTTCGAGGTAGGTCTATAAGCTTATGGTTTCCTACACAATCGAACTAAAATCTAGAATCTTCTAAAATATATTACTTTCTTATGTCTTTAAACTGATCATTTAGTTACATAATAGTCGTTATTTATTTGCAAATCTGAAAAAAAATATCCATTGTAATTATTTCAACAATTGATCAATTGTTTTCAAAATTGACAAATTATTCTTTATTTCAAATTAAACAAAGGAAATCAAGGTGAGACAATGGGCATTGAGAGCAGAATGATTTTGTACCATACACTTCTTTATCAAAAAAAAGTTGACAAACATTTCTGCTGATTTAGCAAATATGTTTAAAATTCTTAATTAATTTTTGCTTGATAGAATGTACACTATGAAAATATTCGGTCATTCCGTGAAATCAATAAAACTTTTACACATTTATCAAAGAAAAAACTTTTATTTCTTACACGGTGATCATCCATTAGATGATTTATGTTTTTTATGTATCTTAGTTTGGGGACCTTTCTGTTGAAAAAGTGTCAGAGTTAAATCGTATACATAAAAATGCACAGTGCGGTAACTGGAGTGGTTTATAGAAATATATCAGTGATGTAAAACTGGTAATTTCACTGTTTGAAACAGTGAAATTACCACTTTGATAATTTCACTGTTTTGAATTTAAGCCCATTACGTTGTTTCAGTGAAATACCAGCGTGCACAGTACTGGGTACCAACATAATGACGTGACGTCGTAAATGACGTCACGTTGTGTTATTATTTGGCGCGCTTTTCATTCAGTATTAGTTTAAATGTCTTTTTAAAACGTTTATTTGCATATAATAAAAAGAAAATTTGTTTAGTTTAGTGAAAGATGGAAATATATTTCACCTTGTGAACACTAAAAGTTCATATTTCACTCGTGGCTGCGCCACTCGTGAAATATACCTTTTGGTGCTCACTCGGTGAAATATATTCCGATCTTACACTGAACTAAACAAATATCCTCTATATAATGTAATTTATTCTCCGCCTAGGCACATCAGAAACAACAATTAGCTTCTATCAAAAATTAATTACAGCGGAGATAATCATTTCTTCTGATACTAACAGATATTTGACGCGAAATGTGAATCAGCGTAACATATTATATTTTTTAGAATGTCGTGTTGGAAAGTTTGGCGAAGAATGTAAGAAGAATTGTCCTTCTAATTGTAACAATAATATGTGTGATCATGTGACTGGTAATTGTACAAACGGATGCAAGCCTGGCTATAAAGGAAATACGTGTGGAGAAAGTACGTATATGTCGAGATAGTTTAAAATGTATTATATGCTGATTAATTTATTTATTTTATTTTTTTATTTATTTTTTTCTTCTTTCTTTAAATATTATTTTTAGTCATTGTTGAATTTTAAAACGTTAAATGTCTAAGGCATTAGAATCTACATTGCCTATATTTTTATTTCATTTATTATACAGTCAACTATCGTTATCTCGACATCGCTTTTCTCGATATTTCGTTATCTCGATCAAATTCTGAAAGTCCCGTTTTTTCCCCTTCTTTATCTATATTGAATATATTTCTTTATCTCGATATTTTTATTTCGATTTTTTCAGTATCTCGATGTGATATTTCAGTCCCAATAGTTATTTTCACACTATAATCCTTTGTTTATCTCGACAAATAATTGTTCGTCTGCGCCCTCCCGCAGAGGTGTGAAAAACACAAAGCGGACGTTTATCGCTCAAAGCGCGTGTCATAATAATTAATGATGATATGTTTGTAACAAGTCAAGGTGTTTTGAAAGTATTGTTTATCTAATTTGCGTGTTGATTGACTTATGTCGAAAATGAGTGAATTTTCCGTTATGTATAAAACATACGAACACTGTATTTTGAAAAGTGATTAAAATGTGTTTAATACTGTGTGCTATCATTAGAATAAACTTTACTGCAAGTGATATCAGTTTGTAAATTTGTTATCGAATAATCGGTAAATTAAATAAACGTGCTAACTATTCATAAATTGTGTGCTTTTATAAATGTGCTATTACTCTCACAAAATGATTGCTATGAAATGTGTTCATGTAATTTATATGTGTTATTATGCAATGTTAAAGTACTAAATAAATAAATAAATAAATAAAGTTAGAAAACAACGTTTTTGTTTTAGTGGTGTATAACTGAGTAAACCTCACTATGTGTTAATCACATAGCACCTAAATGCTGTATTTCCGCTGGTAAACATCCGTTAAATTATGTAACAAATTGTTATTTTTTATTATAAGGATTGACACAAGATTATGAAACATCGTACTTATTTTACTTATAAGGTATGCGCATGTCTTCTGTAAAAATTAGTTTTTTACATGTTCACACCCACATTCGTTTATCTCGACATTTCGTTATCTCGATATTTTTTTGACGGTCCCGAAGACTTCGAGATAACGAGAGTCGACTGGTATTTTAAATTTGCAAATGTTTCGATTAAACTTTCGATGTCATTGGAACATTTGAAATGAAATATTATTTACATTTATGCACACAGAATAAAACATTTTTAAGACAACCACGGAATTAAGACCATTCAACATTTAAGACAAACTTTAAAAAACCGGAATCTTTATGCCAATAGAAACATTATCAACAATTAAGACCTCTCCCCGCGTATCCGCGATATAGACCACCAATTTCAGTCCCAATTCTTTCTTTTATTTGTCCCAACTATTGAGACACTGGAAATACAGTCAATGCAAATCTTTACCACAAGTTTTTTGTTATGATCTGCTTGATTGCTCTGAAGCATTTTTTATAACAAGGTGTTAAAATTGTTTAATTGGAATGTGGTATAAATGCAAAGGTAGAATTTCAGATTGGTTTAATGATGATCTCTAGATTTTTTTATTTTGTGAAGACTTTAATTCTTATGTGAATTATGTACATCATTAACAACACGACAAATGATAATTTAAACTTAATAAAAAATTCTACAGAACTATGTTCTGCTTTCCATCACACTAAATAGTATAACATCTTTTTATATTAGAATTTAAAATGTATAATACATATTGTTTGAACATGTTCATACAAAATGACCAAAAGAGACGTTGATAATAAGATATGTTAGCCTTGACACTAAAATTGACAAATGGGACAACTCATAAATTAAGACAACTTTTGCTCAGTGCAGTTGGTGGTCTTAACTGCAAGGTTTTTGAGATATTAAGAGTCACCAATATTAATGATACTAATAAATAAAGTTATGAATTTGTTTCTGAACGTGTGATGACATCAGTACGCTGTTAATTGTTATGCTGCAGATTTAGAAATTATTTAAAATAAGCATTTAGAAAACTACATTTATAATTGTGTCTATAGAGTGCCTAGCTGAAACATATGGTGTAGGATGTAAGGAGAATTGTCCACTAAATTGCAAAACTGGTATTTGCAATCATGTCAACGGCGATTGTAGTGAAGGGTGCAATCCGGGTTATCGAGGAAGAAAGTGTGAAGAAGGTAAGCCACCTCATGGTATAGAATATAGTTATTTTAGGAGTGATCATAATGTATCAACTATAATTAACTTGAAAATTAAAGTTTAAACATTCGATGCAGTGTGTAATTGTTAACCTGTACATTATGACTCCGTCTGTTACTAATATCCTCTTTTTAGTTCGACTATTCGATAAGAATAAGTAGAGCTATTGTAGTCACCCGAGTGTCGGTGTAATCACTTATGTTAAAGTTTTTGTAATACCTCGAATATTTTCAAAGTCCATTGACATATGGCTTTGAAACTTTGCACACTTGTTTACCATCATAACCCCAACCTGTAGACAGGAGGAGGTAACTCTATTAAGCATTTTCACAGAATTTTGCCCTTATTTCGACTTGGAATTTACGTTAAAGTTTTTGTAATACCTCAAATATTTTCAAAGTCCACTGACATATGGCTTTTAAACTTTGCACACTTGTTGACCATCATGACCCCAACCTGTAGACAGGAGGAGGTAACTCTATTAAGCATTTTAACAGAATTATGCCCCTTTTGTCGACTTAGAGTTTTTCGTTAAAATTTTTGTTATACCTCAAATATTTTCAAAGTCCATTGACTTGTGGCTTTGAAACTTTGCACGCTTGTAAGCCATCTTGACCCAAACGTGTAGACAGGAGGAGGTAACTCTATTAAGCATTTTGACAGAATTATGCCCCTTTTAGCTCACCAGAGCCGAAGGCTCAGGGTGAGCTATTAGTATCAAAGGGGGATGCTCTGGCGCCCGTCGTCATGCGTCAACAATCGTCTTCTTCTCTGAAACCACTAGGCAAATTTACTTAAAATTGGTCTGTAGCATCCTTGTGACATTCACACTTGAATTTGCTCATGTCATTCCAATTGGCCCCTTTTAGGGGTCAGCAGAGCTAAAAATAGAAAAACCTTTAAACATCTTCTTCTACAGAACTAATGGATTGATGATCACCAAACTTTGTCTGTAGCATTCTTGGGTAGTCTTTTATCAAGTTTGCTCATATAAATTTGATTGGCCCCTTTTAAGGGCCGCTAAAGCTAAAAATAGAAAAACCTTTAAACGTCTTTTCTACAGAACTAATTGATGGATGATCACCAAACTTTGTCTGTAGCATTCTTAGGTAGTCTTTTATCAATTTTGATAATATTATTATGATTGGCCCCTTTTAGGGGTCTCTAGGACTAAAAATAGAAAAACCTTAAAACATCTTCTCCTACAGAGCTTATTGATGGATGATCACCAAACTTTGTCTGTAGCATTCTTGGTTAGTGTTTTATCAAGATTGCTCATATGAATTTGATTGACCCCTTTTAGGGGCCGCAAAAACTAAAAATAGAAATACCTTTAAATGTCTTTTTCTTTTAGGGGTCTCTATAGCTAAAAATTGAAATACCGTTAAATGTCTATTTCTAGAGAACTAATTGAAGCATGATCACCAAACTTTGTCTGTAGCATTCCTGGGTAGTCTTTTATCAAGTTTGCTCATATGAATTTGATTGGCCCCTTTTAGGGACCGCTTAAGCTAAGAATAGAAATACCTTTAAATGTCTATTTCTATAGAACTAATGGATGGATGATCACCAAACTTTGTCTGAAGCATTGTTGGTTAGACTTTTATCAAGTTTGCTCATATTATTTTGATTGGCTCCTTTTAGGGGCCACTAAAATTAAAAATAAATATACATTTAAACGACTATTGCTACAGAACTAATTGATGGATGATCACCAAACTTTGTCTATAGCATTATTGTGTAGTCTTTTATTAAGTTTGCTCATATTAATTTGATTAGCCCCTTTTAGGGGCCGCTAAAATTAAAAATAGAAATACGTTTAAACATCTTCTCCTACAGAACTAATTAATGGATGATCACCAAACTCTGTAGCATTTTTGGGGTAATCTTTATCAAGTTTGCTCATATTAATTTGATTGGCCCCTTTTTGGGGGCCGCTAAAGATAAAAATAGAAAACCTTTAAACATTTTCAGCTTTAGAACCAATTGATGGATAATCACCAAATATTGTCTGTAGCATTCTTGGGTAGTCTTTTATCAAGTTTGCTTATATTAATCTGATTAGCCCCTTTTAGGGGCCACTAAAGCTAAAAATAGAAAAAACCTTCGAACGTCATTTCCTACTGAAATAATTGATAGATGATCACCAAACTTTGTAGCATTCTTAGGTAATATTTTATCAAGTTTGCTCATATTAATTTGATTAGCCCCGTTTAAGCTAAAGCTTAAATACCCCAGGTCATGGCATTTCTTCAAATTATTGTTTGAACATATTCTATGCTCAAATTTGATATTAGAATATATTGACATACCAACACTGAAAAGCAGTTGTTTCTGGTGAGCGACTCATGGCCATCATGGCCCTCTTGTTTGACTTAGAATATTTGTTACAGTTTTTGTTATACCTCAAATATTTTCAAAGTCCATTGACATATGGCTTTGAAACTTTGCACACTTGTTAACCATCATAACCCCAACCTGTAGACGGGAGGAGGTAACTCTATTCAGCATTTTGACAGAAAAATGCCCCTTTCGTCGACTAAGAATTTTTCGTTAAAATTTTTGTAATACCTTGAATATTTTCAAAATCCATTGACATATGGCTTTGAAACTTTACACACTTTTTAACCATCTTGACCCAAAACGTGTAGACAGGCGGTGGTAACTGTATCTAGCATTTTGACAGAATTATGCCCCTTTTAAGACTTAGATTCTTTGTTAAAGTTTTTGTAATACCTCAAACATCTTTAAAGTCCATTGACATATGGCTTTGAAACTTTGCACATTTGTTCATCATTATGACACCAACCTGTAGACAGGCGGTGGTAACTGTATCTAGCATTTTGACAGAATTATACCCCTTTAAAGACTAAGAACTTTCGTTACAGTTTTTGTAATACCTTGAATATTTTCAAAATCCACTGACATATGGCTTTGAAACTTTGCACACTTGTTAACCATCTTGACCCGAACGTGTAGACAGGACGAGGTAACTGTATCTAGCATTTTGACAGAATTATGCCCCTTTTAAGACTTAGAATTTTTGTTTAAGGTTTTGTAATACCTCAAATATCTTCAAAGACCATTGACATATGGTTTTGAAACTTTGCACATTTGTTTACCATTATGACCCAAACCTGTAAACAGGACGAGGTACCTGTATCTAGCATTTTGACAGAATTATGCCATTTTCGTTAACCAATATTTTTGTTTAGCATTTTACTCTCTTGACTTGTTTGCATTTGTTGAATATTTGCATTTATTATAGAATTGACAGTCTTTTAATTTTAGTTTACAATTTTATCTGGTCTATTTAAACAATGTTTACTTGTTAATGATATTTAGAATGTAATAACGGTTACTATGGTGATAATTGCGCCAATCAATGCAATGCCCATTGTAAAGAGGGGGACACAATATGTAGACATACGGATGGAGTATGTTTGAATGGTTGCCAGGCAGGGTGGAATGGTAAAAAATGTGATTCACGTAAGTTAATGGAATTAACAAATGTAAATTTCATTTGTCTCTCATGATTTGTTTTTCTATTTTATATAAATCAAATAAACATCACTTCAAAATATCTCATTTTCATTAAATGAAAAAAATCTATCACTCATATGTAATTCAAAATCAAAACAACACCGTTTAAATCTATCTGTTTGTTTTATTATTTTATTGTTTTATATTTTAGTGTTGTTGTTTTTCTTCTGCATTTTCTTTCTTTAAACTTTTTTACATTGATTTTTCTATTATTTTTTTCGTTTTCACCCAAAGTTGAAATCGAAGTATTTATTTTTCAAGATATAAAATCTATTTATATCTTTATTTCATCGTCTTTTTATGATAAATCATCAGGTTGCATATGCGAGCAGGAATACGGAAACACACTTAAGACAGAAGAAAAACCATTTTTTGTCAATGTTATTTGGATGTACCCTCATATTTTATTCCTGAATAATGTTCGAATTCTGATGAGTTATCTAACATTTGTTTCGGTATTTAAGTGTTTCTGTTGATTCAAACAATTTTATTCTTCGTTTGTTTGTTTGTTTGTTTGTTTGTTTGTTTGTTTTATTGGGTTTCACGTCACACCGAAACAGTATAGGTCATCTGGCGACGTTCCAGTTTTACTGGCGGGGAAAGACCTCAGGTGCCTCTGGCACGAACTGGCACCTAAGTAGAACCACTTACGTTCCGTTAGCTAGCTGGATAGCTTTCTCACATAAAAGAATCCAAAGTCCCTGTCGGTATTCGAACCCAAAGCGTCGAGGGCCAATTGGTCCTTAACCACTCGGCCACTGACGCCCAAAAAACTTTATTTTTTACATTACGAAATATAATATTTTCTTTCATTATGTTATAGAATGTAGCTCTGGCAAGTTTGGTATTGGATGTAGCGAGAATTGTCCTTCAAATTGTAAACATGAAGTGTGTGGGTATGTTAATGGCGATTGTGATGAAGGGTGCAAGCTAGGTTTTCAAGGAAAGAAGTGTAAAGAAAGTAATTATGTTTCCGTTTTATTTTAGTCTGGTCCTTCGGGGTCATTAATTACAGTGCTTAAAGTGAATGAATGAACGTTGCTTAAGCGTGTTGTATATGGCATAAGATATGTTGCACTTTTCTTTAACACATAGGCCTATCAGTAAATGCAATTTTCTCATAGAAGGTTTTTTATTATTCAAGTGATACCCTTAAAAGTATTCTTAACATCTAATGTTTGATATCGATAAAGATAATAAAGTTTTAATGTCAATACAGTTGTGAATCTAAAATTGAAATTATTTTCAAACATATTTTGAAGCATAAATATGCAATACAATTGAATGTCGTACCTGGAGATTTCGATTGAAAAATATAACTCTTGCTTAAAGTGACATTATGCTAATATTTTTATTGTCAAGTTAAGCTGAAATGACTTAATATTTCAAAAGATTGACCATTAAAATGCAGATTGACCAACAGTTAATATTTAAAATTGATTAGGAAAAAATCTGCCTAAAATGTAAAAAGACTGCCCACTCTTTTATAATTTGAACGTAACGGATACATTTCGATCGATATTTATAGAAACTTCATTTGGCTATTTGAGTTTTATATCGTTCATGTTAACTAAATTATAGAATAGAAGGGAATTATGTGAAATTGTTAACTTTGTTTGACTTTCAACTTTTCACTCAATATATACACTTGAATTGGCATAATGTACCATGTGTAATTATTGAATTTTCAGTAGAACTTTAAATTTCTTTAAATATTTTAAACGAATTGCCTGCGATAAAAATATTTATTATAGTTATGTTTAATTGATATCAATTATTTCAAATTCTTTGTTTGACTAATTTGTTAGACTGTACAAGCGGTACCTTTGGCGAAGATTGCCGCACGAAATGCAGTGATTATTGTGTAGGCGGGGATAAAATGTGCAGACCTACAGATGGACATTGTCTGAATGGTTGCCAGGCAGGGTGGAATGGAACAAACTGTATCTCAGGTTACAAAAATCTAACTTTTCCTTTTATTTAATCCATCACATAATACAATTTCTTTTCAATAGCCGGTTTAAGATATAGCAGGTGAGTTACAAAATCTGGAAAAGGGGAGCTTTCTCAGTATTCTGTATGTTTTCTGATAAAAAAGACGTTATAACCACATACATCCCGATCGGTTTTCAGCATTCAACACATTGTATTGCTGTGGTCGTAACGCCCAGAATATGTATATACTATAAATTGATACGCATATTCTTAATGAAAAATAATTCCCTTCGTTTTGTTAGAATTTTCTTAACGCTTTTTACAGAAGTTATTAAATGAAAGGAAAATTGCATAATGATGCTATCCCACTCGCCCTGAATACATTTTTGCACAGTATACTCGGCCGGTATTACCTATCAGAATATAACATCCGGGGAGTATTGCTTTTTAATTGTAAGTGAATGTTGGTTTTGAAGAATAACATTTTACCTACACAATATAGTTCCGAAAGGGAATTTATATTTTATGTTGTACCTTCGTTGTTGTTTTTTTTAACATTTTATATAGTTTATTTAAATATTTATAATGTCAAATCGTTATACTTAAACACATATATTTCTTAGAATGTGACATTGGGTTTTACGGTAAAAACTGCGCGTTCGTGTGTGGTAACTGCCAGCTTGGAAACCGTTGCGACCATGTTACTGGCACTTGTCATGGAGGGTGTAAAACGGGTTACAGCGGCGACACCTGTTTACAAGGTATATTACTATACGCTTTATTTTAAAAACAAGTTTCTGTTTGAAAGTCAGCTTATTAAAAACAATCCCGGCTTCTATCAATGTGAATTTTTTTATATCTTGATGGTATCATTTAGTTTAGTTTATTTTCGTTTGCCTTCTTGCATACTATTATCAACAGATTCACATTTTAGAACTTTGTAATTTATTTTGAATTTTTTACATGTGAATGTTTATTAATAATGTTTAACTTTCACGGAGTCAAACAGAGTCATGTGTTCTAGAGACTTAATATTGACATGAAATTAGTGTTAAGTCATATTAAGCAAAAAATAGAAAATACAATTTTTTATAAAAAAAAAAAATATATATATATTAAAATGAAGAATTATAATCTACAAAATTAATAAAATATTTTGGAATTCATGCCATCAGGAATAATTGTACCTAGCTTATACATCCATGAAGTTTCTTTTAATAATCTTTGCCAATTATTCTTTACTTTATCAATTGGCATAAATGAAAAATCTTTGATAGAATGCCCTTCAGAATTAAAAAGTTCAGATACATTGGTAATGGTGTCAGGAAAGTGTTTAATATCAAATTTGTGGCTATTCATTCTTTGACTACATTTTTGCTGAGTTTGACCAACATACTGTTTTTTACAAGTTATAAGATAAATGACATCTGAAGATATACATGAAAAATCACGTTTTATAGCAAATTCTTTAGGTATAGTAGTACTTGAAAAATTATAAGTTTCAACAATATTATTACAATGAGTACAACGAGGTCGACAGCATTTAGATACTGAACCAACCATGAGTTTGGCATTTAAATGAGTATGAACTAAATTGTCTTGTAAATTTCTCGGTCTCTTATAAGCAACAATTGGTTTGTATTTGTATAATTTACGTACACTTTCATTTGGAGAAAATTTCAATAGGTTCCAATATTGGTTAATTATTTTACCTATATTAGGTAAAGATGGATTGTATGTACACACAAACGGGATAATATGTTCACGTTCTTCTGATTTGTCTTTTAATTTTAATATATCCTCCCTCGATAAAGTTGATGCTCTGGTAATTGTGTCTGTAATGATATTTTCTGGATAGTTTCTGGCACGGAAATAACCTCGTAGTTTGTCACAGTCTTTTTCATATATGTTGTTATTTGATGTAATTCGTCTGTATCGTTTAGCCTGGCTAAAAGGAATACCTTTTTTACATGACAAAGGATGGCATGAAGAAAATTCAATATATTGATGGGCATTTGTTATTTTTTCATGGACAATAGTTTCAATTTCACAGTTATCTTTCTTTTCCAAATTTACGTCTAGAAATGTTGCATTTGTTTTTGAGTAGTTATAAGTAAATTTAATAGTGTTGTGATAGTTGTTAATTTCATTAAAAAATGTAATAAGCTCCTCTTCACTGTGGTCCCAAATGAAAAAAATATCATCAAGAAATCGCAGCCATATTGAGGGTTTACTTTCACATGTATTTAAAAAGTCCATTTCAAATTTTCCCATAAATAATGAAGCATAAGATGGTGCCATTTTAGTTCCCATAGCTGTTCCTAAATTTTGTATATAGTTATCATCACCAAACTGGAAGTTGTTTTTTGTAAGCACTATTTCAATAAGATGTAAAATGTCTTTAACTGAATGTTGTTGTCGTGTTCTCTGATTAAGGTAGTACTGACATGCTTTGATTCCATCATTATGCGGTATATTACTGTATAAAGATGATACATCCATTGTTACTAAGAATGATTCTGTTGAAATATTTGTTATGTTTTGTATTTTTCTGATAAAATCTGTAGTATCCTTGACATATGAGGGTAATGATTCCATGTGTGGTTTGAGTATATTACTATTGGTCTTCCGGGGTAACCGAGTGGTAGATCAGAATTGAATTGTTTATGGATTTTAGGTAGAATATAAAAAGCTGGAACTCTATTGTCACTATCAGGAACCAAAGATTTTTTAATAGAGTAACTTATATTATCCATTTGATAAATTTCCTCATAGATTTCTTTTTTAAATTGTTCAGTTGGATTATTTTCAAGTTTCTTATAATATTGGTCGTTTTCAAGCTGTCGGTGAACTTCTCTAATGTAGTCAGTACGGTTCATAACAACAATAACCGAACTTTTATCAGCTTTTTTTATAATGATATTTTCATCTTTTTGTAGGGTTTGCAAGGCTTTTAACTCTTCTGGTGATAAATTTGTTTTATAACTATTGTGTTAATTGTTTGACAGAATTTCATTTGTTATTGCTTCAATATAAAAATCAAGATTGGAATCTCTGCCAGAAGGGGGGTTAAAAGTAGAGTTGTTTTTCTTCTTACTGTTAATGTCATAATTATTGGTACTATTATTTTCATTTCCCTCACTATTTTCCTCTTTTGCTGCAAAATATTCATTCAATCTAAGTTTTCTTGTAAATTCAAAAACATCTTGTTTAAGTTGAATTCTATTATGGGGTTTTGGTGTTGGGCAGAATTTTAAACCTTTATCAAGTAATCGATATTCAGTGTTATTGAGCTGTTTATTAGAAAGATTTATTACAGTGTTCTTACCCCTTTCTATGTCTTTCTTTATTTTCTTGTTTTTCTTCCATTTTCTCTTGTTTGTGATTCGAATGAACCGTCTGTTCTTTTTAGATTCTGTAGGCATTTGATCAGTTCCTGAATAGTTTTCTCTAGATGTAATGTGTTTTTTCCATTCTGGTGTTGTATGCTGCTCCCTTGTGGAACATGACTTTTCTTGTATTGCTGTTTCCCCATTGTCACGGCTTCGTTGTATTTTATCTTCATGCTGCCTGGGGGTATCTCTTTTTTAAACACTTGATTGCATTGATTTTGGCTTTGCACATTTGTCTTTTGTTTGTGCCAATGGTTTAATGTTGTCTCTATCATTTAACTCTTCATTGGCATTTTTATTTGAATGTTAATTATTTCGTTCTTTGCTCTATTTTTCGGTTTTTGTTTAGATTCTTAGAAAATTGTTTTTATTTCTTTTCTCATCATTGCTTTTTGATGTAGAGATTTGTGCAGATTCTTCAACAATGAAACAGTCTCTTTTGTCAGTCAGCTGTTTTATTTTCTTATTGTGATTTGCAACAAGAGTGTTCTTCTTTAATTCTGTTTTGTTGAATATTTCTTGCGAAATTCTATTTATTTCACCATTGCTGTTTAGTTTAGATCTAAGTTCATTTTCAAGTTCAATCATTTTTGGCTTTGACTCTTGTAATTGTTGATAATGTTCTTCAGAGACAAGTCTCGTAATTTCCATTGCGGTTTTTAACAAAATTCTGTCAACAATTTTCTGCAGGCGACCATTTTCACCAACTTGCACTTGAAGTTTTATCTTCAGTCCATTTGGAACAACATTTTCTGCTATACAGTTCTCAAGGAAGCGCATATGAGTTGATTTTCGCATCTGGAAGTCTGCCATTTTTTTTATCTTTTTAGTCAATATGTCCTTGGTTTTCATTCTGGAGAATAACAATTGATGCAAGAGACTTCTACGTTGTAGTAATAATGTTAGTTGGAATATAGAAATAACTCAAATAATAAGTTTTAATTTAAAAATGTAATTATTTTATTTGAAAAATATATAACGCTTTCGACTCAAAAGTCTTCATCAGGTATACTTTGTTTATAGGAAATGACGTCAACGTCATATGACGTCAAGAACAACGACGTCAAAATGTAATACATAATTTGGCGTATAAATGTTATATGTAGGATCTTTATAAAAGATACAAAACACTGGTGGAGATGCAGTAAAAAGCAATGTAAAATAAGAAAACCAGCATAAACTACATATTGACATGAAATTAGTTTTAAGTCATATTAAGCAAAAAATAGAAAATACAATTTTTTATAAAAAAAAAAAAAAAAAAAATAAAAATAATATTAAAATGAAGAATTATAATCTACAAAATTAATATAAAGTATTTTGGAATTCATGCCATCAGGAATAATTGTACCTAGCTTATACTTCCATGAAGTTTCTTTTAATAATCTTTGCCAATTATTCTTTACTTTATCAATTGGCATAAATGAAAAATCTTTGATAGAATGCCCTTCAGAATTAAAATGTTCAGATACATTGGTAATAGTGTCAGGAAAGTGTTCAATATCAAATTTGTGGCTATTCATTCTTTGACTACATTTTTGCTGAGTTTGACCAACATACTGTTTTTTACATTTTTTACAAGTTATAAGATAAATGACATCTGAAGATATACATGAAAAATCACGTTTTATAGCAAATTCTTTAGGTATAGTAGTACTTGAAAAATTATTAGTTTCAACAATATTATTACAATGAGTACAACGAGGTCGACAGCATTTAGATACTGAACCAACCATGAGTTTGGCATTTAAATGAGTATGAACAAAATTGTCTTGTAAATTTCTCGGTCTCTTATAAGCAACAATTGGTTTGTATTTGTATAATTGACGTACACTTCATTTGGAGAAAATTTTAATAGGTTCCAATATTGGTTAATTATTTTACCTATATTAGGTAAAGATGGATTATATGTACACACAAACGGGATAATATTTTCACGTTCTTCTGATTTGTCTTTTAATTTTAATGTATCCTCCCTCGATAAAGTTGATGCTCTGGTAATTGTGTCTGTAATGATATTTTCTGGATAGTTTCTGGCACGGAAATAACCTCGTAGTTTGTCACAGTCTTTTTCATATATGTTGTTATTTGATGTAATTCGTCTGTATCGTTTAGCCTGGCTAAATGGAATACCTTTTTTACATGACAAAGGATGGCATGAAGAAAATTCAATATATTGATGGGCATTTGTTATTTTTTCATGGACAATAGTTTCAATTTCACAGTTATCTTTCTTTTCCAAATTTACGTCTAGAAATGTTGCATTTGTTTTTGAGTAGTTATAAGTAAATTTAATAGTGTTGTGATAGTTGTTAATTTCATTAAAAAATGTAATAAGCTCCTCTTCACTGTGGTCCCAAATGAAAAAAATATCATCAAGAAATCGCAGCCATATTGAGGGTTTTCTTTCACATGTATTTAAAAAGTCCATTTCAAATATTCCCATAAATAATGAAGCATAAGATGGTGCCATTTTAGTTCCCATAGATGTTCCTAAATTTTGTATATAATTATCATCACCAAACTGGAAGTTGTTTTTTTGTAAGCACTATTTCAATAAGATGTAAAATGTCTTTAACTGAATGTTGTTGTCGTGGTCTCTGATTAAGGTAGTACTGACATGCTTTGATTCCATCATTATGCGGTATATTACTGTATAAAGATGATACACGATTGTTACTAAGAATGATTCTGTTGAAATATTTGTTATGTTTTGTATTTTTCTGATAAAATCTGTAGTATCCTTGACATATGAGGGTAATGATTCCATGTGTGGTTTGAGTATATTATCGACATACGATGATATCTTTTCAGTTAATGAACCGCATCCAGATACTATTGGTCTTCCAGGGTAACCGAGTGGTAGATCAGAATTGAGTTGTTTAAAATTGCAAAAATGTAGTCAAAGAATGAATAGCCACAAATTTGATGTTAAACACTTTCCTGACACTATTACCAATGTATCTGAACATTTTAATTCTGAAGGGCATTCTATCAAAGATTTTTCATTTATGCCAATTGATAAAGTAAAGAATAATTGGCAAAGATTATTAAAAGAAACTTCATGGATGTATAAGCTAGGTACAATTATTCCTGATGGCATGAATTCCAAAATACTTCATTAATTTTGTAGATTATAATTCTTCATTTTAATATTATTATTATTTTTTTTTATTTTTTTTTATATATATAAAAATTGTATTTTCTATTTTTTGCTTAATATGACTTAAAACTTATTTCATGTCAATATGTAGTTTATGCTGGTTTTCTTATTTTACATTGCTTTTTACTGCATCTCCACCAGTGTTTTGTATCTTTTATAAAGATCCTACATATAACATTTATACGCCAAATTATGTATTACATTTTGACGTCGTTGTCCTTGACGTCATATGACATTGACGTCATTTCCTGTAAACAAAGTATACCTGATGAAGACTTTTGAGTCGAAACGTTGTATATTTTTCAAATAAAATAATTACATTTTTAAATTGAAACTGGAGTTGATTTCTATATTCAAACTTACAGAGACTTAATATGTAATACAAGTTACAGGGAAAATATGTGTAATCCCTTTATTTTACGCCAAGGGCATATAACTTGATAGACATATATTTTTTTATTTACAGCAATGCAAACGTCGAATATTTCGAATTCGATTGTGGTAGGGGGAGTAGCGGTTCTTGTCATCTTAATTTTAATTGGAGTTATTGCTTTCGTTTGGCATAAGCAACGCAATCAGAATAAAAGGTAATGTTATATTATTGTGTTACTAACTTACCGCATGTGTCTAAATTCTGAAGCAGTGTAAATGCAGAACACAAAACTGCATCATTTTAGTACAAAATAATATTTTGAATTTTATAGAATATTATAAAGACAAAGATATCTTTACTTTTCTTCTATGACATTTCAACACTATTAAGAAAATAAACAAGAATTTTAAGCGCTCATTTCTTGTATATCTTGTAGGATATTAGAACTTTCAAAGTTAAACGAAACTCTGAAAATTTAAGAAATAAAGAAATACAAGTTCAAAATATTGAGTATTTACTGTTTTGATATCGGTTATCATTTTCTTTTAACCATAGAAAAGATGAACAAAGAGGGGACGTGGAGCTCAGAGACGCTGTTGCGACTGCTAGCAATGAAAATAGAAGGCTATCTCACGGTGGAAAAACGCATGCAAATACAGGTATGGCTTAATTCAAAGTTAGATCTGATTATTGTTTTTAAATAACATTGGGTTTCATTATAGAATGCTTTTACGAATGCTTTCTTAAATAGTACACGGTATTTGGTCATAATTAAGTACTCACAATTGTAATTTACCAACTAAAATAACACAAATTATATTTTACAGGTATAAAGTTGTTTCTGGTCAAACAAAACAAAAATATATTAAAAAAAGATACAAAAACTGTATCATTTTCTTATTAACACAACCCCATGGTCATACCTGGAGAGTTGTGATAACTATAGTATTCGATAAATTAAAGGTCAAATAGATTATATTTAATGTGATACTTAGCTATAAGTAGGCATAGCCCTTTGCTTACGAATGTTAAAACCACTTTTCATCAGACATCTACAAACATTATTCTCTTATTTTAGGTACTTTAGTTACATTTATATAATGGATACGTATAGCCTACGGATCACACACGACAGTTCAGTGTTATTGTAACAAGTGCCCCTTAAAAATATTTCATTTAAAAAATATTTATGCATCAGGTTGTTTTTATATTATTTTAATTAGGAAATATTCATTATTTGATGCATCAGGTTTTGTTGGGTTTTTTTTGTATTATCTGGGTGTTAAGGGATTTTTTTTATCTGGGTTCATGTTTTAATCAACTCCTAACGTGAATCTCCATGTACGGTAGGTGCCAAGTCATTTGCTGTGTGTCGCTGTAAAATGTTGGACCGTACTTTGTTGTATATTTTCTAGACCTTTGATATCATTGATTTCAACCTATAGATTGAATATTACTTAACCAGTGCTCGGTTAACCTTTTTTTATTTCATTAACAGACTAAATCAAATCAAATTATCTTTCTTGCTCCCTACTTCAAGGAGATTGCTATATATATTGCTTTATATTGAAGGGTAATTACACTTATGTCAATTACTATAATGTAAATGAATGCCATTTACAATAATGTAAATGAATGTCATTTAAGAAAATGGAAGTGAATGTCATTTACGATAATGTAAATGTGCACGTACATGAATTTGGGTTTTGAGATTTTGAAATAGTAGAAGAATTCAAGGTTTATCTATAAGGTTTTGTTTTCAAGATGACAGTGGAAGTGCGGCGGCAGCGGCAGGTGATGCAAACATTTACAACAACTTCCCGATGCAAAGTCCCAGCAGGAATGCCATACCACTGTCAAACCTCCTACCATATGTCAAAGAGAATCTGGCCAATCCTGACCATTTTGCAACTGAATTTCAGGTCATTTGATGTTCCTTATGGGAACGCTTTTAAATTATTTATGTATTTAGAAAAGATATTGGAGATCTAGATTATTAAAACAAAGTGGATTGTCCCATTAAAAAGGGGCCGTTAATCCGTAGAAATTATGTGTAGATATAACTTATTACCATATTTAAATATTAATGTTTGGTGTTGGTAAGTGTGAGGTACATGATCTTTTCTTGCATCTCAGACAGGATATCCTACCGTTTACACCGGTGCTAGAAAACTCTGTCTTACACCCCCATGCAAGACAAGTCGCGTGCTTTAAATGACGTCATTGACACGCGCCTTTTATGAATGATTTGCGTTCTTAGGATGACGTCATTTTTCCGCCATGAATGAAGTTGTATGTTAATACGCTACTATAAGAAAAAAGTGCGTAATGAGAATATCAGTTTTCATTACTTCTGTTCCGAAAATAATTGACATGTAATATGCAAGAAAAAGAATCAAACACCGGCTGCCGGTACAGACCGGAATATCTAGCTCGAGGGTAACTGTTTACAGCGGTAACATTCTTATAAAAAGACATATCCTTATATAGCAGATAATAAATTGTTCTAGCACAAAATATTATTATTCATCATATAAATGTCCATATACAAAACATGTATCAAAATTTTGTTCAAAAGATATTCTATAAGAATATCCAGTCATACGGTTCTATTGGTTTGTCAATTTTGAAATTCTTATGGAAAATGTGCCCATTGCAGACCAATTCACTTTAAACTGTATAGTTTGAAAACAATAAGAAAAAGAAATTAAATAGAGAATTGAAAAAAAAAGAAATAGTTTTTTTTAATTGCGTGACTTATATACATATATACACACATTTTATTCAGAAGAAGAAAACTAACGTTGACAAACCTGAAAGTTTAGATTTTATTTCAATTTATTCAATTGATTGAGCGTTTTTGGACAAATCTTAATGCTTCCAATTGTTTTTGTTTTGTTTTCTGGGGTATTTTTTCATAGTTTTTATCTTGGTTTTGTTTCAGGAAATACCGTATGGAATGAAAAAGTCGTCTGCTGTTGCCAAGAAATCGTTTAACCGTGGAAAGAACAGATACAAGGATATGCATGCATGTATGAAATATTTTTTGCAGTTATATACATTAAAATAGTATTATTTTATCTCTTTTTAAACCTGTGTAATAACGGGAAAATAAAAGATTAATTCAAACCGACTAATCTTTTTTTTATAAAGTTGAATTCAGGAAAAGTAAAACTATTAATGATTCAAGTAATAATGTACATGTTTTCTGCAATCAACGTGTTATTTTGCAGTACCTATCACCATATTTCTACAGGATTATAAGTGCCGTTTGCAATGTGTACAATATTTTCTTTCTTCACTTCACAGTTGTTACTTCAAAATATATTTCCAAATATGTCATAAAATTACCAAGAACCTTGAGGCATGCTGCTTTATTTAAGCATATAAACTTGATTAAGACGATGCTGTTCAGAACGCTTACAAAAGGCTGACTTTTCTTCTAAGATGTCGTGCCTGAAATTATGAACGTGGGTTTTTATCCACCAGTGAGATTGCAAATCGCCATATGACTTGACAAAATGTCAATTCAAAGTTAAACGTTTTGTTGAGGAAAAGATAACGACAACAAAACTAAAGAAAATTATAAAGAAAATAGCTTAAACAATGTCAGCAAGTGTTACAATTATAACTATGATAGCAATTTTAACTGTATAATTAAGCCTCTCTAACACTTACTGATTACCGTCATGACACATCGTCTTACAAAATACATTCAGATTTCAATATTTAATAATAACAGCATTATTGTCTTAAACATATTTTTCTACCAATACATTTTATAAGCATGTTGAAAATAAAACTATGCATGTATTCAGGGACATTTTGTTCAATAAAGGTAGCTTTATGTCAGTATAATAGTATTCTTAAATTTCTTGAATTATTAGATGATGAAACACGTGTTAAGCTGAAAAAACTGCCAAACATACAGGGATCAGATTATATCAATGCAAGTTTCATCAAGGTAAGACCTTTTTTGTATCAATTTTATAAAATGTTTGACAAGGTTGTTCGTTACCGTTAATTATCACATAAATCCTTAAATATCCTGCGGATGTTTCTAAATTCAAAACTTCACCATTTTCATGTTAAATTTTGAATTCTGCTTAAGTCGGTGCTAATGGGCTTGGATGGTAGTTTGCACTTGACAGTACCGTCTATAAACAGGCTCAATCAAACCGAGTCTAGAGAATTTTTTTATTTTGCCGTTTTTGACTTTCTTTTATGGAATACTGTTTACTCTATTTTGCAAAACTTAAAGCTTTAAGCGATATAAGCTTCTAATATGGATATCGCAAACGAAAAGCAACTAAGGCATATTACATTTTATAAGCGAAAATAGATTTTTATTCTAATGTGATGACATCAAAGATATAAGTATGTTTAGGTTAATAAATATCCTTATTTATTATTACGTACCACATTATTCTTAGTAAACCGGGACATTTGTTTGTTTGTTGAACAGGGACATCACAAAGAATATGCCTACATAGCGGCACAAGGTAATTTATAACTTTGAAATATTTAAAAACATATTAACTAATATCTGATTTTTTTTTGTTTTTATCACAAAAGTTCATTAAGCCCCCGAAATGTTGCTATCAAATTATTTCTCAAAAAAAAAAACTTTATTTCTGATTCCAAAAAGTTTCACATCGGTTCTTAAGAAATATTGTCTTTTGCTTATTTTAATTTTTGGCAATATGTATAATATTTTTAGTATTTCGTGCTGCATGTGTAGCGTTCCTCTTTTCAATTATTAAACATTAAAGATGTTCTAAATCCATTATTTAAACATAATTTATCACATGTTAGACTTTCCTAAAGAATCAAAGTTTGTTCATTTCTGAGGCATAATGTGCCTTTTATTTGAGGAACAGTGGATGGTATTTTGCAGATATTTAATATCACACTAATCAAAACCTTTTGTTTCCCTCATATTGAAGTTTTCTAAAAGGTAATCTCAGATTGATTTAATTGACTTGAAAATAAAATACTTGGTAATGAAGTATGGCAAGATATACTTATACACATTTATAGATATATTCCTATGAAACTATGTACACTTCCACTATTTAAAAGAGATCATCAAAAGCATGGTTTGAACGGAAAATGCAACGTAGCTGTGCAGGTTTCATTTCAATAGCATTCGGATGATTATGTTTGTATATATGTGTATCTACATTTTAATAATTGTAAATGTGTTTAAGGTCCCATTGACTCGAGCATGGACGACTTTTGGAGAATGATCTGGGAGAAAGATGTATATACCATCGCCATGGTAACAAACCTGGTTGAGCTAGAAAAGGTATTTCATAATATTGCACATATACTCGTACTTAAAAAACATTATCTCTGTCAGTTTCCACCATCCACAAAAGAGTTTCTTAAGCATCAGCAATGCATCAACTAAGAATAACCTTTCTAATGCCAAATACGTGATTTCTTTTATTGATTTAAGATAGATAAATTGAGCTAACTTTCTTTAATGTATATAACATAAATTATAGACATCGTGAAAGTATTTGATAGGATAAGTAATGTTTTTCATATAACTTTATTGATATTTATTTAAAACCTTATTACATTAGTTATTCTTGTGACTTTTATAATACTTTGTCTTTTGTTCAGACAAAATGCCAGCAGTATTGGCCGGCTGTCGAAACCAGTACACGCTATGGTAACGTTTTTGTTAACACGGCATCGGAAATTATCTACTATGACTTTACAATTCGGAACTTCAATGTATCATTTGAGGTAAATTGTAAACATTCTCTTAAATAACACATTTACGGATAAAAAGCCAATTGTTAATAGCATAAAGAGTAGTGTCTAGATCTTTTGACTGACTGACGGACAAACGGACCGATCGATCATAACCACCCATCAGATAATTCTATATCTTTTACATTTCTTTGATCAGTCATTTTACTTACTTACCAAATTAAAAAATATAACGATACTGTTTTTGAAGGGAGAGCCACAACGAAATATTCGTCAGTTTCATTTTACATCCTGGCCAGATAAAAGTGTTCCAAAGAGACCTTCAAGTTTGATTCAGTTTTGGAGAAAAGTACGGAGGAACGATGAAAACAAAGACCACACATGGCTTGTGCACTGCAGGTGATGCGTTTAAACATCTTCAATCACACAATAATTCATTTCACTTTGTAGAGTAGCCTTATTAATAAGGCCTATTGAACAAATCGTAGGTATTGGTTTAAAGTCATTTGTGTCTGATTACGGTCTCCTCTCATACAACATAATGATGTAAGATGTTTATCATTTTTTAAGCAAATGACTGAAATTTATTCAGGTATTGTGTATAAACTTATGAATCGTCATGCAGAGAATTTATTAATTAGCATGCGTTAAGTGCTCAATTTTGTTAATAAGTTATCTCTTTGTTACATGTAACAAAATAAACAATTAAGAAACTTAAACATGAAGTAAAAGATTTCACTTTTCACAACATTAAATAGTGCTGGTGTTGGTCGGACTGGTACTTTCATTGCCCTAGACATTTTGTATGACCAAGGAAAAGACAAAGAATCTATTGATGTGTACCAATGTGTAAAAGAGTTACGTGACCAACGAGTGAATATGGTTCAAACAAAGGTAATAATTATATCTAGTTGTCATATTTCATCAATTGCTTTAATACACATTGAATGTACCCAGCCATCTGACCGCCGGCCGATTGCTGCGCATTATCTTCAACGAAAATGAACATGCTATAGCTAAACAACACCCAAAGTATAACGTTACATACGCACACAAACTAATTGGAGACATTTATTCGAAAAACTGCAAAGAATAGTAGGTGTGTAATGTCTTTTCGTAATTCGTGTGATATGTGTTCATATTTAGCTGATATTTGAATGTCAGTTATAAAGACAAATGGTTTTTGCTGTTCATTTTAAATTCTTTTTGCATCCCTTAAATGTTGTTTGTTGTCATACAAAACCAATTGTGTTATATTATTATCATAAGACAATGTTTTTTTGTTACAAATATACATTTAAACTGCTACCTTAATAATGTTGTGCTTATAATATTTTGAAGATAGATTTTGTTATCTTAACAGGTGTAATATTTTGTCAGATGTTTTTCACAATACAAAACTTTTATGCATAAACACACAATACAGAGAGATAAACATTTAAAGAAGAACACATTGTTTTCAAGATTCTACAAAGATTATCAAGAAAGTAATTCAGTAGCATCTTAACAATATTGTAAAAGTTATTAATACCTGACCCATGTTTAAAAATTCCTTATCAGAAGTTATTACATTACATTATCAACATAAAGAAGAAATCCCAATATAACATCGATACTTATTTTACCACAAATTATCATCTGCTTAAGGAAAACAACTCCTACTATTTTATTATTGATGTTCAATTAAGAGTTGTATCTCTTTGCAAGAATACTTTATGCATAAATATCAAATGGAAAAAAAATAAAATGACCAAAGTTAATAAACTAAGAAAAACAAACAAAATAGGCTATGGGTGCAGTACTGAGTGATTCAAGCCTAAATAAATAATCCTTAAACAATAGTTTTGATTAGGCTGCAAAGAGACATGTTTGCTCCATAAATTGTCAAACTGTAAGACCCTTTTTTATTTTTATTATTTTATTTTCATTGTATAATTGTGTTCTCAAAAGAAGAGTGACATAACTTTTAAAAAGTTGAACGCTTTGAACTGAGTTCTTTTATTCGCATCGATAAAGAGTATACTTTTTAAGGTCAACTGTGCGTTGACATCTGTACATTTTGAATTTATCAATGATTTTATATCTTCCTAGAAAGAATAACTAAACTGGCAATCCCAAAATAATATATTTTCATACTTGCAGAAAGGACGTGTATCCACATCTTTTATTCTCATTTTATGTAAACGATAAAGGCCTGTTATATTAACCAAACGATCGTGATCGGACTAACACTGACAATATTCTGTTTAATTACAGGAACAGTATGTTTATCTTCACGGCTTGATGGTCGAAGCTCTTCTTCTGTTCTCAGAACCGGTTCCATTAGACAATATACACAAAGTTGTAAGAGATCTAAAAACTGTGGATCAGGCAACAAAGAAAACAAAAATGCTGCTACAATATGAGGTAACTTTTTCAGCCTGGAGACAGTCTAATTTCAGATTTTAACTTGACTTCCTGTGAAATACACAGGGATGAACTAAATTAAAAAAGGATTTTCATCGGTTCATTTAAGGCCCTCTCAAGCCACACAAGATTGCTAAGACGCTTTTTTCTATAAACCGCATATGATCGTTTCAGATATAAGGGCCTGAATGGAAAAAAAATGCTCAACAATAATCGGTAAAATATTCAAGAGGCAAATTAATAATAAGCCAGTAATTATAGTGGCATTATTTCTTTCCCCGAAAATAGATTCTAGCGGCAAAAGTTCACAGGTTACAGTTTATCATTGTGAAAGTAGCTACGCTGTTCGAAATTAATTTTGGAGTGGTTTTCTCCGTGTGATTTGATTCAACGTAAATAACAGCTGAAGACATTGGAGTAAGGTCAGCCGGCAGCATAGAACCGCCTGTCATATGTCGAAAATGATAATGTTGCTACAACTAAAAGTTATTAATAAGCAAATCTACTGAACATCAATCATATTAATGAAAAAATAAATAAATGACCACTTGAATTTGATTATAATAAATAACAATGTATTCCGGCTTAGAACTTACACAAAACTGACTTAGGAATGAATCAAAATATTTAAACGAGATCTTCCACAATTGCGTATATTTTTTAAAAGATAATTCTTGCTTAAATTTGGTCGTATAATATTCTACAAATATCAATCATACCAAAACACTAAAACAAATTTTCTCCCTAAAATATACACAATTCATTAAGCACTAAAACATTTCAACGTATAGAAATATCGGTACTTTGTTAGTGAAAAATAAGGTACTCACCGGAATCGATACTACCGAGGATTTGACCTCTTTTATACAACCGTCATTCATTTAATTCTATTTCTTGACAGCCATATTCATATTGATTGAATATCTAATAAAAAGGTCAGTTATGTTATGAGACACAAATGACCCTCGGATCAAGTGAAAGTAATCATGAAATAGATACGCGGCAAAATTAAGAATGATGCAGGCTCAGGTTGCTTGAGTATGTACATGTGTGGTAAACGCAGTATACCGTCTTAACTCCCTTGTATTGTCTTAATCAGAACAATAAACTGCCGTTTTTTCCCGCAAATGTCCATGTAAACACGTTGTATTAAAAACGTTGACTTGCTAGATTGTATGACTTGAATTCAAAATTCATTTCTTTGTTTAACGTTTTCCATTTTCTAGATTGTGACTTTAAAAAAAACGCTATAACATGTGAAAACAGTATTATATTGTTTTAAATCTATTTAGGCATTGAAGAAAGACATGACTCTCCTTCGAACTGAGAAAGAAGTCAAAGAAATGTATTCAGCGGCTTTGCTGAAGGAAAACAGCAGCAAGAATAGGTCCATCAACGTTCTTCCGCGTAAGTTTATTTACATTTATTTTTACCTTTTCCAGAATAAAAACTGGTTCTTAACGACGCAAATAAATTTCATAAATTTAAACAATGAACATTTAAAGAAAGCAATCCGACTTTTTACCAGTTGTTTCTTTTTCAGTGTAATATATGTATATACTTAGATAAATCTTGTTTTGCATTCAAATTCATTTCTTAAGTTGATGTTGCATTCATGAACGTTTCTAGATTCTTAATTAGCAAAAGAGGAGTATTCCGCCCTCTATGTGGTATTCTTAAATCGAAAATATGGCGTCAATTGCCAGAAAATTGTGAAAAGGAATCCTGACTTCGAATTCCACTGATAAATTGATGTCCCATAAAAGATAATATTGAGATTCATGCTATAAAATTTTATTTTACTTTCAGCTAACGATTTTCGACCTTTTTTAGTCACCAACATACCAGGATGTACAAACTACATCAATGCAGTCTTAACGCCGGTCAGTTTACTAAAATCTTTAATAAAAATAATAACCACAACTTTAATGTTTTTAAAAAAATGTATCTAGATTCATTTTTAATCCAGATAATGTCGTTTGAGTTGCTATTAGTTCTTACTATATGAACATAAAACAAGTTTCGTTCAAGATTTAGAAACGCTAAATGTCATGTGACAGATTAACCAATCGAGGTCCATATTGCCAAGGACAATGCAGTGTTTAACTTAACAGAATTAAATGGTTTTAAAATTTATTACTTCTATTTATTTTATGTATTTTAGAGCTATTGTCACAGTCAAGGTTTTTATGTCACACAGAAGCCACTTGAAAATACTGCAGTCGACTATTGTCGTCTTCTTTATGAGCTGAATGTCAAGGTCATTGTGAAATTTCCTGACAACGAAAAGAATCATGTAAGACTTTTACAAAACAACTCTGTTGAAAAGAATCACTTACTTATTTTATCCTATTGTAATGTTTACCCAGTTTGTCAGAATTTCATTTAAATACTTGCAAACAATTACACACTAATTGTTTCTTTGATTTTTTACCTGCATTGACATGTTGCTTTACCATGCGAGTGTCTGTCAAAGCCTTCAATTAAATCAATAAAATCAGGTCATAGTTTTCTTAGATGCAGTGTTAAAAGTTGCTTTATGCGTAAAGCGTGGATGTATTCTATTCCAGTGGTACTTATTATTTATTAAAACATTATAATTTCTTAGCGTTACAAATGTTTTAAACATAAGTTTACTGTAATTTATTCCAAGTAATGCAACAGCAATCAGAAACGCATAGTGTACTGTAGTGTTAAACATGTGTAAAATGAATCTAAACTTCAATTGTAGTGTTTAGTATGGCAGCAACAGTTTTGTTAAGCGTCAATTGTATGTGAATTTCTAGTCTGTAATTTACTTTAGTGGTTTACCATTTCTTAGAACGGTAACAGGTAAACTAAGAAAAACAGAGTTTTTTCAGACCAATGAACTCTGAAAATATAAGCTTGGCCCCTTATCAAGGGATGTGTTTCGCATGCAGTATCGGATGAAGGTATTACGTAAATGCTGCAAATGGTACATATTTGGCCCAAAGTTGGCAGTAGATTGAATCTCCAACAATCTTATTTGCTTGGCAAATGCTTGAACTTCATTATTTTGAGCATTGTGAAAGTTTTAAATTATATAAACTCCATGTCTATTTTAATATGCATCTTTGATATACAATTATTGATGATATTGAAATACCTATGAAATTTAGGTGGAGCCAGATATGTCAATAGGACCATTCAAGTTGAAGAAGGTGTCAGAAGAAGACAAAGTCTTCTACACAATGACAGTGTTCAACATGGCGTATAGTTCAAAGGTTGTTTATTTAAAACATATATGTAATTGTGAGCTTGTGTTTGTAAAGTAATCCATCTGATGAGATAAAAAAATTGACTTAGCATAGGAGTTTTTGTGTCACCTTGTTTTGTTTCAGGAAAAATGATCAATTCAAACTAATTTTCAAAAAAGTATTCTTAATAAAAATCAATATTGACATTATTCAAGTAGTTTCTCATCTATAAATATTTCCTTACGTTGCACCAACAAACGTTTAATCTTTTTTAATAATGACAAGGAAATAATATCGTTGTAGAATAAAAAGATCACCCAGCTTGAGTTCAAAAATTGGAACACCGACCAAATCACGCCGACTGGTCCTGAAAACATGCTTCATTTCTTGCAAGAAGTAGAACGTCTAAACAGAATCGCAGCCGACAGTCCTCTCCTTGTTCAATGTTTGTAAGTATGAATTTGGGGGACAAATATTTTAAACTTTATTACAAAGATCTTAAGTGCATTTCAATCCCAAAACCCACAGTTCAATCCCGATATCCGCAATGTATACATTTTTCATTTTTTCAATTATACAAGAAAACGTTTGATGACCATCACGATATTGCATTGCGTTTCCATTAAAAAACCTTTACAAATAAGGCTCTAGATATAAACGTTAACACGCACCATTGTATATCAAAAGACATTTGTTTGAGCACAGAGCCTAATCAATGTATTTTTACATCAATTTGGTTAATCTTCATACATAAATAAAAATTATATATCATTAGTACCGGTTATTTCGAGAAAGCAAAGTCAAAGTTGTTTAGATATGTTTAATCTTTTTTTTATGAAAATATTAAGCTGAAATGAAGTAAAACGAGTAAACTTTGCTATTGAAGAATAAAATCTATTTTAACAATTATATTTAAAACGTTTGGCAATAAAATGAAATTTTCTGGTAGAAAGTGTCACACTAAAATTAATCATTTTTAGGGACGGATCGGAAAAGAGCGGACTGTTTATAACACTGATGACCATATTTGAACGTGTCCGGCTTGACAAGGAAGTGTGTATTCCACAAGTTATTAGGGAACTCAGATATATTCGTCAGCAATTTATCCCGAACTTTGTAAGTTTTTAGAATTTCTAATACGTTAAAAGGGATCTCGTTATATGTGGAGCAGACTGTAAATAATCTAAACGTATAATCTAAACGTTCAATGATTGAGCTAGTGAGTTGGACCTTGCGATGGCTCTATATATTGAGCGATACACCTAAACATGTAGGAGTAAAAATGTGGTCCCTTTTGACATGCCGTCAGGTTCCTCGGATTTTTAGGAATTTATCTCAAATATAAGCATACATATTCATTTTACTTTAAAATCGTTTTATAAAGTAATTATTGAAGATGTATCGATTAAAATATCTACAAAGGGGTCAGTAAGTAGTTTTCAATTTTTTGGATTTTTGCAGATCACTTTGATTCGTTTCTATTTCAAGATATTAAGTTATTTCACTTGATATATTTCATATTGCACCTTATTATCATGTTAAAAACATTTTATCATCAAAAGATAGCATAATTTCATTTTCATTTTTCCTCGAAAGGGAGAAAATGTGTTTGAAAATTATTACTGTAACAACACTGATTAAAAAGCTTACTGCATACTCAGGATATATAGCCACAATTTGAAAAATAAATACTTTTTATATTCGTATAAAAATAACTTTTGTTAAAGCTGATAGTGATAAAAACGTTCCATCCAATATATACAATATATCTTTTAGCAAATGTACGTGTAACTTGATATCTTACTATGAATATACTCTTTTATATTTCAGGAGCAGTTCCAATTTTGTTACAATGCTGTCCTTTGTTACGTTGATAGTCACCAAATGTACGTAAATCAAATATGTGAATCAAATATGTAAATACAACAGTTGAAAGATGGGTCAAGGACGACACTGTTTATGTGAAAGCTATGATATGTATAATCATATATATTCAATGCACTACATTAACTCATGAAATGAGAGAAGTTTCTATTGCAATACAAGCGAATTTCATATAACGAAAATGAATTGTATAGAAAAAGAGTGAATTTTGTGATATGACGAGAGCAAGAATTGAGGAATAATATAGTAATAGACCATGACCCAATGAAACAATATGTGTAAATACTGCTTTATATTTTTATAAATGTGCGCCTCAGATGTACTATTTAGTTTATACTACATAAGCTCATGAAATGAGGGAAGTTTCTATTGCAATACAAGCGAATTTCATATAACGAAAGTGAATTGTATACAAAAAATAGTGAATTGTGTGATGTGACGAGAGCATGAATTGAGGAATAATATGCAAAGATAGTATAGTAAAAGACCATGACGCAGTGAAACAATAAGTGTAAATACTGCTTTATATTTGTATAAATGTGCGCCTCAGATGTACTATTTAGTATATACTACATAAGCTCATGAAATGAGAGAAGTTTCTATTGCAATACAAGCGAATTTCATATAACGAAAGTGAATTGTATACAAAAAATAGTGAATTGTGTGATGTGACGAGAGCATGAATTGAGGAATAATATGCAAAGATAGTATAGTAAAAGACCATGACGCAGTGAAACAATATGTGTAAATACTGCTTTATATTTGTATAAATGTGCGCCTCAAATGTACTATTTAGTATATACTACATTAGCTCATGAAATGAGAGAAGTTTCTATTACAATTCAAGCGAATTTCATATAACGAAAGTGAATTGTATACAAAAAATAGTGAATTGTGTGATATGACGAGGGCATGAATTGAGGAATAATATGCAAAGATAGTATAGTAAAAGACCATGACGCAGTGAAACAATATGTGTAAATACTGCTTTATATTTGTATAAATGTGCGCAACATATAATTTCTAAGTATATACTTTTTTCTGAAAAGCAAAATGATGTTTGTCAAACAAAAAATATAATCTATTCACAATTATGCAATGTTGGATGTATCATATGCCTACAAACTAATGATTTATATGTATATTTCGTGTGAAAAGCTTCGCTGAATATATGCTTTGATACAAAGCATGTCACCCCATTAGTGAGGTTGAATTGAAGAAGTTTGTATTTAAGTTATATAACATAATCTTTATTAGGCTTCACTGTTAAAGAATTTAGTAATTCGACATTTCATTTTATACAATTTTTGGCACACTAGTAGAAAAAAAATACTTATTAGCACTTCCCTTTCGAAGAAATAGAGATATATTGCCTTGCACTTCGTCCGTCGGTTTGTAGTCCGGCTTATAACTAAAGAATACTTTTGTTGTAGTTTTGTGTGAGACTTTGTGTAGAGGTTTATAATGGCATTATAATGAGTGCTGTGAGTTGATTAGTTGACACAGTGACGTGACCATAAAAAGCTTATTCTATAAATATTAACAGAACGCTTTGGTCTACAGTCCTGAGATTAGTTAGAAAGTTGGTTGGTCATAATTTAACGATGAAATCATTTCTTCAAAAAGTTAAAGATCATCATGACTTAACCCTCAAGAAAAGTGTACGACCAATTACTAGAAATGCTTTTGCTCACAGTCCTTGGCATGAGGATTGATCTGTTTCAAATTTATCAGTTAGTTGAAGGTGAATATCACAAAAATTTGACTTCACGGAGCTTGTCTCACCAGTACAGTACTGTATAAGTGGTCAATTTTGCGACGTGGAAATATTTGCGATTCTTGCGAATTGAAATTATTCGAAAATATTCAATCGCGCAAAAATTATTTCTTTTTAGGCAAATTTTCTTCAATCATTTGAAAACACGTTTTCATACAGCATCTTGCGTAAATAAGTTTTACTGTTCAGGCACTGAGATTAATTTTTCTCATTGCTTGTTTGTTAAAGCTTGGTCTTAACAAATCACAAATGTTTGAATGAAACAATATAATCATGTGTTAATAACACAATAGGTTATTCATTTAGTAAAAGAATGTTTCAAAATAGGACAAAGAAATGTGTGATCAGGGCCTTTATCAAAAGTACAATGCAGTTTTCTAACAATTATACAAATAATAAAAGGTATTAAACAACTAAATAGAACGATTAAAATCAAGGCATATTTATAGCATGTACCTGCTTTATTAATAATATCACACAAAAGTATTAAATACAAGAAATCATATTTTCGCAAATAGTTTCACACGCAAAAAGTCCACTTTTGACATTTGCAAAAAATTTGTGACGCACAATTATACACGTATACATTAACTTACAAAGCTTGTTCGATTAATAACTAGAGATTGTTTAGGCCTACCGTTCTAAGATTGTCTTAAAGAGGTTGGACATAACTATAAAATGACCTCTTAAATACAAGGTTATTTGGTCAAAGTTTACGGTCACAGTCACAGAAAAGTCATAAATAGTTAGTCCAGACAGTAACATTGGAACGCATTGAAATACAGTCATAAGATATGTTTCTTGAGGTTAGTCACAAATTGTAGATTACTTTTATTCTGAGGTAAATATGTCTAAGGGTAAGATCACAATGACATTTGCCAATGTAAAACTTCGCTTATCAATGATTAAAGAACGCTTTGGATTACATATGTTAAATCAAGTTTGAAAGTTGAAAATGGCCTTTAGATCTTTACATGTTTAAGAGGCTGCAACTGTTCTCTTATTTTTCTTTTAAAAGTTATTTACAGGGTGAGAAAATGTGCAGTAAAACCGGGACTTGGATCATGAGGTCAATGAAATATCGCAGTGCAGATCTGTCGACAGAGCTGCCCTGACGCATACACATTCTTCCCTTTCCCTTTTAGTGAGTAGTTGAATATTGTAACATATGATTGCCACCGCTTTATTGACATAATATTATGTCCTCGAATATCTATATCATTGATACAGAAAACATTATGCATTGACTCGGAGCTATATACCATCACGGTCCTTAGTCGCAATGTAACAGGGTGTAAAAAAATGTGCTTACCGACCGGGACTCGAACCCGGGCCCTCCGTTTATGTAACATTTACAGCACGTTGTTCCATTTCTTGAGATAGGTATTAAAATATCTTCCCTTTTTAATGTTTTACTCATACGGTAAAAATTCTAGTCAGTGTGTTTTGTATAGATTGAGATTTTGTATTGTATCCAGGTATTGTTTATAATAACTCCGCTTATCAGCTGTAGGTTGAGTGCGGTTTGAATTTCGTATTTCAGCACAAGATTGATTTTCATAGTTCGTTTGAGGCTAGGAATACAAATTCTTCATTAAAGATAGCCAAACAAAAGTAAACATAACTTGCTGATAAGAAATGATTTACAATATGCAAAATATAAACGCTTTAAATATATCGATTCACTATTCTAAAAATGCCCTGATTGGTCAATATATTTTTACAAATGTGCATTCACTTTTTGTTTTCGGAATATTTCTATATTGTTGTGTCCGAATTTTATAGCTAAACGTTAAACATTAAGGTCAGTTTCGATACTGTAAAATAGATAATTAATCTGTTTAGGGTATGCATTAATATATAAAATAAAATAAACCAAACATAGTATATTTAATCAGTACATGACAATAAATGATCTATAGGTGTATAATCAATTTACCTTGTACCTTGATTACATGCCAGCTTTACAATTATACTTGAAATAAACACTTGAACAATCTTATCTTACATTTGTACTCATTATGCATTGAAGAAGATAGGCCTATTGTGTAGGTCTATTGTAACTGATATCACTTATGTCTCTTAAACAGAGATTAAAGTTAATTTGTGCGGATTATAATAACCATGGACGACTCTGTTACGGGTAAGAAATCAAGTTTTGCTTCTTCACTGTACAATCCCGTGTACTGTGATATCTGTTCTGCAAGTGATGAATATATAAAAGCACACGGCTACTGTAAAAATTGTGAACAATATCTGTGCAATGCTTGTTTTGATTACCATTTGAGACCAAAACCATCGAGGAATCATATTCTCCTTAATAAAGATGAAATGCCCAAGCGCAATGATTCAGAGAAGCAGGATTTTGAAGCAGAGACTGAGCGTGTATGCACGGAGCACTCGAATGAAACCCTGAACTTTTATTGTTCAGCACATGAACAATTTTATTGTGGTTCATGCATAGCTCTTGAACACAGAACGTGTGAACATGTTGATTACATTCCGGATATTGCTGGTAATTATATAACTAGCGACAACTTTAAAGAGTTCGAAGAGAACATTGGGAGGATATTGAAAAATGCTGAAGAATGCAATGCTAAATGTTCACTTGCGGCTGACGCAAATGAAAAACACATCGAGAAAGTACTTTGCGAAATTGACAATTATCGAGAACGTGTGATTAAGGAGTTGAATAAACGCGAAGAGGAGGTTACCCAAAAAGTAAATGAACATAATCTTCAAATTGTTGAAAATTTGACAGACAAATTGGAACATTGTTCGAAAGTTAAGTCAGAGGTAATGGCCTTAAGAAAAGAAATGATGTCCCTGAAAGCAGACAAGAAACACGGAAAGATGTATATTTTAGCAAAAACAAATTTAGAACAATTGGAAAAGTGGGATTCCATGCTACCTGACGCTGAAGTCTTAAATGACCTGGAAACATTTAAATTTTATCCAAACAATAGCATTGTTGATATTCTATGTGAACCAAACGCATTTGGTGACTTCGGGACATTTGACACGGATGCAGATGCTTTGAATGATTTTCAAGTAACAGGGTCTAAGGTTTTGGAAGATGGAGCAACTTCAATTAATGAGTCAAATGATAACCAAATGCCTAAACAACAGACTTCATCGCAAACAAAGACTAGTCCAGCATCTTCTGGTTCAATGAATAGTCATAAACCAACTACTTTCAAGAAATTACGCCATAGTTCTGATATTGACATCAAAGCATTTACAGGCGAGAAAAAACCATGGGTAACTGGAATCACAAACATAGACGAAAATGACAACATACATGCAATTGCGGTGTACAACAGTCAACAAATTGCTGTAATTGATTCAAGACGAAAGAAAATAATTGCAAAGAAGGATGTTCAAAGTGGGCCATGGGATGTAACCTGTTTAAAAGCCGGTGAAATTATAGCTACATTACCGTTCAAAAGTAAGCTGATGTTCATCAAAGTTCTGCCTGTAAGAGGTCAGCCGTCTGGCACGATGGAAATAAAGATTGTTGATCACGTCGATGTTTCTGGCGACTGTCATAGTATAACTAATGACGAAGAGAACTTGTATGTCAGCTACCAAAATCCCGGTAAGATCGAATGTCTTCATTTAGATGGAACCGTAGTTTGGAAAATAGAATTTGATAAAGAAGGTTCGAGTCTCTTTGCCGAACCTCAGTATATAAAATGCAATGTTCAATGGAAGTTTTTATACGTCACTGATTGGAGTTCTAATAACGTAATCTGTCTTTCTACTGGCGGTGAAATCAAGGCGACATTTAGCGATGAAAAGCTAAAAGCTCCAACTGGAATAACTGTTGACAAAGGTGGAAACGTTTTTGTTGCCGGTTATCATAGCAACAACATTATACAATTCTCCCCAACGTTCAAACAATTCCAGATTGTTCTTGATAGAAGAGATCAAGTGGTATTCCCACAAACGCTTGCATTTTCTGCAAATTGTACTAAGGTATGCGTTGGGTTTCGCAACAATGAAGCACTCAGTTTGTACCGAGTAAAATAGGAATATGATTCTTACAAAGACGGTTTTGTCAAAACTTGAGGGATTGTGAACGATGAGGCATAGCTCAATAACATTGAAACCATTTATAGACATAATGAAAAGACAAAGTACTTACAAATTTGATTTGAATTAGGTATATACGTAATATAATAACCAAGAAAGATATTAAGCCGCTAAGAAAGCGGAGATTATTATTGTCTTGTTTTTTTCTTTCTGTGCTTCAAGTTTACTTAAGTTTGTTGGTTATACCAAAGTCAGAAAAGCCTTTAAGGTGCAATTCGAAAAATAGCTTTGGAAGTATGAGGCGCCACACCACCTTTGTCTACAATATATATAATCAGTAACTTCCTGTATGTCGCAGAAGAGGGACAACAAATTAACTTATACAATGCAGATGCACATTCACTACTTTGCATTACAAACAAATACCCATTTTATGACATATGTTGATACTGCTGCTGCTGCTGCTGCTGCTGCTGCTGCTGGCTGCTGCTGCTGGCTGCTGCTGCTGCTGCTGCTGCTGCTGCTGCTGCTGCTGCTGCTGCTGCTGCTGCTGCTGCTGCTGCTGCTGCTGCTGCTGCTGCTGCTGCTGCTGCTGCTGCTGCTGCTGCTGCTGCTGCTGAAACTGCTGTTAGTATATTTTGCATGTATTTTACATTAAATGTATAATTGCTTTATATAACCAGATGTTTAAAGAAATTATTTCATATTTTCAATTATGCTATTGAAAATATCAGAGATTTGATAGGCTAGATTCTGCCTTGATCAAAGCTCGGAATGATAATAGGATTCCATTCTATATATTTTTTTTTCTTGTAGCCAGTGATTTTATCTTTATATCTATTTTAGTCGGATGGACTTTTCAATATATTGTTTGTTACGTAATACTACGTACTTCAGTGTGTAAGCTTTGTGTGTTTGCGAATAGCGCTAATAAGCTCTGATAAGCTCAGATACCGCATATATTAAATTCTTTTTTTAAATTTAACTAGTTCATTGCATATGTTCAGGAAAACTAGAATCGAAATGCTACGGATAATTAATAAACAAAAGATTGGGATCCTTAATTCATTTAAGAACTTAAGATCGAAAACTAACGCCAGTGATACAGGGCGTGAAATGTATAGTATATTAGCATATTTCATTAATTCTTTTGAACATACTCAATTTAAGATCGGGTTGCTTTTGGGCTTTTTTATTTTTGTTGTTATTTTCGTTGCTAAAATCCCTTTATTTTACTAAGTCCCATAGTTCGTTTTCTCACATTATAAATACTGTCACTAATCAAATGTTTGTTTTAATCTTTTATAATATGCATTTATGTGTAACCAGTGCTTTTTATATTCAATAAAAGGAAAAACACATAATTGTTAACCTTACTTTATACACATTGTCCTTCAGATGTTTTAGACTGTACACAATGTACTTATTAAAGCGTTTTTGTTCCTTCAAAGTGAAACTATCCATGTTTATGCCTGAATAAATATTTATCTAACAATTAATTAATTATTTAATTAATAAGTCAGTAAGTCAGTCAATCAATTGATAAATCAACAGATAAAAAAGATAAATGATTACCGCCTGATCTACAGACAGATCGTAATGTATTGAACGTTATCTTACATAAAGTATCATACAAAATATATCAGTCTATATGAGAAGCAAGTATCACGTGCCGTGGTCCATAGGTAATCGAGTTCGCTTGATATACTTAACGCATTGCTTAACACAAACACATGTCACATAAAAGAAACCGTTATTTCTTCTAAAACTGAAGGGTATTCCTATCAGATGTTGAACAATACTAAGTCTTCTTCAGACTGTTTCCCGTATCGTCAAGGACAAATCATAGATAAAGCGACAAAGTGAGGGCCAAACTATCGTTATTATTGAGCTAGGAGAATGTATTGTTGACAAACGAGCTCTAAGCCGGTAATACGTGTTTCGTCTTCCCATCGAACAGTAGTCTGTTTGTCCAAAGGCCATCTTAAATCAGTTTTACTTCCTGTAAAATTTACAGGGAAATCTATGACAAACTCCATGGCATTTTTAATAGAATATAAAGGATAGTTCTTGTCATTATTCAATAAAATTTCAAGGATAGTTCTAATATAAAGTGTAAAGCAGTGTTATTGCCAATATAAAATAAAATGTAATGGATAGTTCTAAAACAAAATGTGCAGGATAGTTTTTTATTCCAGAGATATTTCCTCCCACAAAACATTTTACACTGCGTTTAAATCTCATTAGTATATGTTTATGGTACACAAGAACTGAGTTATAAATTGTGTCCAAAATAACGAGACCACCAATTATGTTAAGATCCTGTTAGTTTACTCATGTATAAGAAAATAAAGAAAAACATACCTATCAGGTACTCTCAGTAAGTGTTCAATATATTATATTATGATAATTATTGTGTTAAGTTGGTATAATGTGTTTAATTTGCATATATATTTATCAAGTATTTATAAATATAATTAACTACCGACTGCATACATATTGGTGTCAAAAACTGAGCTCAATTACCGAATCACGACAGGAACACATGCATCTCACAGTGATGAATAACGACATTGTTTATTCTGTCAAATAAGTAAAATATGTATCGAAAAATTACATACTTCAAATAAAAGTTAACCAGGTTAACTTCGGCCGATTATCTTTTTGTAAAGATACTTCTTGTTTTGACTATTATCTGCACGTACACCTCTAACAAGGAAGAAAATTTTTGTTTCGTTTTATCAGTATATCGTGATTTTTATCACGTGTATTTATTTTAAAGTGTTCATGAATTAATAACGAAAATAAGATAAAATAAAATTTAGAAAATAGGCTGACCTTTTCAAAATCTTCACTGTCTAAACAGGCTTTGTTGTTGTTGTTGTTGTTGTTTTCTCTTTTTTAATCTTTGGACCATTTCCCATCTCACACATTTCATTTCTCGAACATGATTTGACCTTATCTAAAAATATGATGTTGCGATTCATTTTCTTTTTATGTCTATCTTTTAGGATATATCTAATAAAGTTCGCTACTGTTAAGCTACAGTCTCACTTACATCCCGGCAGAGCCCCGGTAGACGTCCGGGGTGATCTGAGAACGACCGGGGAACGACCGATAACAACCACTCTGCCGGCAACGTCCATGATCCGAGAACATCCGGCATTCGACCCCGGACGGAATCACCGGGGTGGTCCGGGATGATCCGGAAAGGTATAGCTTTGCCGGCTTCATCCTTAGCTCTGCCGGGAACGACTGGGGTTATACCGGGGAAGAGCCGTAGTTCTGCCGGCACAAACCGGGGGTGATTCGGGGTAGGATATAGCCGGTAGAGCTACGGTAAAGCCCCGGTATATGCCGGCAGAGCCCCGGTAACAACAGGCAGAGGCCCATAGGATAAAGGTAGAGCTACGGTTGATCCCGGTAGAGCCCCGGCATGGTCCGGATCATTTCAAAAGAATAACGACAATTTGCGATGATTGCACTTGTTTGTATTAAAACCCTTCCCATGTCCCTTCTATTCAGTATGGCATGATTTTTTCAGAAAATTTTCATGAATAACTTTTCTGGAACAATAGATATTATATTAAATAAAAATTACCGTAGTGCTGCCGGGGTAAGTGTGACCGCAACAATCATTTCACCCCGAAACATCCCGGTAACTTACCGGGATGGTCCTGTGCTCTGCCGGGAGTAAAGTGAGACCGCAGCTTTACGCTATAACGTCGACTTTCCTCACATGAAGAAAATTCAAAACCCACAGCGGTTACATGTAAACTACCTCAACCTTCCAGTCATAGACGCCCAACCTCCCTAATAACACTATTTGTTAAAGTTTAGCTTTATTTAAGACATTGGTGTGCAGTAATACATACTACTATCCACACTCTCTGGCGAAAAACCAATTTTTAGAAATAGTTTGAGGCGTTAGTGGGCGTAGGCGGTAATTTGTCCTTTCCATTACCGTCAATGAACAGGCTCAATCAAACCGAGCCTAAAATCTTTTCAATTGTCGTTTTGTGCGTTCTTTAGAGTTTCTTTATTTCTCTCTATTTTATTTGATAATTGATGTTATACTTTTAATCAAATGAAATACACTTGGAAGTAAAATAAACAGTACCAACTAATAGGATGGTACAGATACTGATCTCGTCCCCTATTAAAGATAAAGCTGTTTCTCTGACGCCTTTATCTTTGTTCAAATCTATTTGAAGCATACTGCAAACGATAAATTAACTCATGTAGTCAAATGACTGTGTATATTGTAAACACTTGAATACTATCAATAAGGCCCTTCTTTCTAATTATATCAAGGTATACTAAAATATTAATAAACCAGCTTTGTGGCGAGTTGCAAAATCAAGTGATGAAAATGTTGAAAGACATCTAATTGCATTATTAATTAATACACCCCTCCTTGCTCCGCCTTCTGTGCCCTCTCTTGCATTGACGTGTCCGCGTTTCTGCTACGGGACATACTCGGTACCTTTCCGAAGGCCCTGTGTGACTGAATGTTCCGTAGACGTCGCTCACCCTTTAGTCTTAGCCCTCATATTTTTATTAATTATATATATATATATATATATATATATATATATATATATATATATATATATATATATATATATATATATATATATATATATATATATATATATATATATATATATATATATATATATATATATTCACAAACCTAAAGTACCTCAAAAATAAAACAGTGCTTAAGAAACCTTCAACAATGCAGGTAGACGCAATTATAGCAGCTGTCAATGTATGTGGATACCGGTACGGAAAAGTTATTAATGCTGGCCAGTCATTATTCTTTCACGTGTTGTTTGATAATTTTGTATCAAAAATTTATTATGAAATTTGTATAAAGATGTATTGTAAACAATATAAATTTCTTTGTGAATATGGATATGTACATTTTGATTATTCAATATGTCTATTAACGCCTAAACGTAATCATTTCGTGAACCTAGTCGGACCTCATTAGATACTTATAAAATCGCTGGCATTTAATCAGCATTCTAGATTACAAAGAATTTCACAAACTCATATGACAAACTGAACACCGTAAAACATTTACATATCGTTTTAAATAAAATATGGAGGTACTTACAAATTCAACTGAAGATCTTGATATCTCATCTACGGATGATGAAACATTCTACTGCGAAATTTGCTCCGAGACTGGGGAAGAATTTATAGTGCATGGATATTGTACAAACTGCAATGAATATATGTGTAAAAATTGCTTCGACTACCACCGAAAACCAAAGCCTACTCGTAACCATATCTTATTGCTTAGGAATGCGATGCCAAAGCCGACCGAAAGGCCGACATCATCCGTTTCACCGGACGTGTGTAATGAGCTATGCAAGAAACATCCTGCGGAGATTGCTGCTTTCTACTGTGTGACACATGACGATTTCTTTTGCAATTCATGTGCCGCGACTACACATAAAACATGCGAGTTTTTGTACATACCGGATGCGGCCAAAGATTTCGCTGAAAGTGCCGAGTTAGAAAAAACATTCAGTGACTTAAATGAAATATCAAAAGTTTGCGAGGAAAACGTTGATCGCTCTGAAAAAAATTCAGCGAAAAGCGATAACATGCTCGCCGTAGCTAAGAAGAACGTAGAAACATATATAGAAAATGTGCAGCAAATATTGTCAGAGAAAGCTGAAAAGGCTTTCGCAAAAATGGATGAAATTAATAATGACAACAAGGACAACATGTCTAATGTGTCGGATACATGCAAGACAACAAAATCAAAATCTGAAGAGCTGAAGCAAAGTCTGCAGAAACTTCTTGATAAAAAACAGTTTTGCCAGTTATATACAGCATCAAAGAAAGCTACAAATGCGATACGAGAGCTAGAAGTAACTGTAACAAATGCAGGAAACGAGAACAAAATACAACACTACAAATGCCAGTGTGACAAGCGACTATTCCAAATAGCAACAAATTCAAGCATTTTCATTTGCATTGATCCAAACGACAAGAAAAGACTTTTCCCACTGTACCAATCGGTTATAGTTTCGGAAGGTTCTAAAGTGGACAGTGATGTGCCAGTGGAACAAGCCCCAGATGTCCCACAGGTACAAGACGTTCCAGAGCCGAACTTCCCACCACCGGTTGTACCACCCCGAAAATTTACGATGAGCGAGAGTTTGGTGGATATACCCATTGCTAACGTAGAAGAGGAACCGATTTATGAATTCATCGAAGATAAAAGAAACTAATTCACAAAAAACATTCCTGAATTTTAGGGTTATCAAATAGAATGCGAGACATGAATTTAATTTACCGTTGGTAATTTTGGACAAGTGTAAGAGTACAGACTGTTAGTAAGGTTACTAAATTGGAGGGCAAACTTGATATTTAATTGATCTGTGATAAAAAGTCACGCTGTAACATATAAAAAAGGATTGTAACATTATTTTATGCTATACATGTAAATATGAGTATTTGTTGCTGATTCTTTGTCGTCTTTGTATAAATCTTGACATTTGCCGACATGAACAATAATCCTGTTGTATATGCTGTATACACCGGTGAATACTACGAAAGGCATTTATATTTTCGTAGATTTTTTTCGTATATAAAAAAGCATATTCATGTAAAAAGACATTGAAATATGGTTGCTGTAGGCTTTTGTCATTATTAATTGTGTTTGTTGGCGATTTAATTGTGTTTGTTGACGATTTAATTGTGTTTGTTGACGATTTAATGCAATTATCAAGCAATAGACAACTCTGTATAATAATGATTAAGATATTAATTTTTCTTGCTTTATTTGAATAAAATATATAAATATTATATATCATATAATACAATGTATATGAATGTGTTGGTATTTTGTAAATAGATTTGAGTAGTTATCATATAGCTGATGACTTAGAAAATGACAGAAAAAAAATAAACTGACAATTCATGAAATGTATGTTAATTATGATAATAACTAAACTAAGTAAAAAAATAAAATAGCTTAAATCAGTAGTATTTCATTTTTGATATTTATCATTTAAACATCATTTCATTTTTTTAAATTCTTTTTAACATATATTTATTTTTACGTCGAACCAACACAGTATAGGCCATATGCCCCCCCCCCCCCCCCGTGCATTATTTCAGACAAGTGCAGGAACCTAAATAGAACCACCGGTGTTCTGTAAGCTGGATCGCTTCCTCACATGAAAGTCAAAAGTCCCTGGCGGGATTCGAACCAACAGTATTGAGTGACAAGTGATTTGATGTCAATAAACGACCTTAATCACATAGCCATGGCCATCCCTGAAAGGAGTAAGGTCTACCGTTACATAATTTCACACAATAGATGTTTCAGTATCTGACTTCAGCTGTTTAGCTCATCTAGACAATATGAATGAAGAGGCATCCCGCAATAAGACACTTGTCCACAACATTTGGCAAGAATACAAGTTGCAATGTTGGCAAATTGTTCTTCATCTTTAAACGAATCACAAAGTACATGCTTTATCAAGAGATACCTTCATGAATCGTATGCCTCCTTTGTGTTTAATGAGAATAATTCATTGTTAAGAAGTCACGGAGGTAATGTTAGTACAATACTTAGCTAATAAATAGGGGAAATGGTAAGTCGAAAATAGAAAAAGTACATACATGTGCCTATATTTTTATAACAAAAAGTTGTGATTAAAATAATTCTCTCTATCAAAGCGGAAACGATTTTCCCTTTTACGGTAACCGTTCCTTTGACCTTTGAGAAATCAATTTCAATGAGGGCTATCATAAAAAAACTGTGCTTCACGTGATAGTCTTCTTACACACGTTTCACGTCAGTGGACTGAAGTGGCCGCAATAACAATGTAAAGGCCTTATGGTGGTGTTCTATTAAATAAGAACAACAATCCCACTTAACTTGTCATTTTTTTTAATTTATCCAGGCTATTATCATATGATGCTTTAAAACTGGATCATATGGTTTTGCAGTGTTTTAGTAGAAGTACTTTAACGTTCAATGTCACTTTGACCTATAAGTACTAAAGCTGGAACTTGCTTTTATCCCAGACTAAGGTAAAGTCATACAATAGATACATACATAGAGCCAATAAAGACGGTTATCCTGTGTAGTTTGACGGCTCTGGGTAAAATATTGTTGTCTAGCTAAAGTTTTATGTCCTTTGAGCATGCGAGCTAAATCCAATAGGGGACTTAAACTAATGAAATTTAAAGGTTGTGTGACAGTTGGCACTTAAGTTACGGAGGGTTTGTTTTTTTGTTTTGAGAAAAAAAAAAACATCATTGAAAACATAAGAAGGAACAATTACTTTGTGTAAAATTAGTAGCCCTAAGATTAATCATCGAAAAACCTTTTTTTGTAAAAGAAAAAAAAGAGAATAAGATCAAATCAATGTAGAAAATAGTAGTGGTTTCAAGTCAACTTAGCGCTGGTATGTTTCATGATGTTAAATCTAGGTACAAATAATTATTACAATCGATAGCACCATCTCATTCCTAACTAGTTATCCAAAAGAAATATAATAAAAAATACATGTAGCAATGACCTTGACCTTTTGGGTCTCACGGGGTATCCACATAAGCTTGCTATATACGTGTACCAAGATTTAGAACAACTTCTTTCCTAACTCTAATGAAAAAAGTTTCCTACTTTTAGTGATCTTGACCCTAGGTCAAAAGCAATCTAAAGACTCATTCCTAATTCTAATTACCATCCGGAAACCCTTTTTACTATCTTCTATCTTAAGTAACAGTGACCTTGTCCATAGGGGATGCTAAGGTATCCCAAGCTAGGTCTCCGACATTAGTTTACTATTAACAATATCTCATTCCTTACTCTAAGTATCTACCAGAAACAGTTTTCAGTTTAATTAACAGTGACCTTGACCCTAGGGGTTTCAAATGCAATGCCACGTGAAGACTCCACATAAGCTTACTATATACTATAAGTACTATAAGTATGATTACAATATCTCATTCAAAACTCTAATTATTTTTGGCATCTTTTTTTCAATTTTAGTAACATTGACCCTAGAGCATACAAAAGCAATTCAAAGCTAAGAATCCACATAAACTTGCTACATACTACTGTAGATAAGGTTTAAATAATCCAAGTTCTCTATTCAGAATGCTAATGCGAATTCCTCTTTAAGGCCATACCAAATCTATGGTGGTGTCATGTGTTTTTTATTTCATGCTTTCCAGTGTTTTATTGTAATATATCAGATGATTATATTCTGATAAACCACTAGTGAAATTTATAGAATATAATTTTCAACTGTAGCCGGACTATATCTGAATGCGGATGAAAAGAAAATCATAACTAAATAGAATAACAGGCAGAAATAAATGCCGCCATGCGTAAATTTTGCTTCTGTAGGAAAAGAAAGTCGATGTCAGCATACATCATGTTAAAAATGCAACAAAATTAACAGAAATTTAACAGAACTATATTTCAAAATTGATGATGTGACGTCATGATGTGATGACGTCACAAAGGAGAATGCGCGACGTTACGCGGCAAAATCAGTAAAAATTACTTAAAATCACTTAAAACGCATGAAATAAAAAGAAAATTTATTTGTTTTACATATAAGATTGAAATAAATTTCATTCGTGAACACCAGCTATTATATTTTCACTCATGGCTACGCCACTCGTGAAAATATTACATCTGGTGTTCTGAGTGACTCAGTGAAATTATATTTCAATCTTACATGCAAAACAAACAAATATCCTCTCTATGTTTGTATATTGTTCCTTTGTTATGGGTGACTGAACTGGTTTTGCAAGTTCAGTGATGGTTGATTGATTTTGTATGCAAGTCTTTGTTAGCTGATATGGTTCTGTGATTGCCATAACATTTCTTGGTAAATGACCACTCTTATCACTGCTTTCAAAATGACAACATATTTCCTTATATTCAGAAATTTCTTTATAAAAATACTTTGCATCTGCATTCAATTATTTAATACATTTGATGTCTTCTAACAATGCCTGGTATGTATAAATTAATTATATGTGAGATTGTTTTTACTGTAATTTAAATTGTTTTGTAATATATTGTATTATGTATTTTGTGAAATGTATTTCTATTTAAAGATATTTGCATTGTTATTTTATGTCTTATTGTTATTTTATCCTATTACAGGTTTTATACTTTATAGAATAAATATATATATGTAGAACATCACTGAGTATTTATTGCAACCATAACCCAGTCTCTCATTCCTAACTCTAGTTATCATCCTGATTCCATCATTCAATATTTAGAAGCAGTGCCGTTGACCCTAGGGGACCCAAAAGCAAGCCCAAACAAGGTCTCCACATAAGCTTTAGCTATTTATCAAGTATGATAATAATATCTCATTCCTAATTTATGTATTATCTGGAAACCATGAAAAAGGAGGCATAATAAAATAGACAAATAAATAATTAACAATAAAATTTTAATCATCCTTAATTTCATTTTGTTAAACCATAATTAACTTATACACTTCAAGACTATTGAAAAAAATGTGCAGTTCCACGATTTAATGTTCTTTTTAAATTATTCTCCTTTACTTGTATTTTCAATACATTGTACTTCTTCCTTTTTTCAATTCTCTTCCTTTTTCTGATTAATTCCAATCCAAAACTTGTAAACATTAAAACTGTTACACTTAAAGTAAACAAAAACTATGACCATATACATAATAAATGGACACCAATTTCTGTCCAACTAGAGTACTAGGCTTCATATTGCCTCTTTGGTGTTTGTATTATATCACTTCCAGGGTAAATAGGTTGACCTTCTTCAAACTCATTCAACCAGAATGTCTTCATTGTGCCCTTTCCCTGAAATAAGAATAAAAAAACATGGACTTAAGGATGTGTCTTACAGTTTCTTCATTTTTTATATAGAAAAAGAAGGATAATTAAAACTAGTGGACAGAATTTTCTTAAATATTGCATGATGAAAGAGAATAATTGAAGCAAAAAGAAAATTGGGGGGGGGGGTCTCTATGATATCTGCGTTCTCTTGAGTTATCTGCCTTGGAAATGTGTTTTTATGCCATTTTCAAGAGCAGATAACTCAAACCTGTAAAAGGACACAACTCATTTGATTTCAAATTAATGTTTATTACTTTATTCCCTGTCCTTGTGAACAGTTGTTTATGCAAAATGATAAGATATTTTCTTTCAGTTATGCCCCCTTTTTGAAGATAATTAACGTAGGTTTACTAAGTAGCATGTATATGCATGCATATAGAAACAAAATATGCCCATTCACATATTTACAATTTAGATAAAATACAGGCAACAACAAAACAAAGTAGAAAAAGATAAAATAAATAAAAAAAACAAGGGCTTTTATCTGGAACTATTGTTTGGAGCTGTTAATAATCATACTGGAATATTACACAAATCCTTTGTCACTCCATCTATTACACCCACAAAAGATAAACAAGAGGGCCATGATGGCCCTGAAATCGCTCACCTGTATATAGAACCCTAGGCCAATGCCAATTTTAAACCAGGGACTTTTATTTGAACAAACTTGGTAGACAGCCAGTAGAAGATGTTTTCATGATAAATATCTAAGCTTTAACTCTTTGGGGTTTTTATGAGAAGATTTTATTTAAGTTTTTACTTAAAACAATGACCCCACCCCCCCCCCTCCATCAATGACCGCCCGGGGCAGGGCTAATTTTGACCCAGGGCATTTATTTGAACAAACTTGGTAGACATCCACTATGAGATGTTTCATGCTGAATATTTAAGCTCTAGCTTTTTGGGGTTTTTAAAAGAAATTTTTTAAGTTTTTACTATATACAAATAAGGAAAATCAATGATCCCCCCCCACCCCCCCCCGGGCGGGGCCAATTTTGACTCCAGGGCATTTATTTGAACAAACTTGGTAGACACTGACTAGGTGATGTTTCGTGCCAAATATTTTAACTCTAGCTCTTGCTGTTTTCTAAAAGAAGATATTTTAAGTTTTTTCTTTCGGTTGCCATGGAAACCAGAGTTCTGCTTGGAATTAAATTCTTTGAACAATTTTTAAAGTTGACTACCAAAGGAACATTCCTGTGAAGTTTGGATGAAATTGGCCAAGTGGTTTATGAGGAGATGTCATTTAAAGTAAAAGTTTACGGACGGACGGACGACGGACAAAAAGCGATCACAAAAGCTCACCATGTCACTTTGTGACAGGTGAGCTAAAAAGTGGCTCATATTGGCTATACATATAGAGCAAAACCTTAAAACTAAAAAGGCTGTTACGTGCAGTAATGACAAACAATTTGGAAAACAGATAAAAACTTTAGAAAAAAGGTTTGGAGAATTTTTTTTTTGAAACAAGAACATTGCTGAAGGCAATGGATGCTCCCTAAACTTGCAAATTTGTCAATGTATTCAATGCAGTCATAAGTCAATAAAAGCTGTAAGAGCAAAAGTGTAATAATCTATTTTTCTTGCATTAGTGAACTTGACCCCAGTTAACCCTTACTCCACCCAAAGTAAGAGGAAAAACAAAATGTATCTAACAAATATGAAAAACATCAGTCAATAAATAAAGGTTGCATGAGCAAAATTGTAAAAATCTTTTTTATCAATTTTGTTACCTTGACCTTGACCCAAGTGCCTACTTTTCTTTAACCCAAAGTTTAAGTGCAAAGCAAACTATTTACCTACTGAACAAGAAAGACACTGCACTTCATCTCACTATGTAAAGTTTCAATGAGATAACATTGATAGTTTACAAGTTATACTCCATGCAGGCAAGCATACACTGTAGTTCAACATTTTTATAAGTATTATATAGAGATAATTAAAGAATTAAGCAAGGTGGAATTATGGTTCTTTCATACAGCACTTTCACTGGTATCTATCACTGTGTGAAGTTTTAATCAAATTCCTTCAATATTTTTCAAGTTATTCTCCATACAGGCATTGTAAAGTCCTACGAAGGGAGATAATTCAAAAACCTAAGCAATGTAGGATAATGTTACTTTGACATTGCATTTTCTTTTTCTAGTCTCTACAATTTTTTGTAGTTTCAATATGATATCATTGATACTTTATTAGTTACACTTCAGACAAGTACATTTCAATTAAAACATTAAGCAAGGTAGAGTTTTGGTTCTTGGACTCTGCACTTCCTCTCAATGGTCTCTATCACTGTGCGAAGTTAAAATCTAATTCCTTCAATATTTTTCAAGTAATTCTTCAGACAAAAGAGTAACAGACAAAGAGAAGGGACAAGTCAGCAACAATATGCCCTCCCTCTGGGGAGCATCAAAAACCTGCAAAAATCCTGTTAACATTATAAATTTTCCATTTACTTTGAAAGAATCAGCCTACCTTAACTTCAATTTCACCTCTTTCTTCAATGTTGTATATTGGTGTAAGATCTAACAATGTCTTAGTTGTGTTAGATATATGAATTCTGAAAGCTGGAAAAATAAGTTTTCTCTTCATACATGACCACATGTTTTATAACAAAATATCTATCCTCACACAATTACACAGCTAAAGAAGAACCCTGCATATTTTATATATAAACAATGTGAGATCTGCTTAAGTATTAATGTCAACACATTTTTTTTTTTACTTAAATATTTGTTTTGAGAAGAAAAGAAATTAACATTGTAAATGAAGTGAATGTACAGAAATGTAAAGACAACATACGTATAGAATTGGACTCCATTCTAGATGCAGTATTGACAGTATCCCCGAATAAACAATATCTTGGCATCTTTAACCCCACTACACCAGCAACGACTGCCCCTGAAACACAAAGGGAAATTCTACTTATTTAATTGGGCCGTTTAAACTGTAAATATTCATTTGGAGACTTTCCAGCTTTACTGACTGAACAGGAATTCATGTGCCCCTCTATAATGCATTATTGCATGTTACTGTATGACTTGGCACCGAGAGTAGATACACCAACATCCCATATGCTAGTTGTCACGGAAAAAGGGGATTTGAATCCACAGCAGTGACCTTAACCACTTGGTAATAAAGGCACCAACTCTTCTCAAAGCTTGAGACTTAGGGTAACAAAACATGTCTATCTCAAGCAACATTCTTATTATTCATTGTGTTGCAACTAACACAAGTAAATTGTGCCTATATATTAAAGCTTGTGGGTTTTTTGCATAATACTATTTTCTCCATATTTGCCTATGTACATGCCTGGATATTGTTTTAATGTATTTTATATTATATATACATATTGTATTCAACATGATTGATTGTTCAGACTATCTTTATCATTTTATCAATAACAAAACCATACTTATCTGCTAGTATGGACGGGGAAAGTACATGGCAGTAAAATTAAGAATCATATACACTTTGCTAAAATTGTACATTTGTTAATCAAGGGTAAAACAAACCTGTTGTAGTAGATACGAGGGTTGTCCCAATATTCTGTTACTAGATTGTTAAAAAGCTAAATAAAATAGGTACAAATTTGATATTTTAATATGTTATAAACATATATAATTAAAACGTTTTCACAATTTTACATAGAAAAATATCAACAAACAACAAAAATATGCTGTAAATACCATGGCAACTATATGAATAGCGGCGCACGTCAAACGTGAAAGACGGCGTTAAATCTATATAAAGCGCCTTTCTCAAATACTCTCAATGGCTTTCAATACAATAATGGTGCAGTTTAACCAATAAATCGTCAATTACGGACTTAAATCATGTGGTTGTTAATGTCTGCGGAATGTTTGAATAGTATACATTAGTTTTTGCTACACACAAACTTCCGATCTCGTTGCACCTGTTTTTAGCTGTAGGAAATAGGGGACGGAGATCGGTCTTCCTATTCGTGTTCCTTATGTTCGCTTTTTGTAGTGCAGAACTCTGGTTCCGTTCATGCCTTTAGTAAACAAATGCTCAGGATATGTTACTAAACGGCTCTATTTGTTCAATTTGTTGAAAATTGTAACATGTGTCATCTCGAAATAGTCACGAAACCTGAGTGACCTGTTCATTGCGCCGCAAATTCTTCAAACATCGCTATTTTAACTTTATTTTTTTATGAGATACTTTCATTTATCCGTTACTTGTTCCTTTCTTAAGTTATTTAACTAAAATTTTCTAAGATGATGTAAACATTCTAAGCAGCAGATGAAGTCAACGTCACATTGTGCAGACACATCATCAGATATTTGAAGTATTCGTTATTAATTTTAGCCCTTTCATTACAAAATACAAAATATTTGACTTGCGCCGGCAACTCAAACCAATGTCGTTAATACTGAAAATTTCTAAGTAACTAGAGTAAATTTTTTGTAAATAATTTGTTGTAATGTTAGATAATAAACTTAATGATTATATGTGTGAATTGTAATCTAATGGCGTTAAAAATGAACCGTCTATAAAATTTGTCACGGACTTTTGGGACAACCCTCGTATAGATAAAATCAAAGGTTGCTGTACAAGATGTTCTTCTATCATATGTCAAATCTTGAAACGGGGCTTCAGACTATAAAGTTAAAATATCAAAACTACCTGTATGGAGTCCAATACGAGCTTTAAGTTGTTCTTCTGGCAAATGTCTTATCTTGAATGTTTTCAGTGTATAGAGTATAGTAAGAGACATATTGCTCATTTCCTTGGCATGCTCATCCCCTATCCTGTTGGGAAGTCCAGATACACACATGTAAGCATCTCCTATTGTCTCAACCTACATAGATATTATTCACACTTGAGAGAAATTGTTAGTTATATAATAAACATTACAGTCAAAAGTGTTAAATAATGAATACTTATATTGGCCAGCTGAGCTCAATTTGGATAGCATCTGATTTGTAAGCGAAGAGTCACTAGTTTGATCATTGAGAGAAGCAGAATTTTTCCATGACAACTGATTTCTGACATTGAGTCAAATGATTATTTGTCTCTACACTGATTCAGAAATCATGCCACCAATAGATGGCTAAAAATGAGTTAAAACAAACAAACTCATAGAGTATATTCAATAGAATTCTGAAATGAAACACAATTCTTTTAGAATCTCTAAGACATACAATAACCAGCATCTTCCACCTCTGACATTTTCAAATTATATGTAAAGAAAAAGCTTGATAGAGGTGTGAGGATTTTGGAGGGAATGAGGGCATATTATTATGATATGAATATGATAATAATATTGTCTTTAAGTGATATGGTATGATTTGATATGAGATGATTTGATATAAAACAATATTACATAATTTGATACAGATAAAAACATGTAAGCATCTCCTATTGTCCAATTTGTAACCAGTCATTTTATGTAAATCATTTCAAAAATTATATGTGCTATTTAAAATAATTATGTCTATATAATATACATATACATAATTATTTTATGGTTTTAAACAATTTATTTTATTATATAATGTTTCTTTTATGTACTAAATGTGGTATCTATTAACGTAGACATCTGTTTGGTACGTTTACGTCATTTCCTTTGTTATTTATTGTATCAATTGATGAAGCTTATTAAAGGGAAACATGTTGTGTTGGTTTTTATCCTTGAATTATGATATAATGAATTGTTCTAATCATTCAAATTTACCTTGTACACCCTAAACTGATCAATGGCACTGTCAAAGGCTGTATACAAGTCATTAAGCAGATCTACTACCTGAAATATATGAATAATGATAAATTTTATAGCCTGAATCAATTCATCTGTTTCATTAAAAAAAGTATTTCTTTTAGGCACTTACAGGTTGACTGTTATTTTTGAGAAATTCTGCATAGAATTTAATTATAAAAGACTTATAAAAATATACACATTCGTAAGAATATCATTGGTGATGAGGGAATAAGTCCAAAATAAATATTGATTTCTAAGCTATGGTTACTTGGTGATGAATTGTTCACTTATAGAAACAAGAAACGGTTGAACCGGGTGATGCTCCCCCGAGAAGGTTCTGGACACAGGAAAGTATAAAAAAATGAACAAAGGGCAAAAACTCCAAAATTAGGCAAGGCGGAGTTATGTTTTTTTGCACTGCACTTCTATTCAATGAGATCTATCTATCTATAAAGTTTCCTGATGATATTAGAGTTATGTCCCGGGTAAAATTCAAAGTGTAAAAATGAACAAAGGGCAATAACTCCAAAATTAGACCAGGTTTGTTTAGGTTCTTTAAGCATTGCAGTTCTATCCAATTATATCTAGCTACCTACAAAGTTTCATGTTGATATCTCTAATAGTTTTAAAGTTATGACAAAAGTCAAAAAGTAAAAATAAACAAAGGGCAATAACTTCAAAATAAGGCAAGGTAAAGTAATGATTCTTAAGCACTGCACTTCCACCCAATGAGACCTATCTATCTACAAAGTTTCATGTTGATATCTCTTATAATTTTAGAGTAATGTCCCGGACAAAGTTCAAAGTGTCAAAATGAACAAAGGGCAATAACTCCAAAAGTAGGCAAGACAGTGTTACAGTTCTCGTGCACTGCAAACCTACTTAATGAGATCTATCTACCTACAAAGTTTCATGTTGATACCTCTTATAGTTTTAGAGTTATGTCCTGGACAAAGTTCAAAGTGTAAAATAAACAAAGGGGGATAATTCAAAAATTAGGCAAGGCAGAGTTACGGTTCTTGTGCACTGCACACCTACTCAATGAGATCTATCTACCTACAAAGTTTCATGTTGATACCTCTAATACATTTAGAGTTATGTCCCAGACAAAGTTCAAAGTGTAAAAATAAACAAAGGGGGATAATTCAAAAATTAGGCAAGGCAGAGTTACGGTTCTTGTTCACGGACATGGCGGCGACTATATGCTCCCCCGAAATTTTTCGGGGAACATAAAAATTGTAAGTGGCAAGGTAGCTCTGTCAGTATAGCTGTGGAACAATATTCCAAGGGTCCTGTGTTTGAGTCCTGTCTGGCTGCATATATAGAAATATATCAGTGAAATACAAAACTCATATTTCCAATGTTTGAAACAGTGCAAAATATCATTTGATATTTTTCACTGTTTCGAATTTAAGCCCGTTACGTTGTTTCAGTGAAATACCAGCTTGCATAGCGCTGGAAACCAACTTAGTGACGTCTAAACATTGTAAATGACGTCAAGTTGTATTATTATTTAATTGGCACGCTTTTCATTTAGTATTAGATTAAAATGCCTTTTTAAATGTTTCTTTGCATATAATAAAAAGAAAAAATTTGTTTAGTTTAGTCAGTTTAGTGTAAGATTGAAATATTTTTCACCTTGTGAACACCAAAGTTCATATTTCAATATTTGTTTTGGTGCCAACATGGTGAAATATATCCCGATCTTACACTGAATAAAACAAATATCCTCTATATAATCTCATCTAAAAAAAACTAATGGAAGAAGATGAACCCATATATTTAGACTGTTTGATCGAAACATACCTGAATTGGTGTACTTTTTCCACACAGAACTGTGAATCCAACAATATCAGAGAAGTAGATGGTCACAGAATCAAATGATTCCGGAGTGACTGTCATTCCTGCTTGTAGTTGCTTAGATACTGATCTAAAAATAAAAATTCCTTATCCTCAAAAATCTTGTAATGATAAACCTATGCCACAAGTATTTCAGGCCATTATCTTAACAGGCCTAACAGGCTCTATTCTATTCAAGTAACTTAATTTCAGAACTTTGATATTAAGGTCCCTTAGAACAGGAAACTACAGAGAAGTCCATAACATAGATAGAGCAAATTAAAGGTTACATGAAATCTATATTTAATCATATATTTCCTTTTTATTAACTTTATTGTATCTGTTGCAATGCTGTACAATAAACTGATTTTTTTACTATTTGCTGTTAAATATATAGCTGAATACAATATGTTTTTCGTAAATTTTTACAAACTAAAGAAGTAAATACAAAACTCAATAAAAAAGCACATTTTTCTGACCCAGTAACACGTAGAGTCCCTTTAAATAATAACATAAGTTCTAAGCTCTCAGTCTCTACAGTAGGCTAAGCTGTACATCTGTGTTATCAGACCAGACTTATTATCTACTCAATTTTAAATCTTTAATAAAAAAAACCCTGAAACAACTAAGTTACTATTTCATATTGAAATGAGTCTTACATAAATATAGTCTACAGTAAGGTTTAAACCTGCTCGAGCCTAAAATGATTAGCCTTTGCCTTTGGTATAGAGCCAGGCAAGCCGGCACAATTGTATCAGTCTGACATGCTCTACATTGCTGACTTGAGTTACGAATTTTAAAGTTTAATCTTGACATCCCCAAAATTAATAATGGACATTTCCAGAAATGAAAGTTGTACATGTCCATTTAAGAAATTCAGCAGGTTATGTTTTACAGTATACAATGAGTATTTGTAATATATGATGCTTACTCAGGTAACAGTTTGTTGAGTAGTTCTTCAACTTTCTGTTTCTCTTCAAGGTAAGCTTTAGTTCTCTCTGCCGCGAGATGTTCCAGATTGTCTGCATAGTCAGACATTCTCTTCAATAAGTTGTCCATCATATTGGTCACTTTTCCCCTGTAATAACCAAATCAAGGAAGCATGGCTAAGTGGTTAAAGATTGCTGGATATGTGGGTTTAAACCCAATTAGGGGCAAGCAGTAATGTTCCCCTGAGCAAGAAACTATACTTTCATTGCTTCATTACTGGTTGATTCAAGGAACAGATTTAAGTGTTTCAATAAGCCCATAAGCTTTCTATACAATCAAACTGGAATATATTCATATAAACTAATGAACCATGAAATAGAGATACAGCTTTTTTGTAAAAAACTTATAAATTGACACTTGCATAAAAGAAAGCTTTGTTGACTACAAAGTTCTCAAAATTTTAAGCCCCATTGACTAGTTTAACCAATGAAAAATGTGAAACAGTAAAAAAGATAATACTTTCTTGAATGTTGAGTATTGTATATTTTTTAGACTTCTCAAAAGCTTATCTGCCTTTCAACTCAGTGTTTGACATAAATGCGTTTATGTAGAACTATGATAAAAACATGATAATGATCAGTTAATTGGAAAGAATTATCAAAATCTGCAACGTAATTGTGTTTAGATGAAACAATAACATGGTACAGAGGTGATTATACAAAATCATGCCTGAATTTTCATTATGATCCTGAAATACTTATTCATTTCTTTGAATTATTCCAATACCTTCTCATTTTCTTGTATACTTCATCTATATCATTGAACGATGGCCTTTCAGATGGTTCATCACACCAGCAAGACTTCATTAATGACATAAGTTCCGGAGTACATGCGTCTTCAGCAACAATAGGACGTAGAAGTTGCGGTTTCTTCGTTATCAACTGGTTGATTATATCTGTAATCCATTCAAATTTATAAATAATTTTGATTGAATTCAACCTGTTGCATAGAGTACATTATAGAAATTTCTGATAGTGTGATTAGATGTATAGATCAATGTTCAGCCAGCATTTCTTTCCCTTTTTATTATACAAGAGCAATCAACGATCATATGTTTCACCTGATGATAGTCAATTAATAAGTTGTATTGAATGTTGATTGGACATGTAAATTGAAAATTGACTGTTACATAATGGATGCTTGAGTGTTTTCTGTAATGTGGAGAAAGTAAGAATTACCCAAATATCATTATCAGGCTGTTAATAGCCTTTTTTATTCAAAGGTTATAACTCAGCCAAAATCATTTGCACAACTACAAAATGCACAAGTACTTGAGGTACCAATCAATGCTGTAACAGTTCATTTAAAGTAAGAGAAGTAGTCATGACAAACTTTAAAAATTAAAATAATTTAAGGGCAATGTAACTCATTGAACTGTAAAATTGTTACCATTTGCACAACTAGACTTGGAACTGTTCATCAGCTAAGTGACATTTAAATTTTACTTTTAAGATCAAACAACAAAGACAATTGAAAGTTTGACTTTAGAGGTCAAGGACATTTGGGTTCAAAGTAATATTTAAGTATGTCAAAATGAAGGTCAACTCTATAGGTACATTGTATTTTTATAATTGTACTGTTTTAAAATGAAGGCAATAGCATATCTAATGAAGATGTTATAACTAAGGTTTAAGTTGTCAAGTTCAGAAGGACAAGAAGAAAATTAAAAAGACATGACAGACCAATGGTATATCCGATATAATATATTTTTCTATGCAAAAAGATCGACTTTACCATCAGTATCCATGTGGTTTTCCTCAAATGGTTCCATCCTCATTATAAGCTCCTGAAGTACGATACCGAACGAATAAACATCACCTTTCTGAGAGTAGCCATTGATCTCTGTTGTGCTTACAAGGTGTTCCGGAGCAGTCCATAAAAGCTCTGAAATAACAACCATTACTATAGCTTGTAGAAAACATATGAGCCGCGTCACGACAAAACCAACATAGTGCATTTGCGACCAGCATGGATCCAGACCAGCCTGCGCATCCGCGCATTCTGATCAGGATCCATGCTGTTCGCTTACAAACTCTTTAACAAGTAGAGAAACCGATAGCGAACAGCATGGATCCTGATCAGACTGCACGGATGAGCAGGCTGGTCTGGATCCATGCTGTTCGCAAACCCATTATGTTGGTTTTGTCGTGACACGGCTCATATCTGTAAATGCTTGCTAAATAAAATCCATAAAACTGTAGTTTAATTAGTAAATTAAGTAGAAAATTTGTGTATGACTCAAATTTATTAACTGGTACTATGGTGTAAGGAAGAAGGAAAACATAGTTGAGATGTCTCCTTATATAGTACAGATTGACAAAAAATAGTATGTTTTTAAGAGTAAGGTAAAAATTCACAATGATTATTTCAGTTTAAGATTCCGGTAAAGACAATAATTAAAGGTAATCTCAGTTTTCATTTAAAATCTGGACAAATAAATGTAAAATCCTACAAAGCTGTGCTCCTAGTATTGTACTTTTTTTTCAAATGGAACAATCTTTTAAAGATAAAATCAATATATTTTTGCTAAAGCAGATTCTGATTATTTAGGATCTTGGCAAGTGCAGAAATGCCAAGTGCCATCTAGCATCACAAAAACATCAATCCCCAGATCAAGTATGCAGTCCCAATATTTTGACTGCAAGACCAACTGATTTTACAAACTGATATGACATAGATATCAGTCTTTAAGGGAAGAGCAACCATCATATATAATAAAAAGCCATGGTGCACAATTTATTTGGCTACAGATCAAGGTACTCGCACTATAATCTCACATAATATTGTATTTTTTCTCATATTTTATTACAAGTACTATACAAAAATTTAGACCTAGCAATTGCTTATATAGATAATAAAATAAAATGTACTTCTTTTATTATATTCGCCAGCTTCCAATGCCTGCTTCCTGGCAATAGATCTGTCTTCAGCCAAAAATGAAGCCGGGCCATAGTCGGTGATCTTCAAAGCAAAACGGCTGTCAATTACACAGTTGGTGCTAGAGAAATTACCATGCACATTAAGTGGGCTGTTGTGTAAGTACTGCATACCCTAGAAATAGCAAAATGATTACATTTAAGTTTGATCATGCAGTTATAACCTTTGAGCAAACTTGAATAATATAAATCCTCACCAATGGTACTATTACAAATGTAGTATATCCTCATTTGATAATTTTTCCATTTTTACTTTTTTTGGAGAGCAAAATATATTTTTGATTCTTTTTCCTAATTGCAAATAAAAAAATACTTGAAAAAGAATAAACATACTTAACTAGAACTATCGCTGAATGCGATTCATACCCCCACCAATGTCCTTGACAGAAGACGACTTGGAAAGGTGGTTAAGGGAATAACTTAAGTGGCACAAATACATAAAAAGAAATTATCTCTGGTGAAAAAAAGACTAATTGTACAGGTAATAGTATAAATATATATTATCAAATCATGTTCCAAACAGTTACAAATAACCTTTCATTTTCCCAATGTACTAAACATTTTATAAGTCAATTTTTGACCTTCAAGTGTGGCCTTTACCTTAAGCTGGCACATGGGTAAGATGGGTTATGCACATCGCCCAGTTGGGGTGAACATTTGAGTAAAGTTTGAAGAAAATCCTTCCATTAATATAGAATTTATAGAGCGGACACAACATATTGTCTAGAATTGATTGTATGTAAATTTAAAGACTTAAAAAGGGGCATAACTTTGTCAAAATGCAATACAGAGTTATATAACTTGACCTGCATATCTTACTTGTGACACCTCATATATCTTTTAAGTTTCAAGCAAATACCTGTGCTAGTTTCAGAAATATTCAAGTACATGTTTAAATTTAAGAACATTTTCTAAGTGACCTTGACCTTTAGCCAGCACAAAGGTGATATGGATTCTGCACATAACCATGTTGAGGTGAACATTTGAGTAAAGTTTGAAGAAAATTCTTCCATTAGTATAGGATTTATAGAGCGGACACAACATATTGACTAATATTTGATTGTATGTAAATTTGAAGACTTAAAAAGGGGCATAACTTTGTTAAAATGCAATAGAGTTATGAAACTTGACCAGCATATCTTAATTGTGACACTTCATAAAATATATTTTAAGTTTCAAGCAAACACCTTTTCTAGATTCAGAAATATTCAAATAAATGTTAAAATTTCAGAATATTTTCTAAGTCAATTTTTGACCTTCAAGTGTGACCTTGACCTTAAGACGGCAAAAGGTTGACATGGGTTCTGCACATCCCCTTGTTCAGGTGAACATTTGAACCAAGATTCAAGAAAATCTTTCAATTAGAGTGGACACGACATACTATGTAATATTTGATTGTTTGATATTTGACCTTCAATTGTGACCTTGACCTTGAGCTGACACATGGGCAACATTGGTTCTGCACATTCCCTTGTTGAGGTGAACATTTGAGCCAAGTTTGAAGAAAATCCTTCAATAAGTGTAGGACTTACAGAGCAGACATGACATATTGTGTAATATTTGATTGTTTGATATTTGACCTTCAATTGTGACCTTGACCTTGAGCTGACACATGGGCAAGATGGGTTCTGCATATCCCCTTGTTGAGGTGAACATTTGAGCCAAGTTTGAAGAAAATCCTTCAATAAGTGTAGGACTTACAGAGCGGACACGACATACTGTGTAATATTTGATTGTTTGATATTTCACCTTCAATCTTGACCTTGAGCTGACACATGGGCAAGATGGGTTCTGCATATACCCTTGTTAAGGTGAACCATTGAGCCAAGTTTGAAGAAAATCTTTCAATTAGTGTAGTACTTACAGAGCAGACACGACATACTGTCTAATATTTGATTGTGTTTGATATTTGACCTTCAATTGTGACCTTGACCTTGAGCTGTCACATGGGCAACATGGGTTCTGCACATCCCCTTGTTGAGGTGAACATTTGAGCCAAGTTTGAAGAAAATCCTTCAATTGGTATAGGAGTTATAGAGCGGACACGAAAATGGAGACGGACGACCGACCGACGCGACTAAGCGAATCCATTATAGCCCCATTATAGTATAATTATGGTCTGTCTTCTTTTCTGAACAAAAGGAATACTACCATTGCTTCTTAGTTCTGTTGTTAAGTAAGCGCTTTTAAAAAGTTTTAAAACAACTTCATTGATATAAGGAATTAAACTGCTGTAATGCTAAAACATACAACAGAGTCTTACAGAGTCTGGTTAGACTGTATACAAGTGCAGGCTTGACTGGTTCAATACTGGTTGCATGGGCAAGTGATCATAAGTAAGAATGATTCAAACCTTAATAACATCCTGAATGAGAGCAAAACGAAAGTCCCAGTCTAGTTCAATGCTGTCATTGTTAATCATGTCCTGAAAAAACAACAACAAGAAAACATTATAACAGGTTATTGCTTTAGGCATATTAAAATATAAAACACTGTAGGGGAAAATGATGACAGCATGAACTAAGGGCTGTAACTCATTGTCAATATCAAGAAAAGTTATCAAACTTGATCTCTAAAATAGAAAACTTAGATAATTTTAAGACATGAAAGGAATTTACAGAATTTTTGTCTTAGTGCCATTGTGTTGAAAACTGTTAGCTTAAAGAAACACTTTCAAATCTGTTCCTGAAACCAACCACTACTAAGCCAAGAGTGCAAAAGATTTTTACTCAAGGAAATAATGGTAAATAAATAAATGAAAATTGAATTTTTTAGTGCTTCACAAGCCATCTATTGCAAAACACATCAACATAATTATATCCTTGCTTTGAGAAAAAATATACCCTGAAACCTGACAACCTTTTCTTTTCTTGTTTAGAGTTTTTAACTTGAACATTTCAGTATCAATATTTAGCAATATTTTAGTTTATTGAAATAATTGACATAATCACAAAATTGGGTGGTTTAAACACATTTTATGGTAATTTATTACATGCTTTTCGGTGGTTTATAGAAATATATCAGTGATATAAAACTGGTAATTTCACTGTTTGAAACAGTGAAATTACCACTTTGATAATTTCACTGTTTTGAATTTAAGCCCCTTACCTTGTTTCAGTGAAATACCAGCGTGCACAGTACTGGGTACCAACTTATTGACGTGACGTCGTAAATGACGTCACGTTGTATTATAATTTGGCGCGCTTTTCATTTAGTATTACGTTAAAATGTCTTTTTAAACGTTTCTTTGCATATAATAAAAAGAAAATTAGTTTAGTTTAGTGTAAGATCGAAATATATTTCACCTCGTGAACACCAAACGTTCATATTTCACTCGTGGCTTCGCCACTCGTGAAATATACCTTTTGGTGCTCACTCGGTGAAATATATTCCGATCTTACACTGAACTAAACAAATATCCTCTATGTGATATCACAGTAGTCAGTCCACCTAACAATCTTTCCTGGATAACAAACCATATCTGCTACTAGTTTTTGCTTATAAAAATGGATCGAAGCAGCTTCCTAGCCGCTCAATAAGGTAGTGGCTACCTTTCCATTTTTGTAAGGGCAGTAATTACAAATAATTTTGCAAATCACTACCTACTTATCCAATATGATTCCTGTAGCAGTAGTTTAAGACAAATGAAGATCACCTGTCACAGAGAGAGAGAAATTTGGCCTGGTCTGTAGATTGAACGAGTAACCCTGGAATACAAATCCATTACTCTCCCTATTTAGCTAAGCTGGCACACAGTGAGTAATAACTAAGCTATTAAACATTGCCCAGCTAAATTTGTGATATAAGCTTGATCCTGTTGAATTTGAAAGTGTTCATTGATATTCGGAAATATTTAATCATTTAAATGATTTTAACTGACCAGCATATTATATAAGTTTAGAGCCTTATATCAGACAGTACAAATATGACATGTAGGTTGTTCTGGCTGTAAACCAGAGAGGCAGGTATTACCTGAAGACTTCCTCTAGGACAATACTCCATCAGCATTGAGAAATGATCCGGTTCTAAACAGATGCCTACAAAGGTGGCAATATTTGCATGGGTGGCCATTTGCATCTAAAAATAGAGAAAAAAGAGTGGAATGAAAACACTGTTCTACAATACTAATAAAAAATTTTATTATTACCCATAATAGGCTTTGTATTAATGCTACTTTATGAATCAATCTCCCTTATGTCTCTTCACTTCACATATGGCATCCTATTATAATAGTGCCACTGAATTATACCACCCTCATATGTACTGTAGTAAAGCAATGTAGCGTATATTTCTTGCTAACAGAACTTAGCAGAGTCCTTGAAAGGATTCTAACCTGGAACCTGTTACGTTCTACAACTGGACCATTGGACTTAGATTTTTCTATTAAATGGTTCAACTTCAAAAACAGGCAAATTGGATGAACATACAGTTATATTTCCTGCCATGCTTTTAAATTCTGTTTCTAGTACCAAGTTTTTTTTCTTATGTAGAAAACAACATTTCAAAAAAATTCATGTGAGAAGGCAATACAAAGTTTTCATTAATAAGAAAAAAAAACATTATATAAGTTTAGTTTAAACATATTAAGTAAAGCTCAATTGCCAAACAAGTTCTTGCAACTTATATTTATCACTTTCCCGTCCGCTTCCTGGGACCAACCAGTACTGGTGTCATTATGAAGAAACATGGTCATGACCAAAGTAGGGCTCGAACCCATGATCCCTGGGTTGAGAGAGAGACTTTAACCACTAGGCCATCAGTCCCCTTTCTAAAATCATTGATTATTGTGAATGTTAAAATACCTGTCTGAAGCTAATAGAAAGTTGTCTTGTCACTTCGATGGATGGCAAATGTAAAGATCTTACTGCTACCACTTGATTACGACAAAATGATGTCTTGCAGAACACTTGCTCTTCCTTCAAAAGAAAAAAAATTTTTTGTAAAATGATGATGCAATTTTAACTTGAACTACAATTAGTTCAATTTAGTTTCAACTAAGATGGGCTATAGCCAATTACCTGCTAAGATTGTGTATTGGCCTTGACCTGCTTTAAATATTTGTAATCCAGAACTCAGCAAATGTGGGTTTTTCCCAGCTAATTAATTCCCCCCCCCCCCCTCCCCGGTATAAACACACTTTTACTAGGGGTGTGGATTGTCGGATAAGTGACGATCCGATCCAAACCACGATTCAGCACTTACGATTCACAAATCGAACCACAAATCTTTTGTTATCAAGACACCCATAAAGACATGTACATTAGTTATAAAAACATGTTTAATTAAATAAAAAAAACAATACTTTAAACATTAAACATATAAAATATAAAATAGATTTATGTTTTTATTCTTTGGATGAGTATTTTTGTTTTGTTTTTTGAAACCAATTACTTCCTAGCTCAGCATCATGGTACATGGTCTTTAACCGGCAAATTGTATTTTAGGTAAACTTCATATAATTTATACTCAACTCGTATTTTCTCGATTTTAAGAGTGTGAGAAACAGTGAATGTATATAAAAAAATTAGATCGCGATACACGATCTCTGGGCTTACGAATATTCAAACTCGATTTTTCACTTTGATTCGTGATTATCCGAGTACTCGGATACTCGCCCCAGCCCTAACTTTTACCATTATAGCTTCATGGTGCACTATCCTTCACAATAGATTAGTCAACCTATTGCACATATTTTCTAAAGCTTTAACTATAAAAGTTTGTTTGTATGCCCAGATTAGCTAAAATAAACCAAAATATTCTTATTTCCAGAGAAAGACTACTAATGAACGTTAACTTTGTTAATTCTGTATATTGTTAATAAGATCATTTCTTACATTATAATTGAAAACAGTGATAAGAACTTTCAAAGAAATTGTCAAAGGTTTTACTTACAGCCATTATAACATTTATTGGAGAGGAAAAAAAACAGAACAGGTACACACACACACAAAAGGGTCATAATTCTGCCAAAATGATCAAATTAAAAAATTTCCAACATTATGTTTGATGATAATATCTTTTTTAAATCCCTTGAGAAAAGAATGAAGAGCTGTGCAATGAAAAATTGTTTAGACAAAGCATCTTTAAGTCTGCTTAAATTCAACAATGGCCAAAGTTTCCAACTGCTAAACCATTTCTAAAAAAATCATCATTTGTCAAAATATTTACTTTTTATGAAGCTAAAGACTTGAAGCATTAATTAATATCAAAATTACCTTCTCCTCAAGATTGAGTACACTCTTTGAGAGAAATGAATCATTGAACTTTCCTTTCCTGACTTGAATTTCAGAAAAGTCTACAATCCACGTCTTTCTACCTAGTTCTTGTTCGGCTTGATATTTCCTAGGAAACATTGATTATGTATAAACATATAAATCAGTAAGTATTTCTATATATGGTTTTATATATCGAGATGTCACATAGGAATACCATTCTCCACTTTCCTAAGCGCTGGATAATAAACTGCAGATTATCTAAATGAAGAGGTGACTTGTAAAAATAATGTTTGATGTCATGACTTATCTAAGGTTTTGCAGTCAGAGGCTTACAGTACTGATATTACAGTTCACACTGACCTCTTGACACACAATGAAATTAGCAGGTAGGCCTCATTTACATACAAAGTGTGATGTTACTAGGCCTGTGCACTTCAATTTAATGATCATTTTTATGTCCTGCTTTTACTGGTACCAGATATCATAACATTTGACCTTTTGACCTGAAAATGGAGGTGACTGGTAGAACTCATCAAGGTACAAGTACATATAAAGTTTGGAGTTCCAAAGTCAATGCATTTCGATTTAATGACCAATTTCATTTTTTTACTATTACAACAGGTACCAGTGACCTTGACCTTTGACCTGAAAATGGATATGATCAGTAGAATTTATCATGGTGCATCTATTCACAAAAATAAAAGCTAATAGAAGCACATACTCATTAATTTATTAATTTAATTATATGTTTTATGTTTTGTTTTTACATGTAATAATGATCTTGACCTTTGACCTGCAAATGACTGGTATACAGAACTGTTCAAGGATCAGCAGCCACATTTTAAGTTAAAATGTAACAATATTTTATTATTATAAATATTAAAGTTATTGCAGATAATGACCATAAATAAAAACGTTACCAAAACGAATAAACACAGAGTAACAATCAATGCAGTGGTATAACTAATCTAACAATCAATGAAGTGGTATAAATGATGTAACAATCAATGCAAGGGAATAACTGATGTAACAATCAATGCAGGGGTATAACTGATGTAACAATCAAAACAGGGGTATAACTGATGTAACAATCAATGCAGGGGTATAACTGATGTAACAATCAAAACAGGTGTATAACTGATGTAATAATCAAAACAAGGGTAAAACTGATGTAACAATCAAAACAGGGGTATAACTGATGTAACAATCAATGCAGGGGTATAACTGATGTAACAATCAAAACAGGTGTATAACTGATGTAATAATCAAAACAAGGGTAAAACTGATGTAACAATCAATGCAGGGGTATAACTGATGTAACAATCAAAACAGGGGTATAACTGATGTAACAATCAAAACAGGGGTATAACTGATGTAACAATCAATGAAGGGGTATAACTGCTGTAACAATCAATACAGGGGTATAACTGATGTAACATTCAATACAGGGTTACAACTGATGTAACAATCAATGAAGGGGTATAACTGATGAAATAATCAATAGAGGGGTATACATGTAACCGATGTAACAATCATAACAAGGGTAAAACTGATGTAACAATCAATACAGGTGTATAACTGATGTAACAATCAATGCAGGGGTATAACTGATGTAATAATCAATAGAGGGGTATACATGTAACCGATGTAACAATCATAACAAGGGTAAAACTGATGTAACAATCAATACAGGTGTATAACTGATGTAACAATCAATGCAGGGGTACAACTAATGTAACAATCAATACAGGGGTATAACTGATGTAATAATCAAAACAAGGGTAAAACTGATGTAACAATCAAAACAGGGGTATAACTGCTGTAACAATCAATACAGGGGTATAACTGATGTAACAATCAATACAGGGGTATAACTGATGTAACAATCAAAAACAGGGTTACAACTGATGTAACAATCAATGAAGGGGTATAACTGATGTAATAATCAATAGAGGGGTATACATGTAACCGATGTAACAATCATAACAAGGGTAAAACTGATGTAACAATCAATACAGGGGTATAACTGCTGTAACAATCAATACAGGGGTATAACTGATGTAACAATCAAAACAGGGGTACAACTGATGTAACAATCAATGAAGGGGTATAACTGATGTAATAATCAATAGAGGGGTATACATGTAACCGATGTAACAATCATAACAAGGGTAAAACTGATGTAACAATCAATACAGGTGTATAACTGATGTAACAATCAATGCAGGGGTACAACTAATGTAACAATCAATACAGGGGTATAACTGATGTAATAATCAAAACAAGGGTAAAACTGATGTAACAATCAAAACAGGGGTATAACTGCTGTAACAATCAATACAGGGGTATAACTGATGTAACAATCAATACAGGTGTATAACTGATGTAACAATCAAAACAGGGGTATAACTGATGTAACAATCAATGAAGGGGTATAACTGCTGTAACAATCAACAGAGGGGTATACATGTAACTGATGTAACAATCATAACAAGGGTAAAACTAATGTAACAATCAATACAGGTGTATAACTGATGTAACAATCAATGCAGGGGTACAACTAATGTAACAATACAGGGGTACAACTGATGTAACAATCAATGCAGGGGTATAACTGATGTAACAATCAATACAGGGGTATAACTGATGTAACAATCAATACAGGGGTATAACTGATGTAACAATCAATGCAGGGGTATAACTGATGTAACAATCAATACAGGGGTATAACTGATGTAACAATCAATGCAGGGGTATAACTGATGTAACAATCAATACAGGGGTATAACTGATGTAACAATCAATACAGGGGTATAACTGATGTAACAATCAATACAGGGGTATAACTGATGTAACAATCAATACAGGGGTACAACTTATGTAACAATTAATACAGGGGTATAACTGATGTAACAATCATAACAGGGGTACAACTGATGTAACAATCAATACAGGGGTATAACTTATGTAACAATTAATACAGGGTACAACTAATGTAACAATTAATACAGGGGTATAACTGATGTAACAATCATAACAGGGGTACAACTGATGTAACAATCAATACAGGGGTATAACTGATGTAACAATCAATACAGGGGTATAACTGATGTATCAATAAATACAGGGGTACAACTGATGTAACAATCAATACAGAGGTATAACTGATGTAACAATCAATACAGGGGTATAACTGATGTAACAATCTGAGCAGGGGTATTACTATTGTAACCATCAATTCTGGGGTATAATTGATGTAATAATCAATGCAGGGGTATAACTGATGTTACAATCAATGTAGGGGTATAACTGATGTAACAATCAATGCAGATGTATAACAGATGTAACAATCAATGCAGGGGTATTACTATTGTAACCATCAATTCTGGGGTATAATTGATGTAATAATCAATGCAGGGGTATAACAGATGTAACAATCAAAGCAGGGGTAATAATATTGTAACAATCAATGCAGGGGTATTACTATTGTAACCATCAATGCAGGGGTATAACTGATGTTACAATCAATACAGGGGTATAACTGATGTAACAATCAATGCAGGGGTATTACTATTGTAACAATCAATGCAGGGGTATAACAGATGTAACAATCAATACAGGGGTATAACTAATGTGATAATCAATACAGGGGTATAACTGATGTAACAATCAATACAGGGATATAACTGATGTAATAATCAATACAGGGGTATAACTGATGTTATAATCAATACAGGGGTATAACTAATGTAACAATACAGGGGTATAACTGATGTTATAATCAATACAGGGGTATAACTAATGTAACAATCAATACAGGGGTATAACTGATGTAATAATCAATACAGGGGTATAACTAATGTAACAATCAATACAGGGGTATAACTGATGTAACAATCAATACAGGGGTATAACTGATGTAATAATCAATACAGGGTTATAAATGATCACATGGTCAATAAAAGGTTATGACTGACTGATCAACCAATGCTAGGGTATAAAAACAAGGAAAAAACTTAAAATTACCTGTAAACTATATACATCACACCCAGGGCTAAAACTAACAGTACAAATACACTGACCAGGACTGCAATCAGCACAGTGTAATCCTCTACAAAAGAAGTTCACATGATATAGATATATTAGATTTTGGCTCTGATTTATTATATTTTTATGGGCCTGTTGTTAATGTATTTGTATTTTTGTTGTTGTTTTTTTTGTTATTGTTTTTTTATTTTAAGTAATAAATTATATACTTAATTTTTCAAAAGTTATAATGTATATAAATTTAAAATAATTGGTGGATTACAAAAAAAATTCTTGTTACCACCCTTTTAAAAAATATGCATTTATGATTTTGTATCAAGATAAAAAAAACACACAAGAAACACCAACAATTTTCAAGTACCAAAGAAATAAACGGTTTACTGTAGTTTTGACCATTATTAAAGAAAACAAAGAAAGAAAAATCATAGAAGTGACTTCATCAGGAACTACTTGTAGGACCCAACAACATTTGGCACATAATGTCACAGAATGAGAGATATCTGTATCTTGACAGGAACTTTATTACTGGACATTTTAATGTTCATTTTGCTACTTAATACCAAATAAACATCCTGCCCAACACATTTTCTCACTAATGACACAGAGATATTGTTGTTTTCAAGAACTCACTTGGCCCCTCTGGTTCACAAAGTTCACCACGGTAACCACAAACAGGCATGTCTTCAGGAAGACCATTAGGCCAAACAATTTCCACGCCAGAAGTTGGGGTAAATGCTTGACTTGCACCTTGGAAACGGCCAACCCTCTGAAACATAATAATATAAACATTTAAATATCTAAGCTTAAATTCAAATTGAACATCATGTTTACCGGAATTCTTTGACTTGAATGCTAACAGACAAATGATTGTCAAAACAGACAGTTGTCAATTCTGAAGCTTAATGTGCCTAGATTTAAACTATAATTGTTGAAAAAGTTAAGCACAATGATGGTCTTTTCTACATGTGTTTATTAAAAGTATCTTTTTTTCCAAAGTGGTCTTTAGCACAAATCTGTATTTAGAAAATCCACAATTACCGCCCAAGTCTCATCTGATGACATATCAAAAAGGTCAAAATCGGCTTTTCTATCCCCTATCTCATTAACAGCCACTGTTCCAGTGATTCCTGGAAATAAATTAAAATAATGTGTGTAGGTATTGTATATCTGAAGTGCTGTCTGCAGTGACCAGCATGGATCCAGACCAGCCTGTGCATCTGCACAGTCTGGTTAGGATCCATGCCGTTCGCTTACCAACCCTATCATATATATATAAAAGTAGAGAAACTGATAGCGAAGAGCATGGATCCTGATCAGACTGGGTGGATGCACAGGCTGGTCTGGATTCATGCTGGTGGCAAACCGACTATGTTGGTTTTGTTGTGACACGGCTCAAATGACCATTAGACTCGATCTCACAGAAAAACTACCCACATCCTAGAATCAAACCAGCGACTCAGTTTTAATCAAGTATGGTATGCTATAAATGCTATATATTATGGTATGGTATAAAAATATCTTTTTAATATAGGACTTACCATCAAAAGTCGAATTCCACAATTGTTGAGCCACTACGGAACCATTAAACACATGTGAGCTAGGGTCGGCTAAATTGAGCTCATCAGCTCGGCTTCTATATGCAGCGGCAAGATAAAGCACGGCATCATAGAAAGCTGTGATGTAGTAATTTACCTAAAATTTTAGGAGAAAAAAATCAATCAGTAAGATAACTTTAATGAGAAAACACACTTTTAGTGAGATAACATACAGAAAATTACATATTTTAGTGAGATAACATACAGAAAAATGGAAAAATACATATTCTGACATGATAACATATGGAGAAAAATGCATTCAAGTGATATAACATACAGAAAAATGCATATTCTAGTGAGGTGATGTAAGGCAAAATACATATTCTAGTGAGACAATGTATTGAAAAATATATATTCTAGTGAGATTTCTATATTCAAGTGAGATAATGTATGTGAAAATACATATTCTAGTGCGATAACATATGGTAAAATACATACTCTAGTGCGATAACATACAAAAACAAGAGGGCCATGATGGCCCTGAAATTGCTCACCTGTATATAGGCCCCCAGGGCGGTCCAATTTTAACCCAGGGGCTTTTATTTGAACAAACTTGATAGACACCCATTTGAAGATGTTTCATGATAAATATATATTCTCTAGCTCTAAGAAGATTTTTTAAGTGTTAAGTTGTTAACTATACAAATATAGAGAGAAATAATGACCCCCCCCCCCCTCTGGGCAGGGCAAATTTTGTCCCCAGGGATTTTACTTGGACATACTTGGTAGACACTCACTAGAAGATTTTATGCTACATATCTAAATTCTAGCTCTGTGGGGTTATAAACGAAAGATTTTTTAAGTTTTTACCATATACATATAAGGAAAATCAATGATTACCAGGGCGAGGCCAATTTTAACCCCAGGGCCCCTATTTGAACAAAAATGGTTAACACCAACAAGAAGATGTTTCATGCTAACTATCTAAGCTCTACCTCTTAGGGTTTTTTTAAAAGAAGATTTTTTAAGTTTTTACTATATACATAGAAGGAAAAACCATGACCCCCCTAGGGCGGGGCCAATTTTGTCCCCAGGGCTGTTATTTGAACAAACTTGGTAGACACCAACTAGAAGATGTTTCATTCTTAAAAGCTAAGCTCAGCTCTAGCTATTGGGTTTTAAAAGAAGTTTTTTGAGTTTTTACTATATACAAATAGGGAAAATCAATGACCCCACCCCACCCCCCTCTGGGTGGGGCCAATTTAAACCCAAGGTCATTTATTTGAACAAATTTGGTAGATACTTACTAGCTGATGTTTCATGCCATATATTTAAGCTCTAGCTCTTTCGTTTTTCTAAAAGAAGATATTTTAAGTTGTTTCTTTCAGTTGCCATGGCAGCCAAAGTTCTGCTTGGAATTAAATTCTTTGTACAATTTTTAAAAGTGACTACCATTGAAGGAGCATTCCTGTGAAGTTTGGGTGAAATTTGCTTAGCAGTTTATGAGGAGATGTCGTTTAAAGGAAAAATTAAAGGACGGATGATAGAAGAAAAGCGATCACAAAAGCTCACCATTTCACTTTGTGACAGGTCCAAAACATATTCTAAAAATGCTAAAAATGTATTCTAGTAAGATATTGTATGAGGAAAAATATTTCCAAGTAAAATAACATACTGAAACATACTGTGAGATAATGCATATCATACATGTGTAGAAAAATACATATTCTAGTGAAATAGCATACAGAAAAATAATTTCTCCTCAAGTGAGATAACATAGATACAGATATGAGATAACATACAGAAAACAAGCATTTGATAGTATTGCGGGCAATACAGTAGTCCCCTACCGGTCCCTCAAAAAGTTCTTTAATTGTCATACACTCCTGTGTATTGCCATTTATAATGAATTTGAGGATGAAGTCTGTATTTGAAAATATCGATCACAAAACATAATAAAATAAGTTTGTCTATATCACAGTAATGTGTTAAGTTTCCATGCTTAGTAAGGAAATTATGTTTATACAACCTTGTCATATTATTACAATGTGGGATTTTAAAGTAAATCCTATAAGGAATGAAGAAGTTGGAGTGAAAATACCAGTTTCTCGGAAAAAATCTAAGTTCAAGGGGGACATAATTCTGGAAATAGTCTTGCTAGAGTATTTAACCTTCTCAAAAATGTCGAGTGATAATAAGAAACATATATATGAAGTTTGAAGTAGATACATTAGGAAATAAAGAAGTTATTTAAAAAAGACAACATTTTTTCCCCTAAAAAATCTAAGTTCAAGGGAGGTAATATTGATATTTTTTGTGCTAGAGTTATAAACCTTGTCACATATGATGTGGTTGATGACCAGGAACTTATATTTAAAGTTTGAAGTAAACACCTTAAGAAATAAAGAACATATAGTGAAAAGCTGAAAAATTTAAATCAGAAATCTTGAAATTCAGGCTATTTGTTGCCATAGCAACCAGAATTTTCAACATAGGAAGAAAAGAAAAAGATGTGCATAATCTCCAGACTGCCATCTACCCATATTTCAAGTTTCATAAAAATATTTTCAGTACTTTTTGAGTTATCACTGGATCCAGTTTATGTGTTAAATTTGCCATATTTTCAGACTATTTGTTGCCATAGCAACCAGAATTTTCAACATAGGAAGAAAAAAAAAAGACGTGCATAATCTCCATACTGCCATCTATCCATATATCAAGTTTCATAAAAATATTTTCAGTACTTTTTGCGTTATCGCGGGATCCAGTTTTGTGGACGGACGGACTGACGGACTGACAGACTGACAGACGGACGGACAGACAGACGGACAGACGGACGGAGGGTAAACCTAAAGTCCTAAAAACATATTCTAGTGAGATAACATATGGAAAAATTAATTTTTTAGTGAGATAATGTATAGAGAAATGATAAGTGAGATTATGTATGAAACAAGAGCGATCAGTGATCACATGTGTTGCCTCATGATGTCCAATTTCATGTTGGGACAAGTTTTGTGACAGACAGACAGACAATGCACAACTAGACTTGGTACTGATCATTCCTGTAAAGTTTGGATAAAATTGCACCAGTAGTTTATGAGTAGTCCGGCAAGCTTTTGTGTATCTGGCAACACACAGAAAAAAACACCTTTTTATCAATTGGCCATAACTCTGCCAAAAATCATTCAACCAGAAAACCTGTGCAATATGCGCAAGGACTTGAGCTACAGATCAATCCTGTAAAGTTTCATTGTTATTGCATTAGTGGTATAAGAGAAGTAATCTGGACAAACTTTAAAAATAAAAATTATTTAAGGGCCATAACTCTGACAAAATTCATTGAACCGGAAAATGCTGAAAAATATGCACAACTAGACTTGGTACTGATCATTCCTATTAAGTTTGGATGAAATTGCACCAAAAGTTTATGAGGAGTAGTCCGGAAAAGCTTTTGTGTATCTGACAACACACAGAAAAAAACACCTTTTATCAAAGGGCCATAACTCAGCCAAAAAAAAAATTCAACCGGAAAACCCGTGCAATGTGCGCAAGGACTTGACCTATAGATCAATCCTGCAGAGTTTCATTGATATTGTGTTAGTGGTATAAGAGAAGTAGTTCGGACAAACTTTAAAAATAATAATTATTAAAGGGGCATAACTCTGACAAAAATCATTGAACCAGAAAATGCTGACAATAAGCACAACTAGTGAGGAGTAGTCCGGACAAGTTTTGTGACGGGAGGACAGACAGACAGACAGACGACGGAGAAGTGAACCCTATATGTTGCCACTACTCCTTAGAGGTGACACAAAAATGGATATTGTACTACATTGTAGTGAGATAACAATTATGGAAACGTTGGTCAGCCAACAGTATAGAGCCTGGTCAGACTATGTGCAGGCTGGAAAAGCTATATACTATCACTTTCAGAAGAGTAAAGGCTAAATGCATAAATGTCACATACCAGTTCTGATGTTCTATTATTTATCATAAAAACCAGATGTGTATTTAGAATACAAAATTGTTTTCAAGATCAGAATTCACAGAAAATAATTTGAATTTAAATACCACATGACAAATACATGTACTGCAATTTTTTTTTTTTTACAAAATTTTAATTTTACAAATAGCTGAGGTTATGATATAGAAATAGTAGAAATTAATTGTAATAATAACTTATCTAAGTTTCTTACATCTTCTTCTGGTGGGAATACATAATTAAATGGTGGTAACTTGGCTCGGTCAATCACAGATTGGGCCATCTGTAAGTACTCAGGGTTATCAAGCTTTTTTAAAGTAAGCACTAAGACAGTCTCATAGGCCTTGCTTACACCATAGTCCTTGGTATCATCTGTAAGAAAATTAAGGTTATATATTCACAATCTTGTAAGAATATTAAGGTGATATATTGATAATCATGTTATCATCTGTAAGAAAATTAAATGACATATTCATAATTTTGTTATCATCTGTAAGAAAATCTAGGTGATATATTTAAAATTTTGTTATCATCCGTAAGAAAATTAAGTTGATATATTCATAGTCTTGATATCATCTGTAAGACAATTAAGGTGATATATTCATAATTTTGTTATCATCTGTAAGAAAATTAAGGTGATATATTCATAGTCTTGTTATCATCTGTAAGAAAATTAAGGTGATATATTCATAGTCTTGTTATAATCTGTAAGGAAATTAAGGTGATATATTCATTATCATGCACACTTTTCATTATGTTATGTGCATTATATTGAAACAGCTTGTGTCTTTCATTGTAAGACTAAGATATATTTCACAGTTTGTTTAGTTTGGTTATTTGTTACTTTTACAATGTAAAGATCATATAGCAACTTTCCAGCTTTAATGGGGAAGGAACACCTAAGGTGCACCTTGCTGCATTATTTCAACCTCAAATAAGCACTTGAGTAGAGCCAACTGTCCAGTTTAATTGGTGGAGGAACACCTAAGGAGCACCTAAATAATGGGTGCATTATTTCAGCTACAAGCAGGCACTTAAGTAGAACCATTGAGCATTACTGGGGAACACCCTAGGTGCACCTTGGTGCATTATTTCAAACAATCACTATAACTTTCAGCAACATCAAAAATATTTTGTGTTAAATTTTGCCACATATTAAATGGTGTTAACCCATTACTTCATATACACGCCTTTTAACGCCTTTTTCACCCCCCCCCCTTTTCGTTGTCTCTAATGGTGAAAAAATGCCTTTTTTAGGCCCCCAACACTTGTTTTTGTTTGAGAAATGTTGTTAAAAAAAGTGACCACTTTTTCGGCGCGGCCCCCCAACCAAAAGATACATCAGGAGGTTGCCAGAAGGGGGATGTGCCCCCTTCTGTTTGGGGGAGTTTGAAGGGGGGCGGAGTCCCCCTCATCGCCAGGAAAATTTTGGACTTGTGAGAGGCTATAATGGCCCCAGATTGATGATAAGGTAACGTGTAACCAACGCTGAAAAGCATTTGACTCTATCTTAATCCATTGAGAAGTTGCAGCACTTTGAAATCAATGTTGATGGAAAAAATCAACGCAAAATAGTGATTTTTGGCAATTTTGAGATGTCCCCTCGTTGCCATGGTAACAGATAATTTAAGCCTGTGCATGTTGTTTAAAGGTCAATGGTCCAGTCAACATTTGTGCCAAGTTTGATTAGTATTGAAGCAGTTTTTATAGTATTATAGCAATTTGAACTTGTAGCGGGAGACTTTTCAATGAAAACAGGCATTTTTCACAAACTGCTCATGAAGTAATGGGTTAAATGTACTCTTCAAATAGAAAGCTATGAATTAGGCTCGGAATCATTTGAATAATTATGCCACCATCAGAGCAGTACATTGCACTGTTGGTGGATATTATGAAAAGCATCAAAATTTGTATTTTGTTGTTAATGCTTTTAACATGTATTTACCTGGTGTTTACTTGCGCTCCCTAGGAAATATTGTGCTGTTTGTCAGCACGTTTAACAATATATTACATGTATTCATAAGTTTCAGGCAAACAGATTTTTATAAGCATAAATCATTGTGGAAAAAGTGTTTCTTGCAGTTTGGTATGACTGTAATTTTTTGATGAATTTATCATTTGTTTGAATATTTCCTTTGTATTACATCGGTTGACTTGTCGGTGGCAATATTTTGCTGAGGTTCTACATTGTTACCCTCTTCAACTTAAGTTTGAAGTTTGTTGCAGGTTTTACCATTTGGCAGTCGGCACGACAACACTAGTGCTTTTGCAAATGACATTCAGATCCCGATTTCTGTTTAATTTTACCAAAGATTGGGCTCATTTTTTTCACATGTAAGACTGTGTCTTACATTTTTTACTTCAAAATGCCTACCACAATAATTATAATTTAGAGGAAAACTGCATCATCATTGTTCAGGGGGCAGGGGACATATTCGAATGATGGCCCCGGTCAAATTTTTTAATAACTCAGACATGGTGTTTTGAAGGTACTGATAACTTCTGATATTTCTCTGTCATTGTAATTCTTTCTTGTTTGTGTGTAGGAAATGAGATATATTTTTGGGTTTTTACCCGAAACTAAGCATTTTGGTAGCTTTGTATGTATTCCTGACTGAAAAAGTTAAAAATCAAGCTTTGACAGTTGGCCCCAAACAAGTAAGAAATTTCAGATAAATTTTGTGAAAAATCTAAACGTATGACAGACACTTTATTTGTCATTTCTGAAAATGCCATAGCTTGCACTGCTTGAAACTGATATTTTTAAAGGAATCGGGTGGATTCTGGAGTATGCTGCACCTTTATGAAGATTGCCCATATTGGTATAATTTAGGTGTGATTTTGGCTGGGTGGGGGTAAATATAAATTGCTGTCAGTCATTTTTTGAAGGAGCAATGCATGCAAACTATTATTTTCTTAAATGTATGTCATATATCATTGAATAATGCTGTGCAATTGGTTATCTGCCTGTGAAACAGATTTTGAAATATTTGGAATCGTGTTTCTGGTCACACTGAAATACAAAATTTTTCATTTTTAGGTCCCCTGCCCCCTAAGAATTTTCCCGGAGAGCAGGGGGTGGTGGGGGTAGGGTGGCACCCTTATTTGGCCCTAGTGCTACATTGTATAGAAGAAGAAAGCCCTGTGGTATAAAATCTGGTCAGACTGCACAAATGTGCTGCTAGATTGATCAGATTTTATTCTTGTGGCATACCATTATAGGTAAAATCATTGTTGTGGTTTGCATTCAAATATTAAATAAATAACCAATGTAATAAAATAAACAATACTTTTTATGTATTTCATGTAATATCCAAGCCAAGCTGATGGGAACAGTTCCAGGGTTATAAATACATAGTCTCCATTTGCCATGCCATTTTGGTAGGCTGCCCATAAGAATTCTCGGAAAATTCTGTCATAGCAGAAGAAAATAAACACTGAAAAACAGAATAAAGACAAACAAATTTGAATAGATTATTTAAAATTTAGACCTTTCATAATAATAATAATAAAATATAATAATAATAATGATAACAAACACTTTATTTCATGAAGGTAACATATCAAGACACACATATCTTATTTACAATACAGTATGGCCTTCAATTAATTAAGATAAAGAAATTCACAAATATGAACACACATATAAATAACATAGACAACAAGCATTCAAATTGACAGACACATGCATACATCAGATTCATTTAAATTGTATATAAAGTAAATAATTCTTCATATTTCTTTAGACGAAGACTCTTTAATATATGAAGGTAAGTTATTCCATACTTGCATAGCATTATTTCTAAAAGTTCTTTTAACATATTTTGTATTAGATCTTATATGTATTATGTTTCTTTTTGTAGTTGATCTAAGTGTATATGTTTCATTTTTTTCGAGAACACTATGATATCTGAAATAATTAGGAAGGAGTCAATCCTTGTATAGATTTAAATACTAATAATACTGACATACCCAGTCCAATTATGCTATTTCATAGAATATCAGTATTAAAACACTAAAATTGAGCTGCTGGAAGTATAGTAAGTTAAGGTTACAAATGTGGGGACCCAGGGGGCATGATATGAACAACTTGACAGTCATTGAATTTAAGATTTTGAATTTACTGGCCTGATTTCCAGTTTTGAATTTATTCTACTATATATTTAACTAAATTTTCTTAAAATTTACACTGGCCCGAACTAATTTTCACTGGCTACTGGTCGAAGACTGACTTGATATAGAAGCACTATTAACTTAAGCAATGTTATGTTTAAAATAAAAGCCTCTTTGTCTTTATTTTTGATCTGTTCATCAATGTCTTTTAAGATTTTTGCCAATTTACAAATGTTTGTAAAGGGCTGCGAAATGAGCGTTTCTGTAGAGTCTCATTAAAACCTTGACTGAATAGGAGATGTCATTTAAAGTTTACCTTTATTTTCAACTCTTACAGTAGAGATCTTACTGTACATACAAATAAGCAAATGTATGTACCAACAAGCCTGAAGGCGGGGCCATTATTTTAACCCCTGGGCTATAATTTGAACAAACTTTGTAGAGGCTTTATAGTTGATATTTCATGCCAAATATCTAAGCTCTTGCCTTTATGGTTCTAAAGGATATGATCTTTAAAGATTTTTATTTATACAAATTGTAACATACATGTATAAGGTAAACTCATGACCCCCAGGGCAGGGCTAATTTTGACTCTAGGATTATAATTTGAATAAACTTGGTAGTGGTCAATTATAAAAACTTTCATGCCATATATTAAGCTCTTGTCTTGATGGTTTCAAAGGAGATGTTTTTTTTAACTTCAGTTATAATAGGGACCAGGATTATAGCAAACCTCCGGTTTTAAGGAACAAATTATATCAGCCCCAATTTTGCCCTCCCTTATTTCATATAAAAGCATACGGTTATAGCAAACACGGTTATAAGGAATTATCGCTTATAAGGAACTCATTTCTTAACCCCAAATTATATAAAAGTACAGAAAAGTACACTTTTTTTTAACAAACTCCAATATATCAGCTATCCATTAATATTCAACTTTTGTTTCATTGGTATGGATTAAAAGTCGGCCAAATGTACCATTTATTGATGTAACAAGGACACGACTTCACTACACCTATGAAAATGAATTTGTATAGCAGTACCGAATAGTTTTCTATTTACTTATAGGATATTTTTAGTATGAGTTTTTGTCACCAAGATAAAACGGTCATTCTTTTTATTCTATCAATTTTTTATATAATAGTTTTACCTGACAAGTAAAATAATTATGACCATTTATCGGTTTTCAACATTATCATGCATGCTTGCAAGCATAATCCTTTGAAAACTCAAACGTGGGTTTGATTGAAATGAAAAGAAATCTGTATCTTTCATAAGCAAAAATGACCCTTAAGATATAATAGAATATTCAATATAAAAGGAAGGAAAAATCGAAAATCTTGTATATTCTTAATCATAAGCACTGAGTTTAGAAACAAAATATGATATTTTATGCTCTTTAAAATGGCAGACAATGGTAAACAATCAGTTTGTTATTTGTAAATCTGTCCGCTATACAAACTCCTGATGCAAGGAACTAATTCGCTATATGCTTACATTTAGGAACAGATTTTGAATGTCCAATGAGTTTGTTATAAGCAGAGTTTACTGTATATATAAGCTATTTTTGAACAAGCTTGGTAAAGTCCCACTGGATCATGTTTTATGCCAAATATGTATAATAATGTTTTAAAGGTGATACTATATAGAGGATATTTGTTTGTTTTGCATGTAAGATTGAAATATAATTCACTGAGTGAACACCAGATGCAATATTTTCACAAGTGGCAAAGCCAAGAGTGAAAATTCAATAGCTTGTGTTCAGAATGAGATATATTTCAATCTTATATGTAAAACAATTTTTTTTCTTTTTATTTCATGCTTTTTAAGTGATTTTTAGTATTTTTTACTGATTTTGCCACATAATGTCGCGCTCTCCTTTGTGACGTCATCACATCATGACGTCACATCATCAATTTTGAAATATAGTTCTGTTAAATTTCTCTAACTTTGTTACATTTTTAAAATAATGTATGGTGACATTAACTTTCTTTTCCTAAAGAAGCAAAATTAACATATGACGGCATTTATTTCTGCCTGTTATTTCATTTAGTTATGATTTTCTTTTCATCTACATTCAGATAAAGTCTGGCTTGTAACAATGAGTGAAAATTATATTTTATAAATTTCACTAGTGGTTTATCAGAATATAATCATCTGATATATTACAATAAAACACTGGAAAGCATGAAATAAAAACATATAAGGAAAACCCATGACCCCCTTAGGCCTTAAAACCAGGGCAAGGCCAATTTTGACCCCAGGGCTATCATTTAAATAAGCATGGTAAAGTCCTACTGGATGATGTTTCATTCCAAATAAGTATATGCTGTAAAGGAGATATTTAAAGAATTAACTAAAAACATATGGTATAAGGAAAACCCATGGCCCCCTTAAGCGGGGCCAATTTTGACCCCATGGCTATTATTTGAACAGTTTAGTAGAGGCCAGATATATCAGTTTTTGCCATTATAGTTTCAGAGGTGATTATTTTTATAGTTTTTTTTATGCTGTTGTCATGGCAGTCAGAGTTTTAACCTGTAATGTTCATTTTATAAAAAGAGTGGATCAGTCTATTTATATTTCAGACAGATTTATATCTTACCCATAACATTTTCAAGTACCAATTGTTGTTCAATCTCTATTACAACAGTCAATCTTATGAAATATGTAGTCAATTCAGCTCAACTTGATAGTGAAAGCATGAGTCACTTGAATTTCAGATAGTCAAACTTTTCAGTTAAGTTAATAAATGTGCTAATTTTAGCTAAAAGTAATTAAATATTGCTAATAAGAGCCTTGTAATGATAATTTGTGTCCCGTTAGCTTAAACAAGTAAAAAAGTTCTAAATAATATTTTGGATAGAAAAAATGATGTAATTATTATTTAGTTTATATATCACCTCTTGAGTAGAATTTAGCTTCTTGAAGAATAGCACTGTACTGTGAAGTTGTGTCCATTTTATTGCCATCAAATGTTATTTCATACGGTCTAGCAAAATCCTCACTGTGGTCTCGGAGATCTTTTACGAGATTCGAACCTGCTATTTTGAATATTGTGAGCGGATAGTCATATATCACAGTGGAGTGTTTCCATTTGTAAGTTTTCATAATAGCCGCTATAGAATCTGAAAAAAAAGACTTAGCTATTGATAGGCAGTGATTTTTTTTCCAATTTTCAAAACAACCTGTGGCTTTCTGAAGGGGAAAGTATAGCACGATAAATCAGAAAATGGGAAATCAAATTCCAACAACCGAGAATGGAATTTACCCACACATTTATAAAATTTCCAATTAAAATTCAATTTAACATGCATGGTACATAACAGAGGCTGTTGGGACAGCTTTCTGTTTTCTAGCTGATATAATAAATCAGATGCTGTTAAGAAATGGTTTTGGTGAAGAAGTGCACATGGCATTTCAGGGGAAAATATAAGCTTTTTTAGGGGAAAATATACCTATTTTGAGCTAGGGGAAACAGCTTTTATTCGGTTTTAAAATACAGAAGAAAAAAAATCACTGATATGATATGATTGAATAGCGTTTATTGTTGAAACTTTGTGTTGAATGATAATGAAGTCTGCATGTTAAATGATAATCTTTGTGTTCATAATATCAAGTAACACAGCATCGTCTTTGTTACAGTCTTTATGTGAATACCATTCTAAATTGAACAATTTTTTAGCTCTAGTTTTACACATAAAAAACTCAAAATCTTCCAACAAAGAGATAAATTATAATAATTACGACATAATACTACCATGGTAACGCAATTTTGTTATAATAACTATACATTTTGTTACAGTAGCATCCGATTCTATGAGTAAAGTCATATACCTGAGAGTTTTCCAATATTGTATGATAATATTGTTAATGTCTCGTACATATCATCATTATATGTGTTCCTGACTACAAGATCACCAACACCTGTAACAATAGGTAGCCCCAAATATTCCGCCAACCGGGCAGCACCAGTGATTGACTCTGAACAACCTGGGCCAATCACCGCATCAACATTATGATCATAGTACAGTTCAGCAAGGTGGCCTGAAAAATAGTGGAGTAATTTTCTGACATACTTAGTAGAATTAGACTTTTGTTGAAGACCCACAGTTACGACTTGAAGTAAAGATTCAAAGTAATTAAAAAAATAAACATGGTATTGATATAAAGTATAAGCAAAAAAGAAATAAAGCATAAAACATTCTTGTATTTTATTAAAAAACAACAACAACATACCAACAGACTTTTCCAATGGGCATTGTCCAAGGTAAGCGTGATATTGATAGTTAAGCTCAACATCATATTTAGTCTTTGCTGCAATCTTTGCCACCTCAATAGCAGGTCCTACCCTCCTCAAATCCCATGGCCAATCAACTTCCTGCATTAACAATACGCCAACTTTCACTGTAATTGTATTGGCCAGTTCTCCATTGTGGAAACATCCAACCAGTAAAATCAATAATATGGTCTGTGAAAATCCCATCTTCACTGAAACAAAATGTCTTCGTGTACAAAATAATAATAATAATAATAATGATAATTATTATTATTATTATCATTATGTCTTTATTTAACGAGAGAACTCTTTTGAACAACATATCCATGTATCATACAATCTTCAATGTGGCCCTAAAAAATGAACAATATAAATTTAACGTATATATTCAAAGTTATGGCTATCTTATGATTTTTATTTTAGAGTTTGTCGGGACTTAACTCCTTTGATACCACAAATGCAATTTCAAAGAAACTTTACATAATTGCTGTCAAGTACTTGCGCATATAAAACAAGTTTTCTTCTTGAATGATTTACTTAGAGTTATCACCCTTTAAATTATTTGTATTGTTGAAAAGTTTTGTATACTGCTAATGCAATTTTAGTGAAAATTAACCCGATATTTAAATGGGGTTTCCGCATGAATTATTTTTGTCAGAGTTATGGCCCCTTAAATTAAATTTATTGTTTTGAAGTTTTGTCCGGACTACTTCTGTTACTAATACTCAAGCAATTTGAGTGAAACTTTACAGGACTATATTACGTAGAAAAAAAACAGTCTTGAAAATAAAATAAAAATAATAAAAGAAAAGCCTCCAATATAAGACAAAAGAATGGACCTGATCATCCATGAAGGATGCTAAATTAAATGGTCTAGCATTGATACTCCTACACAAATGTCACTAGACTAAAATGAGATTTTAAAGTTATTGGATTCTCCTGGAAACAGAAGAATTGCCTTGGTCTTTATGAAACTGTTAACCTAGCTAATAGATAAATTAAATAAAATGTATTTCAAGACTTGCAAAGAAACATAAATTTTACTTGTTTGTTATCCAGAATATTCTATAATAAATCGGATGGTATAATGATGATTAGATTCAGAATGACAAAAATTTGCTTCTATCAAAAAACATGTCTCCCTACGCCATTAACAAGCAAACACAAAATTCACTGTTGAAATGCCCAAATACGGGGAACATACATTTATGTTTCTTACTTTATTGGGAAACATACTCTTTATTTTTTGGGAAAAAAATCACTGACAGAGCTTATGTTTCTTTTAAGAAAAAAGACATTACATATATATTGTTTCTCTGACAAAGGATTAGCCAGTCTGGTTTTTATGGCAATTTGATTTACAAACTTCGTAAGATTATGGGTCATGGTAATTTTCCTGCTGTTTTTACTAAAATCATTAAACGTTTTATTGGACAGTACGCTTTCCTCTTTGGATTACATCTGACAGACCTACTTTACATTTAGAATCAAAGGATATTTATAGATTATTGTAAGGCTATTCTGCTTATGGTTTTACAATTTACAAAAGGTATTTATTTTATACACATGTACCCACAGATAACAAACTATTTTTAATATTCTATAAGGGCTATATACTAAAATTATAGTGTATAGCCCATATAGAACATTATAAATAGGTTGTTTTAAGTAATTATAGTGTATTGTCCATATACAACATTAAAAAAGGTTTGTTTCAAGTACCTGTGCATGTACCAGGTCATTATCAGAAAAGAGATGAGTTTCGTATTTCTGAAAATTACCTTAAAAATAATTCTTGCCATTAACTGACGTGAATGTCATCAAATTATGCACTTATATAATAATGACCTGTATGTTGTATTATCATGATCTGGTATACATCTTAAAGGCTGTCTTAAAATTAAAAATTTGAGTTTTCCCAGTGGTGGAAGGATGGCACCTTCTGCATTCTTTTCAATCAATGTCTTTTCTTTTCTATGACATTCAACAGAGACAGAATTATAATTATAAAATAAGCAGATATTCCTCTGTTGCAAGGTTCTGGCAAAATATGAATGGTTAAAAGCAGGAACCAGAACTGCCACTGTCATGGGGTGAATACCCCTGCATACCACTTTGACAGAATCAACAGTGGCCATTTAGGGCTCAAGGTCAACCTCCCTGACAAATCTGAGGTCACTAAGCCAGTGCTTAGTTATGTGTTCTGTTAACATACTTCAAATGTAAAAATGTCAAAATCAATACACTGCAAACAGGCATTCTTAAGCATTTGAGCAGACAAGCTTATTATCCCCCGCCTAAAATTTTAGGCGGAGAATATAGAAATAGTCTCCGTCCGTCCGTCCATCCCTCTGTCCGTTCGTCCGTCCTTCCGTCCGACATTTTTGTCCGGAGCATATCTCTTAAAGTATTTGAGTTATCAACTTGAAACTTCATAGGTGGATAGACCTCATTGAGGAGGAGTGCAGTGCACAAGAATGATAACTCTACCTTGCATGATTTTTGAGTTATTGCCCTTTTTTATTTTTCAAAATTGATTTTTGTCCAGAGCATAACTCCAAAAGCCTATGAGATATTAACATGAAACTTCATAGGTGCATAGATCTCACTCAGGAGGTGTGCAGTGCACATGAATGATAACTCTACCTTTCATAATTTTTGAGTTATTGCCCTTTGTTATTTTTCATACCTAATTTTTCACAGGAGTGGAGCATAACTCAAAAAGTGTTTTGAGATATCAACATGAAATGTCATAGGTGGATAGATCTTATTGAGGAGGAATGTTATATGTGGATAGACCTCATTGAGGAGGAGTGCAGTGCACAAGAATGATAACTCTACCTTGCATGATTTTTGAGTTATTGCCCTTTGTTATTTTTCAAAATTGATTTTTGTCCAGAGCATAACTCCAAAAGCCTATGAGATATTAACATGAAACTTCATAAGTGCATAGATCTCACTCAGGAGGTGTGCAGTGCACATGAATGATAACTCTACCTTTCATAATTTTTGAGTTATTGCCCTTTGTTATTTTTCATACCTAATTTTTCACCTGAGTGGAGCATAACTCAAAAAGTGTTTGAGATATCAACATGAAATGTCATAGGTAGATAGATCTTATTGAGGAGGAATGTTATATGTGATTAGACCTCATTGAGGAGGAGTGCAGTGCACAAGAATGATAACTCTACCTTGCATGATTTTTGAGTCATTGCCCTTTGTTATTTTTCAAAATTGATTTTTGTCCAGAGCATAACTCCAAAAGCCTATGAGATATTAACATGAAACTTCATAAGTGCATAGATCTCACTCAGGAGGTGTGCAGTGCACATGAATGATAACTCTACCTTTCATAATTTTTGAGTTATTGCCCTTTGTTATTTTTCATACCTAATTTTTCACCTGAGTGGAGCATAACTCAAAAAGTGTTTGAGATATCAACATGAAATGTCATAGGTAGATAGATCTTATTGAGGAGGAATGTTATATGTGATTAGACCTCATTGAGGAGGAGTGCAGTGCACAAGAATGATAACTCTACCTTGCATGATTTTTGAGTCATTGCCCTTTGTTATTTTTCAAAATTGATTTTTGTCCAGAGCATAACTCCAAAAGCCTATGAGATATTAACATGAAACTTCATAGGTGCATAGATCTCACTCAGGAGGTGTGCAGTGCACATGAATGATAACTCTACCTTTCATAATTTTTGAGTTATTGCCCTTTGTTATTTTTCATACCTAATTTTTCACATGAGTGGAGCATAACTCAAAAAGTGTTTGAGACATCAACATGAAATGTCATATGTGGATAGATCTTATTGAGGAGGAATGTTGTGCGCAAGAATGATAACTCTTCCCTATACAATTTTTGAGTTATTGCCCTTTGTTTTTTTACATGCTATTTTGTCCAGAGCTTTTCTCAAAAAGTATTTGAGGTATCAACTTGAAACTTCAAAGGTGGATGGATCTCATTGAGGAGGAGTGCAGTGCTTAAGAATGATAACTCTACCTTTCATAATTTTTGAGATATTGCCCTTTGTTATTTTTCAAAATTAATTTTTGTCCAGAGCATTACTCAAAAAGCCTTTGAGATATCAAAATGAAACTTCATAGGTGCATAGATCTCCCTCAGGAGGTGTGCACAGCACAAGAATGATAACTCTACCTTTTATAATTTTTGAGTTATTGCCCTTTGTTATTTTTCATACTTAATATTTCAATTCAATTTTTTTCTCAAAAAGTATTTGAGGTATCAACTTGAAACTTCATAGGTGGATAGATTTTACTGAGGAGGGATGCAGCACACAAGAATGATAACCTACCCTGCATTATTTTTCAGTTAATGCCCTTTGTTATTTTCAGCCATCAGTATTCACATAGGTTTCAAATCTGTAATCACTATAGCCATCAGTTTTCATTACCAAAAGACCTCTTAAAATGAAATTATTCTGTTCTACTACATATACATTCTTCCAATGAGCAAACACATTCGGCGGGGGATGGCCATGTTGACATGGCTCTTGTTATAGTAAAAATCCCTGTGACCTTGACCTTTGGCACAGTCACCTAAAAATCAATAGGGGTCATCTACTAGTCATGTAAACAACCTCAAAACCAAATATGAAGACTGTTGACCAAAGCATTCTCAATCAATTGAGTGGACACAGTGTTTTTTCCTCTACTTTGGGAATGGTGATGGTATCAGACTGATTGGGAAAAAATGCGTTATTTTGACTTAAATTGGGAAAAAAAATTATGCATTTTTCAGCTACAAAAAAGATAAGTCATCATGAATAAAGATAGCTAACAGCCTCAACTGTCCTGGTAAAACTATTGAGTGGTGATTTATATGAATATGTTGGATTTAAATGATTTCAGAGAAATCACCTGGCCTTGTGGAAATTTTGAACAGCCATTTTGGGAATTTCAACATTGGAAATTGGGAATTTTAATGTCTATTTTCTATTGGCAACAGTACCATTTTAGGGTAGCAGTTATATAAAGAAGAATACACTGGGACAAGCTTTATTTAGTCAAGGTCCCTGTGACCTTGACGGTGCTTGACCGTTAATTTAGTGACTTCAAAATCAATAGGGGTCACCTTATAGTCATGCTCACACAACCTCAAAACCAGATATGAAGACTGTGGGTCAAAGGTTTCTAAAGTTATTGGGCAGATAAACTTTTTGAAGTCAAGGTCCCTGTGACCTTGACCTTTGACCCAGTGACCTCAAAAACAATAGGGGTCATCTACTAATTACTGCTAACCTCCATGCCAAATATGAAGACTGTGGGTCAAAGAACTCTAGTTATTGGGCAGACAAGCTTTTTAAGTCAAGTCCCTGTGACCTTAACCTTTGACTTGGTGACCTCAAAATCAAATGTCAATACATAAATGCCATGTTCTAATCATGACTAACCTCCATGCCAAATATGAAGATTTTGGGTAAAAGGAATCTTAAGTTATTGGGCAGACAAGCTTTTTTAGTCGAGGCCCCTGTGACTATGACCTTTGACCAAGTGACCTCAAATTCAATAGGGGTCCTATACACCCCCCCCCCCCCTCGTTTTTCATAACTTTTTTCTTACCTATATGGTAGATATTTAAGACAAAATAATAGATCTATATTCAAAAATTTAAATATTAGAAAATTTCCTAATCCGATACATTGCCATTTCCAGCACACGCCCATTGTTTAGGTGAAATTGTCCGCTAGTTGTTATTTTAACTAAGATCATTGACTTTACTTAAATCTTGGTCAGGCAAAAAGTTTTTTAAACATCGCCATTTTGAGAATATTTCAAGAGAAGATAGCAAACAGTGACTAAATAATTAAATCACACAAACCTAGATTTAAGCCTATAGAACTACCATCGTTTAAATAAACACGAAAACAGCGTCAACTTCGATACGAACTTTGCCTCTACACTTCACTTCAGCACAAGACATATCTTTCAGGATTTTCAAGGAATTGATGACGTCATGAATGGATATTACGTAAAATCAAAGTGAACTAGTCCCCTGAATTACCTGCCCCTTCATGTAAGTACGCGGGGACTAGACTATGCGTGAACTAGTTTCAAGATGACAAGATGACCAGGGACATTTTTATGGTGTTCCGTAATTTAGGGCCATAGTCTCTAAAAGAAGAAATTTGAATGCGAAAAGTCGAAAACGCGTTAGTGATGATGACGAACAATCGATGACGAATACACGAAAAGTTACGGTGGCACAAAGGCGACATGTGCATGTATGTGTGCTTTTATTCATCTCGTGCGCACGAGATACTAGATTCATGTCGTGACCACGTGTTACTAAGTCATGGCCACGAGATAATTAAGTCGTGGGAACGAGATACTATGTCGTGGCAAGAGTTACTTAGTCGTGGCAACGAGAAAGTTAAAATAGATAAATTAAGTCGTGGGAACGAGATGGTATGTCGTGGCCACGAGTTATTAAGTTGTGGCCAGGAGTTACTAACTCGTGGCCAGAAGATAGCTAAGTCGTGGGAACGAGATGGTATGCCATGGCAACCGAACTAAAAAAAACTTAAAATATTTCTTCTTAAAAAAAACCCCAAAGAACTTCGATATTTGGCAAGAAACATCCTCTAGTTAGTGTCTACCAAGTTTGTTTCAATCAAACCCATGTGTCAAAATTGGCCCCGTCCCGGGGGTTATTGATTTTCTTTATATGTAGAATAATTAAATGAAATGAAAAATTAAAAAAAAAAACACTTCTTTTTAAAAAAGCCAATAAGATCTAGCTAGAGCTTAAGCCTCAGTCTCACTTACTCCCGACAGAGCCCAGGTAACTTACCGGGATGATCCGGGACGATCCGGGGTGAAATTATTGTTGCGGTCACACTTACCCCGGCAGCACTACGGTAGTTCTCAACTAACCATCCAGGATGCGCTCCGGATCATCCAGGCAGAGCCCAGGTGCAGCTACGGTTCATGCCGGTGCTTCCCCGGTCGTTCCCGGATGACGCCGGAAGAGCCCTGGTTGACCCAGGCAGAGCCCCGGTCGATCCAGGCAGAGCCCCGGCAGAGCCCAGGACGATCAAGGCAGAGCCCCGGTAGAACCCCGGTGGATTGAAAACGCCCGAAAATGATAACATTGATACATAATTTTTATCTAATATAATATCTATTGTTCCAGAATAGTTAGTTATTCATGATGATTTTCTGAAAAATCCTGATGCCATACTGGATAGAAGGGAAATGAGAGGGGTTTTAATACCAGCAAGTGCAATCATCGCAAATTGTCGTTTTTCTTTTGTGCCCCCTTCTGTCTTGGTATTTGAAGGGACGGCAGTCACACTCATCGCTAAGAAAATTTATGACTTGTGAGAGGCTACAAACGTTCCCAGGTCGATCATAAGTTAACGTGTAACCTTTGCTGAAAAGCCTTTGACTCTATCTCAATCCATTGAGAAGTTGCAGCCCTTTGAAATCAATTTTGGTGGAAAAAATTACGCAAAGTTGCGATTTTGGCAATTTTGATATGTCCCCTCGTTGCCATGGTTACAGGACATTTAAGACTGAGCATGGCTATGGTCAAGTCAACATTTGTGCGAGTTTGATTAGCATTGAAGCAGTTTTTATAGTTTTATAACAATTTGAGCTTGTAACGGGAAACTTTAAAAAAAAATACAGCCATTTTTCACAAAATGCTCATGCAGTAATGGGTTAATGTCAAATTGTTTAGGATATGAAATAAAATGAAAAGTTTTAAAATAATTTATGTTTACTGTTAAATTGAGAGTATAAAATAGTCTAAGGGTTCAAAACATTAAACAATTAACGAAATCAATGTATGCAAACTGCATGTACTGCCTACTGATTGTGTAATAGCTTATTCTTAAATTATTTCCTAAGTGAGTCTGTGGTGCAGAGGTAAAACGCTCACGTCTAATGCAAGAGGATCGGGGTTTGAAACCCTGAGAATGTATTCTATTTTGATTTGAAGGTGTTTGTTGTTGTTGTTTTGTTGTTGTTGTTGTTGTTGTTGGGGTTTTTTTGGGGGGTTTTTTTGTTTTTTTTTGCCAAGGTAATCCGAAAAAATTACAGGTATTTAAAATGACTTCAATGAACTTTATTGACGTGAAGGGACCTACAATATTATTTCAAGATTTTGTATAACTGGTCGTAGGTCTGGACCGATAACTTTAAAAAATACTCCCACTTAATTTCCCTGGAATAATAAATTGTATTGTGCAAACTTACCATAAATTTTAAAGGGTTGCAACGTTTTTCTCTAAAATCAGCCAAAAACAAGCACAAAAAAATGAGAAAATGAATATGTTCAAATCTTAAAATTTAGGCTATATATCTAAAAAATATTTGTTAATACTAGTATATCTTTGAAATAGTGTTTTGAATTTAAATCGTATTACATCCCAAACACATATACACGTCGGGTACTTGTTCAAGCTGTTTGAAATGAAGTGCCATATTTGATACTGTGAAAAAAGTGTATCTGTTTTACTGGAATGCGGTTTTAACAAATGCCTTCTATACCGTATATATACTTCCTAGGAAAGAATGAATGTAGAATAAATGTACATTTGGGTCTGTTATGCGTATCAATAATTCTTTTTTTCCTCGCAGGAACTCTCTGAATAAGGGAATTGACTGTAATTGATTCCCCTACTTAACAACCCATCGGAAATATGTAGTATATTAATCTAACTGAGATTGTTTTGAATAATTGGAAGCTATGGTTGTTGTTTCAAAATACGCATTACTGGCAATTTTCCATTACTTTTATGTTACATTAACTTTTCCACTGGCATAAAAGTAAAATAATAGTACAAGTGCAGACTTTAAATAAGCTAGCTTACCTAAAAAGGTCCATTAGTCTCAAGAAATGTTTTTATTTATATTTCTCAAAAGTTATGTCCTGCTACAGTTTCCAAAAAGATACCAATTGGCCAATTACCTGAACTTTCTTTTGCTTCTTTGCTTCTTTTGCTTTTTAGCAATTGGCGCATTTATGGTGGTTAAGTATTTTGTATGGAAGTCAAAATACTACTTTGTTTACATTTTTCTACCTTTATGACATATAATTTCAAATTAACGCTACTTTCTTTATAGGTAAGAAGTATCTCACATACTCTAAAACAATTATTTCAACAATATAAAACTCATTGTAAGCGAAATTTCAATGTTTCTGACGCATAATGAGTCTTTAACTTATTTACTTATTTTATATATTTTTGTTTACCTCGCCCGACCTTAACCTATTGTTTTATTATTGTATCAGTTCAAATTCATTTTAGCATATATCAATGTTGATTTGCGAAGTAAAATCTTGTATTGGAAAACAGGTTTTATAACTAACATTGTTTATAATTCAACGACACTGACAATGTTCAATGGTGATTACCTTAATAATAATAATAATAATAATAATAATAATATTAATAATGATTATAATAATGATAAAAATAATAATAATAATAATAATGATAAAAATAATAATAATAATAATAATAATAACAACAACAACAATAATAATAATAATAATGATAATAATAATGATAATGATGATGATGATGATGATGATGATGATGATGATGATATCCTTGAAACTGACAAATACTGATCCTCTATTACAAACAATAGTTAATGTACCATACTCTATATGCAATTCATCAATAGTTAAGTCTATTATATGACAGAGATGACGTCGAGAGTTTCATAAATCAGATATTTTACCTTTGCAGAAATTTCATATAGGATAAGGAAGTTAAGATAATTTTAAAATCGTTTATATAATTGTAGATTTTAAGATGCTATGCTTTTTATTGAAAAGTAACGATTACGACACATTTGCGCCCTTTTACTACTCAGTATACTTGTGTCAAAAAAGGAGAGAAAAAAAACCATACGTTCTGATACCCATGTGTTAAGTAATAGAAAGGGCATCGAAACACGAGGCTATCTGATTTGTACGAGGGGGCGTAGCCCCCGAGCATTAATCAGATTGCCGAGTGTTTTGATGTTCTTTCTCTTTTGTATCATAGTCAAACATAAAAACACGTTCCCTGTTGTCACAATATGAAACCCCGGGAAAAGGTAACCAATAAACGAGCATCTGAATATGATATTTCTGTCGCTTTTCCCTTTCTCTTCCGTCACAATAAGTAAACCCCTGCAAAAATGAGCCAACCAATGGGCATTCTCTAGAGGGCGGGTAACTAATACCTGCACTCCAGTTAACGCACTGTGCATGTATATGTATAAGATTTAACTCTGACACATTTTCAACAGAAAGGTCCCCAAACTATGATACAACTTTTGTTTTTTTTAATATTGTAGACAGTGAGCAAGTACGGAGTTAAATCAATGTATCTTTAAATAATTATACTGACTTCGCGTTTGAAATTTCTTTATTCCTAACGGAACACCGTACATTGTTAACGATAAATAGCTTTAAGCTAGTTTTATAATTTCAATAAAGCTTCCTGTAACTTTAGCATACTGTCATTGCCAGTATTTACTTATTGTGCATATTAATTAGCTCTAATTAAGATTTGAAATACAATCAGGAAAGCTAGACTATATAGTCCCGTGACGAATGTAGATAGATCTACTGTATCTAATGAAAGTTTCCGAAAAGATAATTAGCTCCATTGTTCTTTTTAATCTTAATGATTTATATGTAGACTAAGTAGATCTAATGTAAGTAGAAAGACGATATAAACGATCTTGTTTACCCTAGACATTTGTCACAAGTTAATGACATCGAAGTCAACAGCAAGTAATGTTTTATATACTAAATTATTGTCTTAGTCTGTAATTTACGGAATGACTATTCATTCTGCGAAGCTTCTAAAGACTTGACGGAAGCTTAGAAATCCGAGATGGCATTAAAAATGGCCGCCAAATCCCTTAATATTCTTAAACATTAATGTTGGCTTATATTTATACCCACATTTGTATTTCAAGTGAAATTTTGCACAAAAACGGAGATTTGGTTTAAGCTGTAGTTATT